GTGTTTCCTGTTTTGGAAAGGGGTCCTCCAGTCGGTACTTCCCCCTCTGTGAATCCTTTCTTTACCTCACGGAGTTGTTCCTGGAGCGTCTCAATGACCCGAGCCTGTTGTTGGATCATTGCTACCGATTCCTGAGAGCGTGCCGACTCGAAAGCCATGCCAGGTCGGTTCATCTGAGCTCCCGTTACAAAGGGAGTTCCAAAAGGAGCTCCCTGCGGGGGTACCGCCTCTTCGTGAACTGCCAACGTTCTTCGTTGGTTCGGACCCCTTTGACTTTCCGTTCCCACTGCCTGAGATTGCATCGATACCGACCCTTGATACGGAATGACTGATGGATTGCTCAGTCTTGGAGGAACGTGTACAGGGTTGGGAGCCAGCCGAGCTGTCAGATCTTGTCCGGAGATCCGGGATGAATGTTGTGCGCCATCCATCCTCACCTCACCAAACTGGTATCGCTGCGTCGAGACTGGGGTTAAAGGTTTCGTTTGCAGGTTAACTCTGGGGGGAGGAGTCGCATTTTGAGCCAAGGCATGTACAGTGGGGGAGGTCCCGGAGCGTAGCTGGGGGCTCCTCGTGGCCGTGTTACCGGGGTTAAGGAGTTCCGGAACCTCGGTATTCCTGGGCGATGAATGTTTCTGTGCCAGGAAACGACCATCAGATCCATGGAGCTGCCCTTTCTGGTCAAATTGCTCCGGAGGGAACTCCCCTACGCTTTCGAGTTCGCATTGAACCATATACGAGGTTCCCCGATTATCCGCGACCAGTCTGCGACGGAATTCCAAAGCTCTTTCTAGATTCGATCCAGAAAGTTCCTCCGACAGCATCAGAGTGTCTGATTCCGCTAGTAGCGTCCGATGTCGGGTCTCCTGCGAACACAACATCGCTTCAGACTCCTCACTCCTCACCAGAAGCTGGTGCATATGCCTCATGGGCGTGTACGTGTATACCGTCTGTCCGTTACGGACCCGGACGGGACTATCCTGATCAGGCATTGACTCCACTGGGGCCAGGAGGTGAGCCGTGGTGTACCTCCTGCGTCTACGATTTTTTGCAGCGATTGCGTTAGCATCCTCGTTACTTTCCTCATCGATTTTAGCTGCTGCTTCCGCTAGGTTTGCGTTCCGAAGTATTTGGATCGCCTGGTAGTTCGGTATGTTCACCCTCGAAGGGGGAGGTTCAAACCGTACGGCTCCTGATCTGTAGTTAGAGGCTCGGTACAATATACGTAGCCCTGCTTCGCCACAGAATTCCTTCTCCCTTCCATGGGTATGAGGGAGGAGGGGAAGTATTCCCCTCGAGTTTCGGAACGATCGTCCGTAACGTGCCTCTGCCTCTAACAGTTCCAACATCCTCTCTGGGTCCAACAGGACGTTGTACAGCCAGAGAAAATCTGATCGATTCGCGGGGGTCATCAGCCACTGCTGGGCCTTCTCTGGGAGGTCTATCTCCAATTGAGTTCCCACTGTTAGGAACTGTACTCGTAGGTCTGAGAATTCGAGACCGTCTCCCAATACTTCGATCCCCATTGACTCCAATACCTCCCTTAGGACCATAGCTACATCTTCCGGGATACACTCCTGAATTCGAATGACGTCTTCCAGACGCAATGTCATTTCGGACAAGGGTTGTACGGGGAAGTTGGTCCTGCTATGGTGTATTGCGTGCGTACGCTCCCAGTTGGGCGTATTCATAGCTGGGCTCTTCAGGAGACTGGAGAGTGAACTTCCTCGTCTCGGGGGAGGAAGGTTCAGGGACTGTACTGGAGGTGTTGGTAACCTCCGGGATGACGTTCGAGATTGTTCGGATACGGCAGGGGATACCCTCCTCTCTGGAAGTTTCTCCTGTTGTCGTACTGTGAGAGGGTCAGTACTCCCCCCTTGTACCCTTTCGATAGCGGCTACTTGACCGCTGACTCTTCCACCCGCGTTCGAAGCTGACTCCATGTCTAGCTGCGGTATCGGTCCAGGGGGAGGTCCTCTCGTTCCCCAGGTAGGGGAGTATGCGAAACCTCCCATGGGACTACTGGCAGGTTGGGCGTAACCCATGGAGGTAAACCTCCGTTGTGGTGGTCCCATCCCAGGTTCCACTGGAGGGGGCCCCTGAACCTCCGGTTGACGTCCCTCTGGGGTCCGGATGTTGCTGGCGGTTTCATCCCCGAACGACTGTTCTGGGATGGACATCAGGCGTTGACCAGCTGCCACCGTGATGACAGTGGAGCTAGCAGCCGGGTTTGATTTTTGAGCTTGTGTCGTGTTTCCACGAGATAAGGCGCTCTTTTGTTTCTTTGATTCGGTCTTGGAAATAGAAGGTCGTTCCGTTGACGTCGCCGACATTTCGTCGCGACGAGTCCGTTCGGTGACGGGAGAGCTTGGTATAATGTAAGACCTGGGTCAAAATAGGTCTTAGGGTAGGTTTTGGTATGTGGAGGTTTATGTTGTAGCGTGCTAGGAGCAGGCTGGAGCTCGAAGGGAGCTACGAGAACCGCGACCGAGGACGGGAATGACCTAGTAGTGGTTGGAACGACGAGATGGTGACCCTTGAGGGGTTCCTAGGAGGTCCAGGGAGGTCCCTAATGCGTAGGGAGGTTCGGGACGAGTGCGGGACCGTAAGATATTGCGTAGTAGGAGTTGTACTCGCTAGAACGTCAATATAGAGTCGAGTAGGTAGTTTATGCAACGGGGTCTCGAGGGTGTAAGCTCCCGAGAAGGGATATGCCAGGGAGGGTAGGTCCCTGGGGGCTAGGTTGGAGGATGGTCGTCCTCGAGTGTGGGAGGTGGTAACGGAGAAGCAGTACGTAGTTCGACGTGAGGGGTAGCTTCGACGTTACCTAGATCGAGGTCCCGAAGCTTACGAAGTAGCTAGGGAGCTCTGGGAGGTTTGGGGAAGAGTAGCTCACCAAGCGGGTAGGCGTTGGGGAGCTTTAGTAATGTTCGAGGGAGCTCGGGGACTCACTCGGAAGGCTTAGACTTGAAGTAAAAGCGTATATTCGATCGTACCGACGATCAGAGAGACAATAGACAGAAGTAGAGAGAAATAGAGGTAGAGAAACAGAGAGGAAAGAGAAATCCGTATGGTTAGCAGGTACAAAGGGACAGGGACTGGACCTATGCAAAAGGGTGTGTGTTCAAAATATACCAAGCTGGCGCTTGGAGACGTTACGGAGCTACTTAAATAGGTATGGGAAGTGAACAAGGGAACATCGGAACCTAGGGACATGAGGCAGTAGTCGAAGGAGACAGGTGATCGAGATTTGTACTTAATGGGGCTGGTGCTAAGGAGTTTCGTACGCGTGTCGGGAGGTTGTCAGGATAGTCTTGGGGAGGTGCGTATTACCCGTGGTCCTGTCTTGGGGAGGTGCGTAGTACCCGTGGTCCTGTCTTGGGGAGGTCGGATGTCTTGGGGAGGTGTAAGGAAGCATGTGGGATGGTGCTGGGACTGGTTGGTTGTGGTCAGGGCATGACAGACGTGTCTGCCCCTTCAGAGGTGTTAAGATAGGCTCACCTTTGTTCAAAACTACAGATATTATCCAGCTTATTTGAACTCGGAGGGAGACAATGAGGGAGAGGGTGAGAGAGAATACTGTGAGAAAGAAATCAACAGTGGCACATGAGCGCCACTGTGATCAGTTCGTTCCGGGCCAGTCAACCACTTCACGCGACGTGTCTTGCCTTCCACAAGTCCGGCTGTTGTGGCCAGGTTGTCCACAAGTGGTACATGTGGGCTGTCGGCGTCCTCTTGTGTGCAATTGATCGTGGAGGAATCGCTGGAGGATTGGGTTTCCAGGCCCATGAGGAGGTGTTTGGGTCAAGGCATTTTCATGCTGATGACCTGCCGAGGAATGTGAGGGTTGGGGGGAGGAATCCCTGGTAATAAGTGGGCTCTGAGCTCGGGTTTGTGCCGATTCACCGTTACGAGCGGCACCTTGGTGAGCAGCCCCGAGCTGGGACAAGAATTCTCAGGCAGCTCCATCACGAATTGCCTTCTCTCGATCCAGAGGTGGAAGAACTGAACGGAATGGAATGCTTGCACATATATACTGCTTTGCATTTGGTTTGTGTTGAGCAGGCAGTCTTCAACGTTATAGTGATGTATACGAGGTAAGCATTTCTGCATTGTTTCACGTTCTTCGCGTACGAGACAGAAATCAGACAGATCGCAGTGGTTTGGTTTGCAGCAGTGTTGTGTATTAATGGGGCATAATATGTTCTTTGAAAATATTTGAGTTTGTAGCTGTCGCAGTGAAAGGAGTAAATCCAACCTCAGCTTTAACCAAAGCCCAAATCCCCTGCGGTTGAATGCGATGGAGTTTATATGTCTCATCTACGGCTCCAACCTGCCAGAGTTGCAGGAGAACAGCTGTTTGTGAGTCAGCTGGTGTTTGCAATATTTCATGTACATGTCCAATATAGGATGGTGGGTGGGACTGTGAGTCTGGGACTTTGATAACAACATACTCCCCTACTGAGTAATGTTCGAGCGAGACAGAGACAGCTTGCTCATATAAGTTGAAGAGTTTGCTGTTGGAATTGCTGATAGCATCCGGGAGTTTGCTCGACGTGAGCACCTCCGACAACTGCTGGTTCATTTTTGCAGACTTTGTGTATATACAATGCCCTTAATCATATGTTCACTGAAAAAACCTTGGCACAGACAGGGTTAAACTTACCTGGACTTGACAAAACTTTCTCTGCCACTTCCAACCCATATGCGCACACCACAGGGCTTTGTAGATTGCCCAGACTGGTTCTCACAAGCCTAAGGGGCAGAGGACCTGCGGAAACCCAGTGGGTAGGGTCATCGCTAAAAGGAGAGGGAACTAGTGGGGGAAGACTTGAACGAGTGCTATTGAGGGCTTCGTGGGGGTTATAAAACACGCCGCCATGAAGGAGATGTCGGATCCTGCTGCACTGTGCAAATCCACGACCAATGTCACGAGAGGGAGCCTGGTGGTTGCTGTGAACACTGTGGTCACGAATAATTGCATTAAATGACTCAAATCCTTCAGTTGCGTAGAGTATGGCTGGGCCAAAACGTCGAATATGCATAGGCAAATGCTTGATGATATGAAATTTTGGTTTATTGAACCATCGAGGGGTCCAATTCACAGCGCAATCAAGAAAACGGTCAATTGCAAGCTCAAGGGTTACCTAAGTTTGAGAATTAGAATTCGTGGTTGCAGTACAAATTTTCACAGCTCACAAGGTATGAGTCTAGGTCTTGAATCACTGGTTGCCAGACGAGGGGGACAAGGGCACTGAGAGAAAGCCATGCATCATAGCATTCTTTTGGGACAAGATCATACAGAACAAAAGGCGCTACTTGTGCAATTGCACGGAAGTCTCGCCCAGTGAGAGATCGTGCGTACTTCACTAGTGTCTCGCCTGCCAGCTGGGAAAGCCCCATTGACGAGACATCTATTGAACAGAGATGGTTAACCAAAATTTCCTTCTTCGGTTCACTGAGGCGTGAAATTGCATCCCGCCAAAAGTATTTTAGATATCCAAGGAGAATGACATGCAAAATTTCTACAGGCGTATCTCGATGAGGATCCAGTCCTTGGTGTTTATATGAGGTTCATGAAACTACATTTATAAATGACTTACCTTTTATTCTCCACACCGGCCTGAAGACGTTCAGCTCAGTTGGAATGTTCTCTGATACAAAGCTGTCAACAAGGGTCTGCTTCTGTGCAGTGGGAGTATTGGCAGGCAACTTAGCAACAAAAGCCGAGATCTGCTGATTGAAGCTCTCAAGAAATGTATCCTTAACTCCCGTCTGTGTTACAATTTTTTTGGACTGTGTCTTCCCATTGTATTTTTGAGATGTAACCAAGATACTGCGTAGAGTCTCAATTGTCTTCTTGGGGTGTCGAGGCTCACTTATCTTACCTGGCGAATAAGTCCTGCAAGCTGATTAATATAGTACGTCGCTCGGTCTTGACTCCACAAAGTGTTTGCAAATATTCACTGACTGTCACGAAGCGGCAGAGGCGGAGTGACTAACGGAGCGGGAAAGCGGAGCGACTAAGCAGAACGGTGAGGCGGAGCAACTGTACAAGGCAACAAGGCGGAGCGACTAAGCAGAACGGCGGCAAGCTGGTCCCAGATAATGACAGAGATATATTGAGTATCGTAGTCATAGGTAATAATAAGTAAGCACATACCTGGTCCCAGATAATGACAGAGAGGTCAAGATAAGGGACCAGGCTGTGGAGGGTTGGCTATATATACATAATCCGGTCTGCGAGAAACAACGATGTAATACTGTACAGTTTAGGAACAAGGAAGGTGGCGGAAGCCAGTAGAAGGAGAAGATGGGTCAGGTGGATCAGTAATCGATGGATCAGTAATCGATGGGGGTTTGACAGTGATGGGATGATGTATCGTACAAGTAAAGGCGTCGAGACGGTGAGAAAAGGAAAATGATAGGGGCTGCGTACTTTATGACATTACCCCCCTCCTTATGACCATTGCCCTCGATGGTCAAGGCTTTGCCGCTGTTGGGTGTTTTTTATGAAAGGCCCGAACAATTTTTGGTGCTCGACTGAGGTTGGCTGCGGGTTCCCAAGAGTTGTGCCCTGCGTCGTAACCTTTCCACTTAACCAAATATTCCAACTTCTTCCATCGAACCCGGCTGTCTAAGATCTCCTCTACTTCGTATTCCGGTTCGTCTTCATCCTCTAAGTATACCGGCTCTGGTGGTGTTGGTATTTCGCCATTAATGGAGTTACCTTTCCAGGGGTATAGTTTATCAACATGGAAGACGGGATGGAGGCAATCTAGGGATAGGGGAAGGTCAAGGCGGTAGTCTAAAGGGCCAATTTTCTCCAGAATGCGATAAGGGCCAAGCTGTCGATCTCCTAATTTTTCACTGGAAAGCTGAAGGTTGATGTCCTCTGCACTGAGCCAGACTAGGTCTCCAACTTTAAATTGATGAGCTTTCCGCTTCCCGCGTTCGTATCCCTCCTTCTGTTGTTTCTTTCCTAGGTGTAAGGCAGCTCCGGCATCTTGTCGCGCTTCTCGGAGAATCCGTATACGGTCATCCACAGCTGGAATACCGCTGCGTTGGCCCACTGGGATATTGAACAGGGGAAGATAGCCGTAGGTTAGCTCAAACGGGGACATGCCTAGCGCAGAATGAGTCCGTGAGTTAATCACAAACTCCGCCATGGGAAGGTGCTCTGCCCAGTCGTCTTGTCGTCGTCCTACATAGAGGCGGATGTATTTCTCTACTTCCTGATTTGCTCGTTCGGTTTGGCCATTAGACTGAGGACGGTATCCGGAGGTTAGATCTGATTTAATTCCTAGCCTAGCGAGAAGGGATCGCATGAGTTTAGCTGCAAACTGGGGTCCGCGGTCGGATTTAAAGTGAAGAGGAAGACCATGGAGACGGAAGATCTCTCGGTAGTAAATATCGGCAACGCCTTCGGCTGTGATGGAGCTGGTGCAAGGAATAGCGTGAATTTGTTTTCCATACAGGTCTGTGCAAACCAAGACAGCATCGTAACCTTGGGAGTTAGGTAGCTGTGTTATCAGGTCAACCCCTACCTCTTCCCATAGACCGGATGGTACATCTAATGGTTGAGTTACGGCCCGTGGGTGTCGCTGGATCTTCTTACGGGCACAAACCTCGCATCCCTCAACGTATTTTTCCACAAAAGAGCGCAACGTAGGCCACCAGAAATGGGTACTGACCAAGTCGAGTGTCCTGTGTAGTCCGGGGTGTCCTGCAGTTGGATGGTCATGGCATTGACGAAGTACCTCAGTGCGTAGGTCGTCGTTTGCTGGTACGTATACTCGACCTCGGTAGTAGACCAACCCATTGTCCTCTTCCCATTCGGCTATCCCATTGGCCAAGCGCTGTAGTCCGTGCTCTTTGACTGTTTTGAGACCCTCCAATACCTGTGCTTCCCGTTCTGAGGCTTTCCGGATACGATCCTCTAAGGGGTTCTGTAGGATCGAAGCTGCAATTTTTACGAAGTGGCCAGGTTTAAGGACTGTCTGTTGTCGGTTATCATCGCTGTCCGATACATGATGAACTGCCATGCGGGAGAGAGCATCAGCTTGGGTGTTTACTCTGCCAGGGCGGTGGATCATATGAAAGTCAAACCATGACAGATAGAGGGCCCATCGGGCTTGTCGGCGGGTGAGATCTTGTGCAGTGCGCCAGAATTCGAGGTTCGAATGGTCCGTAATGATGTCGAATGGTTGAGGGAGTCCTTCTAGAAAGTTCCTCCAATCCTTCAGTGCTTCAATGATAGCAAGCATTTCTCAATCGTAGATTTCGTAGTTCCGTTCCGCTGGCTGCATGGATGCCGATCTGAAGGCTACCGGATGCCATTGGCCATCGTCTTGCTTCTGCATAAGGGCGCCTCCCGTGGCAAAGCCTGATGCGTCTACCTCGATTCGAGTAGGCCTGTCTGGTGTCCATAGAGCAAGGATCGGTGCGGAGATGAAGGCTTCTCGAAGGGTATCAAATGCTTTCTGTCGAGTGTCGGTCCAGGTAAAGCTGGTGTCTTTCTTCGTCAGGTCGTTCAGAGGTCGTGCTATTTTGGCAAAATTCCGGATAAAGCGTCGGTAGAAGTTTGCAAATCCCAAGAACCCTCGTAGTTCCCGAAGGTTAGTAGGGACTGGCCAGTCACGAACAGCCGCTACTTTTACCGGATCCATTCTCACCTCCCCTTCTGAGATGATGAGTCCGAGGTATTCAATCTGTTGTTGTTCAAATTCGCATTTTTCGGGTCGTAGGTAGAGGTCGTGCTTTTCTAACCGAGTTAATACTTCCCGTACCATTCGTCGGTGTTCCTCGAGATCGTTACTGAAGATAAGGATGTCATCTAGGTAGACTGCCACCTTGCCGGCTGCAATGAGATCAGCAAATATAGCATTCATAAGTGCTTGGAACGTGGCAGGGGAATTTGTGAGACCAAAGAACATGACCTTAGGCTCGAACAAGCCTCGGGTTGTTGCGAACGCGCCTTTCCATTCATGCCCCTTCTTAATCCGTATGTTATTGTAACCCCAGCGGACATCAAACTTCGTGAAGTATCTGGCTCCCTGAAGTCGGCTAATGATGTCAGCAACTAATGGAAGCGGGTATCGGTTCTTCACAGTGTACTCGTTCAGTTTCCGGTAGTCTTGTACGAAACGGAGTTTCCCATCCTTCTTCTTTACGAAGAAGACCGGTGATGAGATTGGTGATTTTGAGGGGACGATATAGCCTTTCCGTAGGTTTTCTTCTAGGAAACGATCCAACTCCTCCTGCTCGTTTAGGGACATGGGATAAATCTTGGTACGCATGGTTGCCGGTGCTCCAGGTACGAGATCAATTGCATGGTCCCAAGGTTGGTGGGCAGGTAATCGTTCGGAGGCGGATTCTGAGAAAACCTTCTTGAAATCACGATACTGCTCAGGGACCATTTCTTCGAAGGTTTTAACGGGTTTGTCTCGGTTGGCTTCCTCTGCTAGCTGCTGGGAGTAAGTGAATCCTGCGGCGCACCAGACTTCCTCCGTCTGTTCCTCTAGAATTCCTGCTTTTACCCATGCCCGGCGAGTTTTATGATTGGCTCGAATTCGGTGTATTGGTGGTTCTTCCACCGCTGCTGATTCACTAGGTTCAAGGGTCGTTTCTAGTGGCACCTCAATGTGGGGATTTTCTGCGGGAGGTTCCAGTTCCGGGAGTTCGAGGATCGGGGTTTCTGTGTGAGTGGCGGCTAGATGAGAGTACAAGATCTCCTCGTCTGGGACTTCTTCTATCGTTACTCGAGGAGGCTTTACTGAAAGTCGTCCTTTCTCCCAATCAATCTCCGGATTTACCTTCCGTAGCCAGGGGAGTCCAAGGATGATGTTTTCACCTCCTAGGTTGGTGATCAGAAAGTCCATCCATCGCTCTTGATTATCCACTGTGAGTGCTAGACGTGCAAAATGGGTTATCCGTCCAGCTCGGTTAGGTGTTCCATCGATATTAAAAACGTCGATTGGTTTATGGAGGGGTGCACATCTTACATGGTTCCGGGTGACAAAATCTTGGTTTAAAAACAGGGCGGTAGCTCCACAGTCTACCATGGCTGCAGTTGCTATACTGTGATTCCTTCCTCTTAGTCTCGCATGAATTCGGAAATGTGGGGAAGTAGAGTTTAATTCCCGGATCGACGATATTGTACATGATGGGTGCGAGTCATACGAGGAAGTAGCGAACATAACAAACTGATTACGGGGTACTCTCGGTGCAGCCGAAGCGGGTACCCTCTTTAAAAACCCTGTTGAAAGCCAGAGGACGAGGAGGACATAGCGTTAGCACGATCAAGTAATTCCCTTATTTGACCAATCTGATTGGAAAAGTCCTGGTTAGGGGGGCTCGGAGTAGCAGCTACGGGTGCAGGAGCAGATGTTGGGGTCGAGGACGCGATTTGGACGGATTCGTTTGGGAATAGGGAGAATGGCGCGGGTCCCGTAGCGGATATCTGTTGGCGTCGAGGTTGCTGGCGTCGGCCTCGGTCTCGTCCGAGTCCCATGAATTTGTCTTGGCAGACTGCTTCCAGATGTCCTTGACGTCCACAGTAGCGGCAGGTGGTTTCTCGGTGTGGGCAGTTTTGCTTGACATGACCTTGGGCACCGCAGCCAAAGCATCGTCCTCGCATGCGAGCTAGGAATGCTTCCCTAGTATTCCCATTACTGGTGTGGGTTGCATCAATGTCCATAGCGTGGGGGTCAGCAGGGGTAGTATGAGCAGTATGCGTGGGAGGGTATCCAGAGTTCCGGCCAGTCATGGTGGGATCGTGCAGGTAGACATCCACCGATATGGCCCGTTTGATTGCCTCCTTCAGAGTCGGAGCAATTCCTTGGGCAATGTTTACGGTGATGAGGTGTTGTCGGATCTCTGGGAGTAATGCAGTGAAGAAACGTTCCCGCAAGTCAATATCAGACATTTCAGTCCGATCTCCGATATCCTTGAACTTCTGAGCGAATTCCGCAACTGTCTGTCCTTTACTTTGCCTGAGATTCTTGATCTCGCTACGGGCTTCCATACCTGGGTCCATTGGTTCAAACCGTTGGCTAAATTCCTTCAGAAACGCCTCCCAATTTCCTCCGAAAGGGGGATTTTCCGCATTGAAATGTAGCAGATGGGGAGTTGCCCAATCTCCGGCACTTTCTGTGAAGAAGCCCAAGGCGGACTTGATGAGTTTTACTTGGCTTTTGGCGAGATCCGGTTGTTCTGACGCCCAATTCTGGAACTGAGCCATGAAGCGACGGGCTTCAGCGCCGTCTTTACCCTTGAAAACCTCGGGTTTGTTCATGCTTGACTTAGAGGATGAGCGTTCCTCCATAGCTGTAGCAAGGTTAGCTACTTGTCTGATGAGCTGAGCCATGAGATCCTCCGCAGAGGTGTTTGGGGCAGGCGGGATAGGAGTCGACATGATGGGAGTAGGCAATCGGGGCTGGGGAATCGGCAGGAAGGTTATATTGCTCACAGTGAGTGGCTCTCGGATTGAGTTCGAAAGGGCGTTGGGGCAAGGTTGAGACTGGCAATCGCGCCAAGTATCGTCGTTGTTATGGGCGTGAGCTTGGTCTCTGGGGTCAAGTGCGTGCGGGAGTGCGGAGCAGTCTATACTGGCAACAGGTGTTTCAGAGTCGGGCGGAACTGGGGAAGACGTGGTGTCTATAGACCCTGCAAGGACAACCTTATCGGTAGGCTGTCAGTGCAGTAATGGATCTTGACCTAATGTCACGAAGCGGCAGAGGCGGAGTGACTAACGGAGCGGGAAAGCGGAGCGACTAAGCAGAACGGTGAGGCGGAGCAACTGTACAAGGCAACAAGGCGGAGCGACTAAGCAGAACGGCGGCAAGCTGGTCCCAGATAATGACAGAGATATATTGAGTATCGTAGTCATAGGTAATAATAAGTAAGCACATACCTGGTCCCAGATAATGACAGAGAGGTCAAGATAAGGGACCAGGCTGTGGAGGGTTGGCTATATATACATAATCCGGTCTGCGAGAAACAACGATGTAATACTGTACAGTTTAGGAACAAGGAAGGTGGCGGAAGCCAGTAGAAGGAGAAGATGGGTCAGGTGGATCAGTAATCGATGGGGGTTTGACAGTGATGGGATGATGTATCGTACAAGTAAAGGCGTCGAGACGGTGAGAAAAGGAAAATGATAGGGGCTGCGTACTTTATGACACTGACTCTCTTGGCAGCATCAGTTGAAGGAGCATTGCTGACTCCAAATGATGAGATACCCCAGAGGATTATATCCATCTGGGCATCTGAGAATAGGGAACGAGGCAGATGATGGGGGATATCTAGGATACATGTCTGCTTTCGATGAGGTTGGCCAAAGTGCACAAGCAATGGCAATTCCATACCTCTTTATCAGACCATGGAAACCAAGCGGGGTTATTGGATTGTGGTTGACGACGGGACCGCTGAGTTCCAAAGTTGAGTATATCTTCGTTTTCATCTGTGAGAGAGATTCATGAAAGAATGCAGAATAACAACATGGTAAATAAATCAACATACTGTCTAGATACACTTCATCCTGTTCTTGGAGCTCTGGTTCTGAATCATCTGAATCAGTGTCTTCCAGAAGCCAGGCATGTAACTCTTCTGCAAGACGTGCCAAGCCGTGCTCCTCTTCTGAAGATTGTAATTCAGTTGGATCATTTGGATCAAAGTTCACGGAAAAATTGGCAGCAACGTTGCTCCGGAATTCTGGTAAACCATCGTGGTAGTGCTGTCCAATATTATCAGAATCAAAGAATTCTCAGGAAGTGCCTTCTACAAAAGGGGCCTCTGACAACTCCACAAGAGGGGGGAAACCCGACTAGAGATTCCAGGATTTGCGTTCAGAGGATTAGGAGGTGTATATCCTGGGTTTTCCTGCTGATATCTGACTGCTTGCTGGTGAGTCTGACGTTCTTCATGGCGATGAGCAGCTGTAGAATCTCTCCAAAGCCGGTCTTCACAGATTATACAGGTCCGTTTTTTCCAATTTATCCCGGTGCCTGCTTCCCAAACTACATAACTCGGTATAAGGAAAAACGAAATGATGATAATTTAGAAACAGACACTCAGGATTCTTGAATGGCTTCAGTTGAACCATTATAGAGATATCGATTTCGATTTCAAGTTGGTATGAACAGAGACAGATCAGAAGACAGATGGCCAAAAGATAGACGTGATTATTGATCTGGAGGCTATCCAGTCATAAGCATGGAATAAAATTAGATTAAACGTCTAAAAAAATATTGCAATATCCAGAATATGCTATGCGGTAGGAAATATTTGATCGGAGTAGCAAATATGCATATATCAATCGGGCATGCTTAAACTGCTTTTGGAAGCAATCCAACCTTAACCCCGTTACCGTGTACATATACATATGCAAAACATGTATTTTTTGGCTAACCATCCGAGAGCAGCTGAGAAGTGCTTCCCAGCAGCCAAAGCACCCAGAGCAAGTTGAAAATCTTGCTTCTCCAGCCAGTACCCTTGCTCTGGTGAACATACAGGTTTTGCAGATGTATCCAAGCTCCAAGCAGCCACTGAATGAATGTATCTCAATAGATGCAATCGGACAAAAAAAAAATCATAGTTTGGAGATCTGAAAAAAATCATTCTCAATCGCCTTATACTTGGAACTTCCATTTTCCCAATACCCAGTCCCTGCTGAAGGTGAACAGATTGCAATCATCTGTACGTACTTGGTAAATTATGAGGCTACAGTAGTGTATACAGTTTATAGAAGTATCGTCTCCTTATTTAATAATACACTGTTTTTTTTGCCAATGCCAATGCCAATGCACGGTGGTGCAGTGGCTTGCAAATCGCCATGTACGATGATTATAATTGTATTGACAACACAACTCAATCCAGAAATGGATTGATGGATTCAAGAGAATGAGCTTGCTCGGGTCATACAGAGATCATGTATGTACGTACATGCCTGTAGCAGTAAAAGATAAACTGACCACCTCTGGGGTGGGGTGGGATTGTAGATCTACTATCTACAACAACACCTCCTGAGCCAGGTGCCAACTCGAGCTTGTCAAAGTCCTCCCCCCCCCCTCTCACTTCCCGGGGTCTGTGGGTGAGGGTTGCACACATGCCAAGAAACTCCCTGGACTACTGGAGTTGGGCGATGTTCAGATCTTGGATCAAGGCATTCAATATAGTTTAATATACCTTCCTTCCTTCCTCGCAATGAGGAACCAGTCTTTTGCGATGAGGAATCGATCCCTTGCAGTGAGGAAATGAAAAAAAAAAAACGCAGATATAATTACTGTAAGTCCTCGCTACCGGGAGATAATTTCCCGCGATGATGAGCTGATTTTTATGATTTTTTTGCGGAAAGTATCTTGATGGAAGATAAGATGTTATGTAAGCTATGTTAAAAGACAAGATGAAGGGTGTGTAGATGGATAGATGGATGAATAGATGGATAGATGAATGAAAAGTGGTGGATAAATATCTGGATATATGGATGAGAGATTGAGGGATTGAGAGATAGATGATTGAGAGATTACAACGTGATCATATATACTAGTTACAGACGAAAAGTGAAGTGAAGGGAATGATTTCACGGTGAGTGCGGAATGTGGGAATATAGCACAAAGTCAAGTTACTCCTTTGACCACAGCGTCCCCAAACGAATACACTTTTCCCTCCCTAATATACCCTCTCTTCCCTCCCTAATACACCCCACCCCCTCTCATCCCCCCGCCCCTCCTCCTCCCACTCCGCATCCCAGACCGTCTGGATCCGAAACATCTACAGCAGAGAATGTCGAGGATTACGTCGAAGATGGTTACGATTACCTGGATAGATAGAGGATAGAGGATAGAGGGTGATTGTGCGTGAGCGAAATGGAAGGAGATGGGGAAGGGAGAAAAGGATGAAGAGAAGCGAAATGGAAGGAAGCGAAATGGAAGGAGATGGAAGGAGATGGGGAAGGGAGAAGATGCGAGGGGAGAGGATGAAGGGAGAGGAGAAGAGAACAAGGTGAAAAGAGAACGAAAGAAGACCCACCATAGTAATCGCCGACACAATGGTCATAATCACATTCGCGATAGCGGAGATGATAGCGTTGATGCCGCGTCCGATGCTGCTGAATATCGAGCCCTGTGACGAGGAGGATTAGAGGGAAGTTCTCTGGAAGTTCTCTGGATGAGGGGAAGAGAGAGGAAGAGAGGGATGGGGTTGGAAGAGGGAGATGAGACGCATACCATGTTAGTAGTAGTAGTAAAATTGTAGTGGGTAAATTCGAGGTGTTTCGTTAGATCCTTCGTTCGTTCGTTCGTTCGTTCGGTTGAGTTATCAATTCGTCGGGGTAATTCGTTCGGTTGTGTTATTGGTTCAATTCGTTGATTTCCAACGTATGATATGGTAATTGGGTTTAATGAGTAAATGAGTAAAACAAGTCCAACCATCGTCGGTGGTTTATATACCACTTACCCGCACCCACCGTACCTGGTACGTAGAGTGACGTACGTCGTACTACCCATGACGCTGGTTTTTTGCTACGTCATAACGTAATAACATAACGTCATAGCATAAACAGAACGTCGGTGCCTCGGTGGGGTTGTACCTGGGTTGTATGTATGTACATAGTCTGTTAGAGTCTGTTGTGCTCCTGGAACGGAACGGAACTTGTGCGATTGTGTTGGCGCCCGACGCTGTCAATGCGTCATCCGAGTCGATCTGACCCCCCCTCCAAACCTCCAAACCTCTCCAAACCTGACCCCCTCCAAACCTCCAAACCACCACATAAACCCGCTCCAAGGACCAAAACGCCATTTGTTATTTTCCCGAAGATGATTTATGGTGGTTGAAGCGGTGAAGGTGAACTTGGTGAAGCGGTAAAGGTGAATGTGAAGCTGAAGCGATGAAAAAGTACACCTCTACCACGTCACAGTTCACCACCTCTATACAGTCACAGTCACAGTCTACACAGTTTGCACAGTCTGCATAGTGTACACAAAAGGAGAAGAGGAATCACCGATAATCGATCCATAATCGATTCGGAGACGGATTCGGAGACGATGAGAACGGGCAATTCAGAAGGCTGCCAAGGCATGAGGCATCTCTAAGGCAAGGCAATTTCATTAGGCAAGGCTGCCAAAGCACGAGAGAAGCATTGACTCGTGCAGCTGTGTATGACTCGAAACTTGTAACTGCTCCCGCGCTTTTACTTTTACTTTGAGCGTGAGCTATTGCGTTTACGTTGCTCCCGGGCTTCACCTTGAAAGAGAAAGAGCGAAGAAAAGTTTGAAGAAGACAGAGTTACAGCTACCTCGAGAAACAACTACCTCGAGAAACAGCTACGAAGAAAGACAAGAAACAGCTACCTCGAGAAACAGCTACAGAAACAGCTACAGAGATACAGCTACCTCGAGAAACAACTACCTCGAGAAACAGCTACCTCGAGAAACATCGACAAGGAACAACACACCTACAGAATACACAGAGCAATGCTCTCCACACACAAAGACGACAACTTCTGTTACCCCATCCCGGATGTATTAGAGACCACGAAACTGCGATTGGTTCCGTTTGTTGTATGTCCATTCCCTTATCCAACGCACACTTTATATCTAATATCCACTCACTCCCCTTTGAATCCCTATCCAATCTCAACGTCCAATCCCCACTCCCCACTCCCCTCTTCCCACACTCCCCACTCCCCACACCCAGCCCTCCATCCACGCCCCCCTCATCCTCCAATCCACCACCACCGCAACATGGCACTACCTCCCCTTTGGGCCGTTCCCGACCGCGGAAGCCCTCGTGGAGGATTTCTACGAAGCGCGGATCCATCGGAATCGGGGGGATACGTTGTTTGTTGGGTATGATTTGACGGGGAGGGAGACTAAGGCCGAGGACAAGGGAGAGGGAGGGGAGGAAGGAGGAGAAGGCGACGACGAGGAAGGAGAAGGAGGGGGTGCCGAAGAACGAAAAGGAGACAAAGAACAAGGCAGAGAACAAGGAACCCCAGCAGGAATCTGCGGCTACGTATACACCAACCCCTCTGATCTCTACACCGAATTATTCGTGCTCGCTTTTCCTAGGTATCACCACACCCACGTCGCATCGCATATGATTGGGCTTTTGATGCGGTATGCGCTGGATTTGCCTAGTCCCCCTAGTCCTAGTCCCACTCCCACCAGCCTCGGTGGTGATGGCATCGGTGTCGGTGGCCTCGGTGTCGGTGGTGTCGGTGGTAGTGGTGTCGGTGGTAGTGGTGGTGCAGGTGGCCTCGGCCTCCGCCGCATCCAATGGTCCGCCAACGTGCACAACCACGGCAGCATCGGTCTCGCGCGCAAAATGGGGTTCCGGGTCGAAGGGGTGCGGCGCTGGGCGCGGGTGTTAGATGTCTCCAAAGGCGAAGGCGAAGGAGGGAATGGGGAAGGAGGAGCGGGAAATGGGGAAGGAGGAGCAGGAAATGGGATTAAAAGAAGAAAGGGAGATCCGAGAGAAGAATGTCCTGGGAGAGATACAGTGGGGTTGGCTATATGCTGGGATGAGTGGGAGGAGGGGGGGAGGGAGAGGGTGGAGGGGATTTTGGGAGTGTAGGAGTGTAGGGGTTTGGGGATGTAGGAGTGTATAGAGGGATTATAGAGGGTTTATAGAGGGAGGGGATATAGGAGTGTAGGGATGTAGGGATTTCGGGATGTAGGGAATTATAAACCCATAGCTCCGCGTTCGAAATACACAGCAGATGTATCGGTTAGTTTATATTGTAACGCCCTGGATCGGGGACGTGTTTTTACTATAGACGTCTTCGTCGACGTGGTGGCTGGGCCTTGGTGGATGAAGTTGGGGCCTTGGTGGAGTGCGATCTGACCACTAACAACCCCGCTCCGTCCACTGCTTAGGGGTTGGATATCCATGTGATACGTGCAGAGTGCGTGTAGGGATCGGAATAACAAGTCTCCACTGGCTTCTCGGGGTGAGTCACCTGGAGTGAGAGTGAAGGTAGGAGTGAAGATAGTAGGAGTGAAGGTAGTACTGGGAGAGAGAACATGATGCCTAATCACCAACACAGCATCATTCCTCACACACAACCCCCGTAACGCTCGACAAAACCTCCCCAGTTCTAGAGGCGAGGCGAGGCCGGTCCAGTGGAGGGTTGTTATGTCGTCCAGGATTATTATTCCACCTCTATTACCTTCGCTTTCACCACCCCCGTCTTCACCTTCCACACCCTCTAGATTACGATCACCCCCGTCTCCACTACCCCCGTCTTGGAAATAGGATTCAACGCGCTCATACACCCCCTTTAACCCAGACCCCTCTCCCAACCCCGACCCCGCACCCGAAACCACATCCACCACGTCCACGAATTGGATAGTACCCGATGAGAGGTGCTGGGTTAGGTTGATGTTCTGTGGCGGAAGCGATGCGATGAGCGATGAGTGGATGAGTGAATGAGTGGATGAGTGGAGTACGAAGGGATGAGTGAAGTGCGAAGGATAGGGATACGTAGGGATAGGAATACAGAAACTCACATATTTCCCCAACACACTCCCCCACCTCGCCACACTCATACTCCCTGATACAGAGAGGATCATTACTTTCTTTCCTATTCCCCCTACACCCTTTCCTCCCAACCCCTTTCCTCCCAACCCCTCCTCCCGACCCTATTCCTCCCCTTACTCCCACTCCCACTCCCCCTACACCCGAATCCACGCTCCACTTTGACTTCGACCCACCCCTCCCCTTAACACCCTCCACCACAAACCCCACCAGCACAAAATCCGCCGGCGACGCCAGTTGGTCCGTTATCAGGAGGACTAGCTGTTCTCCTTCCCCTCCTTCTCCTCCTTCTCCTCCCATGGAAGACGGGGGTGGGAAGTCAAATGGGTGAAACATCTTGAATGTGAGAGGTGAGGTGATAGAATAGGTGCCGGTGATAGGTAATAGGTGATAGGTGTTGGGTAGGGAGCGACCGATGATGGGGATAAGAAGATTGATTTTTTTGGATGACACGTGATCCGTGTAGGATCAGCTTGTTATCTTATCTTATCTTATCCTTGCACAGAAGTACACAGAAGGACACAGAAGTACACAGAAGTACACAGAAGGATACAGAAGTTCACAGAAGGATACAAAAGGATACACACTAGGATTGTGATCTTGATTTTCACAATGTTTTTTTAAATTCAAATTTATAACATGTACTATAGCAGTGACCCGTGTGATGCATGATGAGAAGCTCAGTTCCGCTCAGGGCATCGCATTGCTCCGCCCACTCGCTATCTTCACCCATGCAGTGTTCATTTGTATTATAATTATACTTAGTGTGCGATGCACATCTAACAGCTCCGCACATGCATTTATGTTAAGACAAAATTTGTCTAGCCAATCAGAATGATTGGACCAAGCAGGGACAAACACATATTTTTTTGTAGTGTTGACTAGCAGTGACCCGTGCGATGCACAATGAGAAGCTCAGTTCCGCTCAGGGCGTCGCGTTGCTCCGCCCACTCGCTACCTTCGCCCGTGCAGTGTTCGTTTGTAACTTATTAGATATAGATAGCACGTGCATTTATGTTAAGACAAAATTTGTCTAGCCAATCGGAATGATTGGACCAAGCAGGGACAAACACATAATTTTTTGTAGTGTTGATAACATGTAATGAAAATTACCTTGGGATTAGCTTGGACTTGACTCGGGAACTAGGACTACCTTTGGATCAACTTGGGATAATAAATCAACTCACCAATGTTACAATATTAGGGAGTACTCCGCACATACATACATACATTACCTAGATACTTCCCATTCGAGACAACAATGACAATGGTGTTATTACTTACTTATTACTTATTACTTATTACTTATACTTTACTTATTTCATTATACTGTACAGTACAGTTCAATGTAGATCACACAGCCCAGAATACTCAAAACTCAATACTCAATACTCAAAACTCAAGACCCTCAGTTGCTTAAAGGCTTTATGATCAACTAAGGTGAGTGTTTGAGAGTATACCAGACTTTACAAGTATAATCAGACTTTACAAGTATACCAACACATATTACATTACATTATCATTCTAGTTTTACTCTAACACATAGATACCACAAATAAATACATACTCACTTTATCATAAATCAACTAAGTTTTTACTACTCTAACAGATTATGAAACTCGTGTTATATATAAACTGAGAATGAAAAAGGTTGATAGTATTATTAGTATCAATCAAAGAGGTTAATACAATATTACAAGGCTGTAGTTTACGGAAGACTCGTCCTTATGTAGGTCATGTCATGCTATTCCGCTTTGCTCACTTGGAAGGAGTTTCTCCATATATGGTACTCAGCCACATTCTGTTGGAATACATTCATTTAAATGTGACCGGCATGGGATATCACGGGACTGTCACCCTCTGTCACGATTACTTTTTCTCGTCTCATTCAGTTACTCCCTGTTACTCCATAGATAGTTTAAGTAAATTTACTTTTATTCTGCTTTTCTCAGAAAATCAATGTCGGCGCCTGAAAGGCACCCCCATTTCATGATTCCATAATATTCAATTAATATTTAATAACCCACAAGGAAGGAGCCGAGTTTTTGCCATGCATGGTGGTGCAGTGGCCTACAATCGCCTGTAATAAAGTAAAGTAAAGTGAAATGTCTGTTGTTCAGAAATAGCCCGAACATACTATACCAAAACTCCCAAATATACCATACCAAGACTCCCGGAAGGGAAACAGCTCATCAGTGAAGAAACCCGGAGGCCTTTCAAGTACAAGTGTGAAATTCTATTCCCAGTACAATCAAAGGAACTAACCACCTTAACCACATTGACAACACCCCTCTCAAACCCAAAACCAAACACCTACCCAGCACCAGCACCAGCACCAATATATCCATCAACACCTCTCTCCTACACTACTATCTAGTCCAACACCTTGTCTAAAGAAACAGGACACCCACAATAGGCTTGTTGCAGGAGCTATTGTGTCTAATAATCCGAGATCCAATTAGGCTTGGGGTAGATGAATTGAAACAAAACAAAATGAAACCAAAAAAGGCACACACAACACACAATAATGATGGGCCTTGCTTCATTCCGTGTGAATGAAGAAAGGTGTGAATGAAAAAAGGAAGGAAAGAATCAAATAGGCACTTTCAACCAACTAACTTGAATCTAATACACGAGAATTGCGAGTACTAGGTGCACCAGCACTAATGACCCTTGAAACTGGAATTTTGAAGTGAGCACCATGGATGAGCCATACTTGGAACTTGAATGCATGTTAGATATGTACTTAGATAGGTAAATCATAAATGAGATAGGGAAAAAAACAACTTGGGCATTTTCCCAACACACTCTCACACTCTCCCATCTCAAGATACTCATTTCAAGATACTCCCTGAGATGGAGAGGATTAGGGGAGGATGAAGATGATAAGAGGAAGAAGGTTGAAATTTGAGAGATGATGCGAAGATGTGATCTATATCCATTTCCAAGAAAAATAATGATTTTATTTTATCAGCAGTATTTTTAACTACCTCATGAATCAACACTACAAAAAATTATGTATTTGTCCCTGCTTGGTCCAATCATTCTGATTGGCTAGACAAATTTTGTCTTAACATAAATGCACGTGTAAGACCTGGGTCAAAATAGGTCTTAGGGTAGGTTTTGGTATATGGAGGTTTATGTTGTAGCGTGCTAAGAGCAGGCTGGAGCTCAAAGGGAGCTACGAGAACCGTGACCGAGGACGGGAATGACCTAGTAGTGGCTGGAACGACGAGATGATGACCCTTGAGGGGGTTCCTAGGAGGTCCAGGGAGGTCCCTAAGGCATAGGGAGGTTAAGGAAGAGTGCGGGACCGTACGATGTTGCGTAGTAGGAGTTGTACGCGCTAGAACGTCAATATAGGATCGAGTAGGTCGTATATGTAACTGGATCTCGAGGGTATAAGCTCCTGAGAAGGGATATGCCAGGGAGGGTAGGTCCCTGGGGGCTGGGCTTGAGGATGGACATCCTCGAGTGGGGGAGGTGGTAACGGAGAAGCGGTACGTAGTTCAACGTGAGGGGTAGCTTCGACGTTACCTAGATCGAGGTCCCGAAGCTTACGAAGTAGCTAGGGAGCTCTGGAGGTTTTGGGAAGGGTAGCTCACCAAAGCGTGTAGGTGTTGGGGAGCTTTAGTAATGTTCGAGGGAGCTCGGGAACTCACTTGGAAGGCTTAGACTTGAAGTAAAAGTGTATATTTGATCGTATAGGCGATCAGAGAGACAATGGACAAGAGTAAGGAAAAACAGAGGTAGTGAAACAGAGAGTAAAGAGAAATCCATATGGTTAGCAGGTACAAAGGGACAGGGACTGGACCTATGCAAAAGGGTGTGTGTTCAAAATATACCAAGCTGGGGCTTGGGGACATTGCGGTACTACTTAAATAGGTACGGGAAGTGAACATGGGAGCATTTGGGGAATCTGGTATGTGTGAGGTAACTGATCGAGATTAGGGCTAAATGGGGTTTGTTGCGGCGGAAGGTCTAAGGAATGATGTATCATGGGAACTCGGGGTGTATTGTCGAGGCTGGGTTGAGGCGGGGAGGTTTATGGAGGACCCGGGAGGTCCTGGGATGAGTGAAGCAGTTCCATGGGGAGTTAAGGTAAAGGGAGGGAGGTCCCTCAGAGTCGGTCGGGGCTATGGGAGGTAGGTCAGGGCATGACAGCACGTGCTATCTAAAGTTACAAACGAACACTGCACGGGCGAAGGTAGCGAGTGGGCGGAGCAACGCGACACCCTGAGCGGAACTAAGCTTCAAGTTCTCATCGTGCATCGCATGGGTCACTGCTAGTATATTATATATCCTTGTTGCATTGTGTTGCGTGGTGCTTTCAATGTCCACAGTACATACACTGGCGTATCCTGCCATGTGCCATTGCACAGACTAGGATTGTGATTGCAATTTTACAAAATTTGTAATGACTTTCACAGTCATATGAACTAGGATAGAATTAAGTTGGGATTGATTCACTACAAAATCTCCCCCAATTCAGCTATGTAGAGTCGAGTATCCGATCCATTCAAGTTCGAGGGAAGGGATATCGTCAAGGATTATTAGTGCACCAGCACCATAATCATGATTCTCCGGCGCCTAGACAACTCTGGAGTAATCCAGAGCGTCTGATTGGCCGGCGTTAATAATATACTCTAGATTCTGGGCCCTCATATAAATTGACATCACATTGCTATGTAATAAAGCCATGGCTAGCAAGCTTGTCGCATTCCTTGTCGCACTATCTGCTGCTTTTGTCTCCTACAATATCTATAACTCACCTCTGAAAACGCACCCCACCATGTCAGGTCTGGAAATGCAAACCTTCGAGTCTGCAGAGGTCTTGAAATATGTCGAGAGCATAAGGTATTGTCATTGGTCAAATGCATTTTTACACTGTACATGAAGGATATAATATTGATAGGGCTGCGGCAACACCAGAGAGACCAGCTCTTGCTTCGGACAGGGGTCGTTGGGCAATGGCTTGGTGTGTTGACCGTGTCTTACACTGCTTTCGATCGTGTCGGTACTGACCAAGGTCGTCACTTCAAGGCTCCATCTCGTTATATGGAACTCTGTAGGCATATTTCCGCAGGTTCCTATGTTATCCCAAACACTCATATCATCCATTTCAAGTGGAAGAGTGCATATTTCTACGCAGACAAGTACCCAGAGGGTGACTTGCAGAATTATCTCGAATATGCCTTACTTTCCGCTTCGTTCTTAGCTGTGAGTTTCTAAGCAGCAAATGTCGTGTCTTCTTTCCTTGTATTCACCCTTAAGGTAACCTTGAAACTTGAATTATTACTAGGAACACCATGACGCCGAAGAGTCTGCTCTATTCCCTGCGCTCGAGAAGAAGATCCCTGGTTCCATGGAGCACAACGAAGCTCAACATCAATCATTCCTGAAGCCAGTATGCGATTTCCCATTCATTTATTCCTTGAATGCGTGATTCAAACAAATTGGAATGCATCACTAGCTCGAGGAACTCATAGAATACATAAACCTGGCCAAAGCGGAGGGAAAACTCGACAGCGCTACTTACCGTGCAAAGGTCGATTCTATCCTAGTCCCTGTTATGCAACATCTAGCGGAAGAGCTAGACTCACTTGAAGGATCCAAGGTCTGTCCGATATTCAATATATATATATATATATATGTCCTTTGAACATCACCCCAGCTCCTCGAGCATTTCTCGGAAAGTGAATTGGACACAATCAACAAGGCGACGCATAAAGCGCAACAAGGCGATAACCACAAGATGCTTCCTTTCGTTCTTCGTACGTGTAATTGAATCAAATTTTGCATCTGAGTCTTGGACTGACAATGGTTTGTACAGAGGTTCGTGAACTTGACGCATTCTTGAACACTCATTGTGATTTTGAAATGAATGTCAATTATAGAACCTTCCTCCTGGTTCACCATTCCCGCCCGCACCTGGGTTCGTCAAGACTTTGCTTGGTCCGTGGGTGTTCTATTGGAAATATAGTGAACTGTGGAAGGTAAGCACATGTACATACTGCTCGTTTTGACTTTTGGTCTGATACAATCCCTGCTCAATAATTTCTCAAGTACACCACCTATCCTATGAAGCCAGTTCTTCCCACCGCACCTCAATGAGCTTTTTGAACTATACATAATTGTACCCATTTATGCATGATATATAGGAAACTGGAGGAGCTTGTTGTTTTGGTTATCTGTTCTCAATTCATAGATGTTTTCTGCAAAGATATATATTGGTATATTCAAGGTCTGCTTCACTGACTATAGTCAGGCCGTAAAGCTGCCTGTCAGGCGTATATCACTAATCGAAGCACCAATGTAGACATTGAAAGTGCCGCTAGGTACGACCCATTCCTGGCTGATGACGTCCCAGATGCTGCACTCCCATGCATTAGAACCATTCATCCAGGAAACACCATGTAGCTCACCTCATTTCTTTCTGAGAAATAGTAATGGTGACCGTTTGCTTCGCTCCAGAAGCAAGAAACACATTATCGAAGCCTCTGAGCACTTTATCTGGCTCACCAGCGGAGCTTGGGAAGCCCAGATACAGCTGTGGAATTTCCGTGCCATCGAAAGAGCCTGTGTTGGTCAATATAAAGGAGACGGAGCCTGAAGAGGCAGAAGCTTCGATAGACAGCGAAGAGTACGCGAATGTTGTATATGAAAGACCATATCCGAATTCGTAGACAGGCGTGATACCTTGAGAATCCATGTATCGATAGTCCAGGAAGAGACCTTCGGTGTAATCGAGCTGAGGTAGGATTATTATTAAGCTGGTGGTATGTACACTTGGACGAGCTTACAACAGGGAAAGGATCTATGCCATAGACAATGCTTGTTCCATAAGAAGCTTCATCCTGTCGAAGGAATCAGTACTCATCACAAGTTAGATGTGCATAGTTCCCCTCACATCGTCAATGCTGAACGGTAAACGTCCGCTAGGATTGACCGCTCCCCACAGCACATCGACGAGACTCGGGCCTGTTTGTTCTCCAGGAGCACCAGCATAGATAATCGCAGTGATATTCGGATGATTGTTCCACGAACTCATCGGGACCGGGCCAACAGAATGTATCACCACAACAGTGTTGTTGCACACGGCGGCTACATCTTCAATCAAGCTTCCTGGTTCCAATTGTCGATATCAACGTGGAAATACATGCAAGATAGGACAAATCTTACCTCCCTTCCACCACAAATTCAAATCATTGCGATCACCTTCGTTCCCATCGACAATGTTGTAGAATCCAAGCTCCCCGCTCATCCTAAGCACACGTTTAAGTCCCCGAAGAAAGATATACTAATTGTCACTCACGCGTTCGCAAACACAATGGCGAGATCCTTACCTTCCGCTACAGCAGGTCCTCCGGTCAAGTCATTCGACGTGATATCGGAAGAGATTGTGGCAAAGCCCTGCGCGAAGTCTGTGATAGCATCAATTGGAGGAACTGTAAACTCGACGTTATTTGAGCCCGATCCCCATCTGAATGGTTTCAGTCAACAAGGGCTCCGAAGAGAATTCAGCAGAAGTACCCAATGACCATAGTCCCATCGTTGCATTCGTTCAAACCCCCTCCACAGTCGAGATTGAGCTGTTGCGCATCTTGACCTACGACCGCAATAGTCTTGATATCTTTAGACAGTGGGAGACCACGTATTGTGGTACCCGTTGCGGTTCCTGGAAGAATTGCATCCAGGGTCAGTCACTTCGCACGGCGAGTAAGATGGCTTTCAATGCTAACCGTCACTTGTCGTCCGATTGTTCTTGAGTAAAACCGCGCTGGCACTTCCGATTTGCCTCACAAGAGCTGTATGTGCATCCGTTCGTACATTTACATTGAGATTGAGAGAGTCAGTTCCGTCAGGATTTTGGGCATTGAAATTGATATCGGGGTATCCCTTGGGAATTCATACACATATCAGAAATGTACAGCCTGAGACCGAGCGAGCGTAACAGACCTGGTCTTGGCCCAAACGCAGCCAAGGTGTTAAGATACGCGTCACCATCTGATTCAATCTCTGTTACGAAGATGAGATTCAGTGATAGAGCGGACCGTAAAGCTACTAACCGCCTCAGATACTTGTCCGTCGTCGACAGCAGCTTCTAATCCACTGTAAACACCGCCGCCAATAAGTATCCAGTCGCCAGGTTGCTCCTTTAATGGTATGCAGATACACATTTGTTACAAGAATGAAGACAGGCCATCCAATGATGACTTACCATATCGAGACCAGCATTGGCATTGTCAGCTGCAGAGTCATGAGTAGCACCCCAGTCGCTTACAACAAATCCTGGACTCTTCCGCTCAGCAAGGGGGGGCCAGCGATATTATACCTCATAACGATACCTTGGAAGCCTTCCGTCCTCAAATATCCTTCGTCACCGATTAGGGCAGCATTATGACATGAAGACGTTCCGTTGACTTCGTTATAGGCGCACATCAAAGCAGACACATTGGCCTAAGATGAAATTTCTATTCCATGAGAAACAAGGTCTGCAATTTTTCTAGTAGTATGTCGTACCTCGACACTCTTCATGAATGGCCACCAGTAGAGCTCGCGAAAGGTTCTATCGTCAACTTCCGCGTTGAGCCCATACCTCCAATGCTCTTGGTTGTACGGCCCGAGGTGTTTTGTGCATGCGCTCACCCCCACACTTTGGACACCCATGATGGTCTGATAGGCTCCTTCGCCGCCAAGGTACGGATCGGGTCCGAAGCTTCATACATCGAGGTCAGCCAATGTGCGAATTAATTGCATTCTGATTGCATGCATACCCTTCCCAGGCTCTGCCAGCCTTAGGATTTCTCATCTGATAGTCAGACGCATTCAGGAACGAGAGTGGGACACATGCTGAAGAAGCACGTACAATGTCAACAGCTGGGCCTAGGTAGACATGTATGCCTACAAAGATTGCTGAAAAAAATGCAATGAATTCAAGACCGACGCGTACCTTTCCCTCTGAATTCTTCTCCGATAGCCACACCACGGGAATACATTAGATCCCGGTTGAAGGTAGCAGCAACGTTGATTGCAGGAGGGAACCCGGTCACATTCGATCCTCCGAGTCTGATCCCAGCGGGGCCATCGTTGAAGCAGAGCGGAGGGATGGTGATGTTAGTTCCCGAGACGATAAATGAGCGTGAGGGAGGAGAAATGTTTCCGACGCAGCGACCTGTACATGTTTCTGTTGGTCGACAATGTATGATTGAATGATTTGCGTACTGCTGAACTGGCCGACGCCTCGCACCATCCCGATCTTCTCGTCCAAAGTCATCAAGTTGACTGTTTCATTTGCCAAGGCAATTGATTCAGCCCATGAACCTATGAAGCGCAACATAAAATTTGATTTCGCCCTAAATAGACCGTACGAAAAGCCACATACGTTCTACAAAACCCAGACTTTTTGGAATCAAAGACAAGCAGAAGACCAAGAGCACAACTGCTCTTGATGAGATCATATTAAGGAATGTCGGCAGTGAAAGTAAGACGAGAGAGAAGAGAGAGAGAGAGAGAGAGAAAGACTTGCAGCCCGGAGTCGCAAGTTATATTGAACTCGCGTAAATTTATATTTTGACGAGCTGCCAAACGCTTCGCGGAATATTTTCAGCCGAAATTACCTCACATGAGCTCATGGGGCCCAGAAACGGAAAAGGAACTGCCAAATGGAGATCCCATCCCACATGTAAGGATCGTCGTATATGTGGATGACCAAAAGCTGATTTCTTTTGTCCCCATGCGCTCAGGCAACAGAATGAAGAACTGAGAAGGGCATGAGGTTCTCTCGTCAGAAACACTAATTAGATATTATGTTGCATACTACAAAAGGCAAACGAACATATTGGAGGTCGTGTGTGCACAAGACCACAGTGGCATACTTCGATTGAGCATGTCATGATTTGTGATCCAGCGTGGAACCTCCATAGCCTCTTGCAATCCCACTGCGCCCTTGTTCCAAGGCACTTGGTGCGTCTTGCCCTAAACGAGGATCTAGTCCTTGATAAGTGCGGCTCTGCAGAAATTGAGCTGGGAAAGCAAATGGATCAGTGATTCCTCAAACCCAAGAGGGAATTAGTCACCCGCGGCGCTATCACTCAACAATGACAAGGCGTTATCCTGGTTTCGTTGAATAAGGGCCGCCGACGAGCTCGGGGAAGCCATAGAATTTGTTTCGCTCGAGATTGGTCCAAATTGCTTTGCGTGCCGGTACTTTCCTGTCACAAGAGAGAATACAGGTGCATCTTCATCTTTGTCTTCGTCGTTCCCTTCCGCGATCTCCGTCTTATCACCCTGGCCATATTCTGCGAGCAGTTTCTCGAAGTCGAGAATGTACTTCCCTGTCCAACTTTGCTCAGCTTGCAAAGCTACTTCTAATTCATAAGGGGTTATGATAGGTCGATAAAAGTCCTGACAAGAAACAGTAAGCATATGGTTGTAGAAAAAATGGAAGAGAAATACAAACCTTCGCGTCAATAAGACTATTTTCAGGACACGCGACAAGAACGAAACATTCTATTTCCATGAAGTTGGCTAATTTGGATGGGTTGAGCTTTCCGACACTGATAGTGTAACTCTTCTTGTGTGATGCGTTGAGGAGGGTACGAATGTGTTTGATCAAGGGAAGGTAGGAGGCTTCGTACAAAGATTCAATATCTGCGTCCAAAATGAGGTGGTTGAGATAACTTACCAACACCAAGAGTACCTACAAGTATCCCAAATACGTCGGCATCACGTCCCTTCTGCATCGCGGCGTAACGGCGCATAAGAAGTTTGTTCGTCCGACCTGATGCTAAGCAGCTTGTTTGTGAGGTAGGAGAATATTGATAGACCTAAAAATGCTTGTTCAGCGCAGTGAATATCAATGGAAGGAGCGGAGAACTCACATCACAAGAAGAATGCGTCATTAACAAGTTTGTCAAACCCAGGCTTTCATCCCCTACATAGAAGATGGTACAGTCTTGGTCTACTTCCTCCGGTAGAATTCGGGAACTCTCTGGATGGTCTGGAGGGAGCAGTTTGTCAGGTATTTCTGCGTAGGCAAGTTGGCTATCGAAATGCGTCAGGGCCTCCCTAAACCGATCGACCAGTCTCCCTATTCAAACCATTGAGACAGAGTAAAACCATTGGGATCGGAGTAGTACCTGCTTGATGTGTGTATGCGACATCGTGGCGTAGAACGATCTTTTTGGAGCGATTCGATTCTAACGACGATGCGGATGAAAAATGAAAGGAAAAAGTCTCGACTGTACGAACTACGCAGTCTTCCACATCGACGGTCTTCTTTCCAAAGACGTATATTACTGGAAGCCGATATGTCCTAGTAAAGGATAAACATAAGTTGTCAAGCGGAACTGGGAGATGAACACACTGGCTGATACAAGCATGACCATAATGCACAAGAGCATTCGCATCGATATGCTGAGCAGCCACTTCATCCACACAGCAACTTGAGATTGGACCCAAAAGAGAGCGAGGTCAGAGGAGACCGTGGATTCCGCAAGGAAGTTCAGAAGCCTGCCTGCCATAGGATGTGTCTGCAAGGACATAAAGCTCTTTATCAAGGCCAATCCTCCCTTTCAGTCTTCGGAATATTTGTACAGAATCATGTAGCAGTTCGTCTGGGAATTGTAAAGCCACCTGAAGGATAATCAGTCATGGTATGTGCAATTTAAGCATCAGTCCTCGTACTCGTTTGAAATTATCTTCCTCTATTTCCCTTGCTGTTCGTTCAATTTCATAAAAAGCATCGAATTCAGCAAGGGATTTCAGTTTATCGGCAGTATTGTCTACCTCGATGTCTATGGATCGAGCTATTACTTCCTCTCCTGAGGCAGAGAAAGCAGTGTTTTCAACGGACATGGAGGATGCTAAAAACCTATGAAAATGCCGGCCGTTTCCCCACAAGTTTTAACTTGATTCTGTTCTAATGCATCGTTGGTACCATGTATTCCCTTAGATTCCCTGGACTTCATACATTACCCAGCTCAAAACGATACTTACATAACTAGATGTTACGGTTCTCGGTCAAGAAAGGACCCGAACAGCTAGGAACAGCTGTTGCGTTCTTCCCGTCACTGCAGCCACCGACTTATATAACGACGCGTCGTGGTTTTCGATATCACTTTTCCCTCTGCTCGAGCTCACAAAATTATACTGGTCCATGTATAAAGTCTTCATCGAGATGGTTTCGTGCTGGTCCACTTTCATCTTCGCTCTCATATTACTCCCCAATCCCAGCATCGTCGCTGCAGTATTGACGTCGGACAAAATTCCCTTTAGCGAATACAGGTTGCTCTTTGGACTTTGTCGGGATGAGGGACCTGCTGTATGTTCACTATACATACCTATTTATAATTAGCAAGACGTAGTCAACTTACTAATCCCTCACTACCAGGCTCATGTAGCAGTCAGATACAAAGGATATGCATATGCCACCCTGCATTACGATGAATGTCATCCTGCTGAAGCTCGCGATTGGGCAGCAATAGCGGAAGTTGCGGTCGTTTGCAGAGCCGCTATTTGTTATGAAGTTCCTCAATCGTGAGTATAGTAATTTTCGCGTTGTATTCGTTGAATGCTGATGCTGTAGGCCGTCTTCCTTGAACAGTGATGATCAAAATTTCGATGATTCTATACAAGCATTCCAGCTTCCTCAGGCTGCACCATTTAAATTCGGTCCAGGCGATGTTGTGACGCAAAACGGTACAGATTTTTCTCGTATTTTGGGAGGAAGTACAATGTGCTCTAGTCCCACCCTGTCCTTCTGACAGCGTAAATTTGGAGCTCCCCTGTGGCGAATGAAACATTTCAACATACACTCTTGGTGCTATTACTCGGAGCGTGAACCAACTATCTTCTATCATTGTGAGTAGTGCTATTATCACCAGCCTCGTCATATTCCGGTGGAGGTTCATTCGTCAAGCCTCTTGCCCAGTCCGAGTATAATTGCGCCTCCAAACGTGCCATACGGTCCATCATCTCGCTGACTCTCAATTGAAGTGCACCGACCGTGTTCTCATCATTTGAGAGACTGGCTTCCGGCATTTGTTGTTCCATAATGCTAAGAGCATCCCGTATGTTATGAGCTTCATCCAGAAGGCGGGTCTGTCTTTCCGTTAGAGCGTCTGAGAGTCCTAAGGAGGACGCGTTTACACCGCCAGTGATTGTAGGATTGGAAGGGATATGTTCTGGTGTTCTCTGTGAGTAGTCGAAGACTGAATGAATATATCTCAAGGCTTCATATATGCATACCTCCTGAGGTCCAGGCTCGGGTTTCAAGGTATACGGCAATATCGTTGACTCCCTGGGCCAAGCATATTCTACAGTATACGGGGTTATCGTGCTTATATTTGATTGCCCGCGAGATGTACTGGTATTTGGTTGTCCGTGAGGTACACTGGGAATTGGGGCTGAGATGTTAGATTATAGAGAGTTATCATGCTTGCACGATGGATCTACTTGCCTTCCGGACGCAGTGTTGCTGCTTACGCGAGTTTGCTTTACGCGCTTGGCGTTATTCCGGACTCTAACTTCGAACATCCACACGAAGATAATTATGAGTACAGCAACTCCTATCATGATTCCAACAATGTCCTTCGCGGGAAGAGATGAGGATCCTTCAGTGCTTTGTCTAGCGGGGAGTTTGGTAGTGTCTTTTCTCTTTTCTGCCGGATTGGCAACATCAGAGGTTACCTTCGTGCCAGAGAAGACGTCCGTGCTATTGTTGATTGATCCAGCGAAACATTGCAATTAGTCACAGAAACTGCGAGTGTTTTCATATCGAAAACCTTGTGAAGAAAGACCAAGCTCTATGTACCTGTAGATAAGCACATGTTGGGGAGCAGCAGAAACAGGTAGGAAGAACGCTAACCTAACCTGACTTCCATACTTTTGTACATGGCGGAAAAGTAAATAGAACTTTCCAGGTACATCTTGACTGGGGGTGGAAGCCGCATGTCGCGGCTCTACTTAACATTACTTGAACTGCATTCGCATCGGGGCAGTCGAATACAGTTGAATATGTTACTTCGGGGACATTTCATATTTGCATGATATCACGCCAGAGCTCTAGGAGAGTTCAATGTACAGGTCAAGCATTGAGGATGATAGGTTGCAGCAGGCGGATAATCGGACAAGTGTTCGGCGACCACAAATGGTATTTACCAAACCTCTTGCTCAATCCAAATTCCTCTGTGCTCGAGAGGCACCATTATTTCCACGTCGCTGGCTCTAGATCTATTTTCCCGCAACAGCTTTATGTGATTTAGTAGTTCTAGAACGCGAGGAACCCGTACGCTCTGTACACCCTGTGCATATGGGACGAATCTGTCATGGTTTGAACAAGCTAGAGTTCAGCAAATCGATAAAACTTGATACTGAGCCATCAATAATTTAGTATATCTGTAACAGGAAGAGGCTGGGAAGAGGTTATGTTAACGAGGTACCCCGTGAAACTACGATTCGAACTCACGAGCGAGAAGTTGACTCCGAACTTCTAGCAGCCTGACCACTCTCTTCTCAATTGTTCTGCCCAAGCCATGATACAGTACACCACGCCCGCCGGCAACATACATTTCTTCACCACGTCGCTCCAATCCCATCTCCTTCCTCCCCACTTGCCGCCTTTCCACCTCTGCCAATCAATTTCATTCTCACTTAAACCGCGTATACCCCCATTACTGTTACCATTACCATTCGCGCTTGCGGGTCCGCCAGGACCACCACTGGGATACTCCCACCAGAGGTTACTCGTAACCCAGATTTGCACGCTTCGGCTGGCGCATGTTGTAGTACCGATAACAGCCCAGACAATCACAGGCCGTTTTTCATGCTCGAGTAAGGAGAGTGTGAAATGAGTCGCGGGCCAACAAATTGCTTGTAAAGATATGAGGCGGATCAGAGTCGCCAGAGGAGGATAATACACGCGCCATCGAACCAGTAAGCCGGTGGTGAGACAAAGGCATTGATAACCAGTCAAAAGGGCCTACAAAAATTATTGTGAATGGTAACGACCAACTGTGAACAAAGAGACCCACCCAGATAGCAGATATAATATAATCGATACGTTCCGGTGGTCGTCTCCCGTCAATCAATACAGTAGAATTAGGTGGATGGTAGATGTGATAAATGTTAAATAAAATCCCAAAAAAAGCGGGAACAACAGATAAAAGTTGAGAAAATTCGAAAAGCAGAGGGGTTAGGCGTTGTTGAAGGAGGTTAGGAGGAACAAGAGGTCTACGGAGAGGAGTTTTTCGGGATGTGGGAAGATGTCGGGGCTGTTGAATGAATGAGTATGTAACATCAGACAGTGATTGCGAAACGTACTGGTTCGTCTATTTCCGTTTCAGTCTCCCCAGCACCTCTTTCTCCAGGCTTCGTGCTGATCAGTCTCTCGCGACTCCTAGTATTTGAGCCTGTGGCGAAAGAAAACAGCTTTTCTTTGAAGCCGGGGGTTCCTTTCTTCGCTGTGTGCTTATGGCGAAGCCAGGGAGCCTGGATCATGTTGTCGTCGTCTCCGTCGTCTCCGCTGTCGGGACGCATATCCCAGGAGCACAGAGCAGGGGCACTGGACTGGATAGAAATGTGATGGACGGAAGGAGTGATAGAATAGTAAGAGCTTGTACGTCGAAGAACAGTAGGTCTTTCGGGATGAGGAAGAAGGAAGACAGGAGTATGACTTGGTGTACAAATTTCTGGGGAAGACAAGGATGATAAGGGTTTCCTCTTTGAAGGTGTTCTGTTATCAGAGCGGACTCCGGTAGAGTGGGTACGACGGTGTAATTTCTGGCGGATAATTGGTGGATCTTGTTGGATCCAAGTAAAAGATGGCGAATTCAAAGAGGACGAGTGCTGTAATTCAACCGAATCCCTTGGTATAACATGAGTTAAATCACGTCTGCCAGCGAAGGGCGTTGGAAATGCGCGTCCTGAATGTTCTGTAGACATGATAGAGAAATTAGTCAAAGATACATTGGGGATCCTTATAACTGACAAACCGAGATAAGGAATTTGACAACAGAAGAAGAATTTCAAGCAAGACAAGGCCGCAAAAGATAGACTCTCCCAGACTACCTTATCACCGTCGGCCCTGACATGTTCAGTGACACTGCGAAGTACCCACGTGACCTATGACGGACGAGCTCTAACTTAACTTAAGTCCCTGCAACTTATCTTTCTCCAAATGTCAACCAAGGACCGACATTATTGGAGTCAGCTTCGAGCAGCCCTCACAGCCGGCCACTGGTCCTCCTCATCGCCAGCCAAAGCATTCAATGGCGCTCCTCTTTCCTGGTCGGAGCTCTTTCGCAAATTCAACAAGCATTGCAAAGGTTACGTAGACGTAGCGGAAGTTGCTTCACAGACCCATGCTTTATCTCTCTTGCTCATTGCCAACTCTAAAGACGAAGATCAGGATGAACCTGTACGACCAGAAGAATATCCACTGGAACTCGGCGATGAATGTATTCTTGCATCGGAAAGGGTAGAAGAGGCTCGGTTGGGATATGACATACTGAAGAAAATAGAGTCTTCGAATTTTGATGTCAGTTTGTGCTCCTTGAATCCATCTATTTTCCTGAATAATACCTCTTCACAAGACATTGAATTTTGCATTGGCGTACTATGCATATGCTCTAGGTAATCCTTCCGAATGCTTGGATCATCTAAAGAAGGTTCCCGACGTCGCGCACGTACAAAATCACATCCCTTTGCCCGCGACACTCAGAGCGAACACACTGCGCGTCCCAACGGGAGGATCAAGTATAACTACCCCTCCAGCAGAAAGCATCGCAGGAACCGAATCGACAATATCTATTGCCGATATCAAGGATGGTCGCGCTTGGGCAATAACGGAAACTATCCGCAGCCTATGCTTACAAGGTGATCTTTATCCATATTCATCGCAAGACTGTATCTCATGTTAAACCACAGGAATGTCCCACGAAAAGCTCTTTCCTACCGATCCTCGAAAGGCCCTGAAAATATATGCTGCCTCTTTTCCCCTTCTCACAATCGTAGAAACCGAACTAGCATCAACTTTCGCCCCGATTCCCACTTCTACCGGAAAAATAGACTTCTCGTCGTTCACCAGATTCCGCGAAGTTTGGCGATGGGTTGAACGGTTGCTCTGGCGCGCTATAGTCCTCGGTTCCCGGACTCTTAATGTCCACCACGACCACAAAATTACTTCTTGTAGAGAGTCAGACTCATTCTGGACTTGGTTAGAACATTATTCTAGCTGTAGCGTGTACTGGCCATCAAATTTCCGCACCTCACATCGATCGACGATTTCAGTGATATACCTCCGGGCACTTGTGCTGCGGCATGGGGCAAAAACTCCCGAACCGGCTCTAGTAGGAACTGCCCGAAAGTCGCCGCAATGGATGAATACTGCTCGTAGTGTTATACAAGAGTATCGTGCCATTCTCAATGTCTCGACCAAATTCCCAAAGGCTGGTGAACGAAATCATAAAGTTGAGGATTTCGCCGAACAATGTGTCGCGGTATGGGAGGCTAGTGGAGGTGTGGGAGAATACGGTGGGTGGGTCCTCGATGTATGTCTTTAGATCCTAACTATGTGCGCACTCTCATGACATAATCTAGGTGCTCTGGTGGGCTATGCGATTAACGTTTAACTCATACAGCATTCAAAGGCATTTGACGCGGTTATTATACGTCTCGGGTGACATCCCTCTCGCTCGACGAACACTCAGACTCTACGTTCAAATTGTTTCGAAAGCTCATCAGGCTTCCACAGCCAGTGGAATCACAGGGGAAGAACTCGAACACGAAGCTGATACGGACCAAAGCTGGGTGCAAACTTGTGTCTTTGGTGCACGAATGTTGTGTAGGATCGTCTCTTCAACATCCGCCAGCGTTTCCACTGGTAGAGCCAAGGTGATTATGGACGATCTACGGGAAGCAGAAACGTTGATTGGGAAAGCAAAAACGCGATTAAATGTTTCGTACCGAGAATTATCTGCTAGTGTGGATTTGGCAGAGGGAATATGGTTGACTGTCATGGCCATCAAACGTGAGTGATTCTCTAGACATTTGATTCGTCGTGCTCACGGATCTCTCCCGTTTTTTTCAGAACATAACTCAGACACCCGCCCCTCCAATTTTGCAAAAGCCCATGCGTTGTTCCTACGCTCCATAGACACATTCCCCACAGCATCTGCGCATTATCATATAGCACTATCGTACGCACGATACATCCCTCCCACACCTCGTCTCTCTTCTGAAGATAATTACGAAGATAATTACAATCAAGGCAGCGAAGTTTTCCACGAGCAAAATCTGGAAAAAGCTATCTTACACGTAGCAACTGCGGCTGAGAGCAAACCTTCCGAGATTAGATATTGGCACCTCATCGGATTACTCTCAGCAAAGATGGAGCAGTGGGAAGCTGCGCAAAGTGCACTAGAGACAGGCGCTGCACTTGGGGAGGTTTCCGATGTTGCACAAAATGCTGAGGATTTGACTGATACCCAGAGCACCACAAGACTCAGTGTTCCTTCGCAAGGAACAGCAAAAGTTAATGACCACCCGCCACGTGCAATTGAGGGTTTGCCCCCTTCAGACCCTTCGCACTCAATTTTTGAAACTTTATTACCCCCGAACGAGGAAGATGTTCCTCCGGTGTATGCCCTTGGACCAAACACTACAGGTTTATCCCAGACCCAGAGCTTACCCCCGTCTTCAGAGCTGCTACAAGCCGTTGCTGATCATCCTGAACCATCGAGGCATGAGAAGTTTGAGTACGCACTACAGTTGAGGATGACGCAGGTAGCAGTGATAGAGTACGTCGAGGGCGCCGAGGGCGCAGCAGACAAGCTTCCCGAAGTATTCCAGTGGATCGCGGAAAAGCGAGGTATTAGCGGAGATCAGACTCACGGTGCGAAATCTCGTTCTTATGAACTGTGTTTATTTCCTGATAGTGATTCATTAGCCCGCTCTTCAATTGATATGGCGCGGTCGGCGGACATGAAACTCAGAACACCATCTGAGCTCGCATTGTCTATATCGGCTTCCAACTCACAGGCCGGCCATGAAGTCAAGGCAATACATGATGCTGCCGTTGAGCAAAGTCAAGACCAATCACTACACCGGCCATCCTTATCGAACACCAGTTCGACCGAGCTTCAGCCTCCAATTCCTATCATGATATCCCCCGCTACTCCGGACGGTACGGGGTCTCCTGCGAATGGCCAAAACCCGCTTGACGTCAAGAAGGAGAAGAGGAAAGAAGTAGAGTCGGACAACGTATCCGATAAACACCTCCGGATTTCTGCACACACTCACGACCGGGACGCGTCAAAATCGAAAAAAATGCAGCAAAAATTGAAAAGCCAGGTCCACAAGGGGAGTGCTCGGATTAGCACGATTTCGAAGAAAATTGGTCAAGGTGTAGTAAAGAATGGGAGTTTGAGAAGATCGAATTCCACACCTGGTAACAAGGACATTCTTTCAGATATGATCTGGTTTCTCATATAGATTTCTAGATTTTCATGCAGTCCTGCGTCCAACATCCTACCAAGCTTCATCGATTCACTCTCGCAGACGTGTAAGCGCCCCTTCGCCAGTACCTGAGCTTTTAGATGCCTCCTCTCCACCTCCGCCACCACCACCTGCCTTACCGCCGACATCCGATTCAAAATGGAACAGTCGCACTACGAAGGAAAATCGTTTGTTGAGCGATCTCTGGCTAATGTCAGCGGCTACCTTCAGACGGTTGGGCAAAATTGAGCAAGCAAAGGGTGCTATACAGGAGGCAGAAGTGAGGGATGAAACCAATCCGGGTGTTTGGGTGCAGGTATGTTCACTCATTAGTTGTAAGAAACCATTCTAACCTTTAATAGCTTGGCCTTTACTACGTTGCCCTGGGCCGGTCTCTTGCAGCAACAGAGGCTTTTCAGAAAGCATTGTTCATATCATCTGATGACGTCGATGCATCTGTCTATCTTGCACGCTTATATCTCTTTCCTGAGGAAATCTCCCACAAGAAGTTTAGAGAGGAAGCTGTTCCCGAGAATATTGACCTTGTGGCAGGATCTCTAGCTCATCTCACACAAGGTGCTGGTTGGGATATTCCTGAAGCTTGGTATTTTCTTGCAAAAGCGTATGGCATGCAAGGTCGCAAAGAACGGGAGCGAAATTGCTTGACCTCAGCTCTGAAGCTTTCGGAAAATAGGGGTGTAAGAAGTTTGGGCGCTGCTCTAGGAATATGTCTGTGATTTTTGCATTGCTTTCCTTCACGTTCGTCATTGCATATCTACGTTTTCGTTGGGAAATTTTGCATTCAATCTATACCCCTTCATTGCATGAAGCAATTACTCTACTCGATGCTCACTAATGTACTTATCATGCAAGGCCTTCACTCTTCTACTCGAACACGTAAAAGCGGATTGCCAGAAATTACTAGCTAGCGGCTAGAGCGAAATACAACAAAAAAAAACAATCCAATAGCAAAAAAGTTCACAACAGTCATAGCTAAATCCAAGAATATACAGATAGTGATACAAAAAGCATAAATTTCAGGAAAATCACAGCCGCCACGCCACACCGCGGTTAGATATAAAACATAGAATTTCTCATGTCAGGATGAAGCTAGAAAAAATGTTTCAGCACATGATAGATGGAATACGTTCCATACTCACGCCGCTTCCCCAAGACCTTCTCGCTGCCTCAAAAGTTCTCTGAGATTCGGCTGCTTTGTCACGTCCACTCCCTCCCGCAGTAGATGATCTATCATCCACCAAAAAATCGTTCAAGTAGCAGCGCCCCCGCTCACATGCAAGATCAGCATAGTAAGCTGGAGGCATAAGACTGACCGCTCTTGTGGCTCTGGCGTACAAGTAACTAGAATCATGGGTTCCCTGTTGTATTTCATCCGCGGTGAATTTCGTTTCATCATAGATGACAATGTAGTGCGTGGGTTTCGCGTGGCCTTGGAGTCCAGCATGAGCTTGGAGATAAAAATCGAAGTCAAAGCTGAAGGTGAGCAATGTATTAGGATAAGGAGTGGGGACATGGACGATTCAAAACATACACATTAGTGATTCCTCGGTCAACAACCGTCCCTGGTCTGGTATTGCCATTCTTATCAGCATATTGGGAATCAGTGGGATAGAATCTGGGAGGAGTTACGATGAGTTATCACAAAAAAAGTCACAAAGTAATGATACCTGGCATGATGACGTTTTCCACAGATGACAATAGACAGTAGAGGTCTATAGGGTGCTTTTCGGTCTTTCGTGTTGAACTTTTTGAACGCATTCAAGATTTGGGGTAATTCCTCGTTCAAGACGGTGTCGTACTGGCCCTACATATGTCGAGTTTATATGAATCAAGACGATATCAGTCATTGAACGTGATACTGACCTCTGAAACGCCATCTCGGAAAACAAAAACACGTTCTGGAAGTGCTTTGTTCTTAGTTTGATAGCATTGCAACCGTTCGACCATCATGTCAGTTAGTTCATCCAGCATCTATGAAGAGATTATTAAAATCATGATGGACAAAATAACTGAGGGGATTCACCTCTTTGACTTCATCCGATTGTTGGATGCGCAGGCTTGCAGGGTACTGGACAAAGTCACTGTCCACGCTAGCAACAACTGCAGCAATAGACGGTGTTCCCTCCTTACTTCCTAAAGAAGAATGAGCACGGTAGTAGACAAACCGTAGACAAACTAAGTCGTACCAGGTCCTCTGTACACATGATAAGATCAATGAAAACCGTGCCAGACGAGCGAGAGCTTACCGATGTGTGACGTCAATTCCGACTATCATAGTCGACTTTTTTCGAAGCCATCTCATAGCCACATCATCCAACTGCAAAGAGAAATTCGGTGTGAGCTATCTGCGAATAGCACACAATCATACTTCTCACCTTGTGGTTGATTCCTCCGAGCTTCGTGTTGACCTTGAGCGCCACGTTTGAGAAGTACTGATCTTGTTTGTTGGGCTCCTTATCAACAACCTTGGACAGCTGCATATGGACTGTTTGAACTCCCAGTTCGACATCACCAATTCGCTGAGAAAAAGACATAAAGATCTGAGTTTGCATGCAGGTATAACCAGAGCAAATCCTCACCTTGATTCCTGGATAGATAAAATTATCACGACGAGACAGAAGCACAAGAACAAAAGCGGGTTTTCGACCTTGAGCTTTTTGCACATGGTCCTGGAGAGTCTTCCTTATTTCGTTCAGAGCCCTCACTCGACCTGGATCTTGGTCGGGCGAAGGAAGATTGGCCAAGAGTAACGATGGTGGACCTGGGGGAACAGTCATTCCGCTATTCCGCATCTTCGTTGCGAAGCCATCTACGAGCCCACGCAATCGAGTATCAGTAGGCCCTGAAAAGACCGACGGCCCATCGCGGACTACGAGCACAGACCAACTTGAGAGTTGTGCGCCACGGTGGAATTTAACATCAAGGATGTTCCAGCCTCCATTGGCGACTCTTGGGTTCCCAACTCGGTAGTTCAGCCGTGGAGGAGGAAGCTCCCGTCCAGGTACAGCAGCCATTTCATTCGTCACTTCGACGCCGAACCCATGTAAAGGCGAGGTCGAAGGATTTGTATTCAAGCCAAGTTTCTGGAAGCCGTCACCCACGATGGCTTCTGCATTTACTTTCGGAGGATTGCACGCAACTTTGATCATTTGAGAAGTCTGCTGTTCATTAAGCTTCCCACGGAAGGCTTGTCCGGGTTCAATTTCGCAGATTTCGGCAGGAAGATAAGTCCTTTTCTTAGTACCAACGTCAATGACCGGAAGATCCGCTGCGTGCTTCAACTTGATCTTATACTCTGAATTCAAAATATTGTGATTAAGAATTAAACGAAAAATGTTCGGGAATAGTTCACCTTTGAGGAAATATTCTTCGATCGAGACTTTGCCGTATTTGTCAGAAGTAAACGTTGTATTTCGAGCCGTGGTCGTCGCAACATGCTGGAGAATATGACGGCGCTTATATCCGAGATGCTTGGTAGTCACTTTGACCTTTTTCATGAGCTCGTGAGGTAATGTGGGCATTGCACCTCTCGAATTGCGACTGAACGCAAGCAGTGCATCGGCAAGATTGCCAGGTTCAATGAAGGCGGTCATACAAGCATTCCTGATGATGGTGTGGATACATTAGCTGCAAGCCCTCGTTGCCAAGGGAGGAATAAGCTTACACATTGACCATTAATTGCTTGTATGTCGGCCTAACGGATGCGTAAAAGCCTTGAAATGCAGTGACCATAGGACTGAGATTAAAGCCTTGCGACGACGTCGGGAAGAAGTATTTGTTTTTGCCTACTCGGACGCCTGTTCGCACAGCATGTTGCTGTATAACCAAGTTCAGAGCAGAAACCAAAGGCAAAGGATCGTGACCATGAAATTCAGGTTTTCCTTCCATGTATCTGCAACGATACACTTTCGTTAGATAGATATTTCAGATAATCTCACACAACTTACTGTGTGAGCTGCGTGGGGTCCAACTCTCGAGTGAAAGTAACGGAGACCGTATACGTCGTGGTTACGCGGCTAGGAGAAGCACCCTCCTCGTAAAACGGTACAATGAAATTGAGGGGCTGGGGAAGCCGTTTCGCAGAAACAAGCCTTGCACTCCTGTCATGGGTAATATGAGGAAGAAAGGGTTTGCAATCAGGAAGCTGTTCGAGCAACGTGAATATCCGAATTTTGAGCCTGTTTATGTCGGTTTTAGGGGATATATCTACACTGTAATCATAAACGGGAGCTTTCGGAAGGCGAACAGGGAAAAAGTTGGTTCTAAGAGTGATAGGCGTGCCAAGTGTACCATACCCGGGCCTCAACGGACGACTAGGATCCTTTATCTGAAGAGAATTGAAAGCTTTCACCAGTGAAAGATCGTTTTCTTTATGAGATAATCGTTGATCCACTTGGGTTGCACCCTTGAAGATGACGGGACCACTAAATCCGCCTCTTCCTCCTCCTCCTCTTCCACCTCCACCTCCACCTCGGCCTCTGTCTTGGTAGCCACCACGGCCGCCACCACCACCTCGTTGGTCACCTCCACCTCTGCCTCGTTGAAAGCCGCGTTGACTCATGGTAGTAAGTTGCAAAGTTCGAAAGCTGCGGTTCCGAAAAGGATTGCAATCAACCGCTCATGTACAACTCTAATAGAATCTGGTTTGTGAGATCAAAATCCCATTGTTGTAATATCCGGCGCTGCGATTGTGGAAATGTGAATTCGGAACGGCCTCGCCAGGCCAGATGCATCGAAAGCAGTGTGCTTGCTCTTCATTTGGAAGATTTTTGCACATCGGCAAGAAGGTTAAGGTTCAAACTTCAAAATTGTACATCTGTGCCGGTCACTTTCCCACACTCTTGCTCACTTCAACTTTTCTTCTTAAAGTTCGATGGCTACCGGCTTGAAATCAATCATCAATAGATGCTTCAGGGCTCTTCACTAACTTTCACAAAGGCAGCCTGATTCAAATGACTGGCTTTCTCTCCAGAATCTTCTGGTGTGACCATTCCCTCCGACGTTCAAAGTCCGTAATTCGAACCTTGAAATGCCTGAGAGTTCAAGGCTTTAGAACGGTGCCAAATTTATACTAGTGAGAGAGAGCGCAACTTACACGGCTGAGAATTGATACTTAAACGATCTCTAGACTTCGATTTAACGATAACCGACTACCCGAGCCTCTCTTCTAATTGCCTTCAGCCTTTAATTACCGCCATGAAGATTCTGATTTTTGGGTACGAGTAACATCGTGACGCGATATCGATGCACCTCATATTAATCACGTCGTCTATAGTGCTTCAGGTTTCATAGGATTTCCAGCTGCCCAGGCCTTGATCAGAGCCGGCCACATTGTATACGGACAAACACGCTCCAGAGAAAATGTTCAACGATTTGAAGCTGAAGAAAGTGTGTTTTGAATATCGTCCGATGTCGGTTTCAGAGCTTTTCATCTAATCTGACTGTAGTCATTCCGATTGTCTGCGAACCCGAGTCGAATGCATGGCATTCCTTACTTCCGACTCTCGATGTAGTCATCGAAGCACTAGGAGGAACGGCTATCAAACAATTCGTCGCTGCATCCATTCGCGAAGGGGTTGCATCTGCAGCTCAGCGATTCAGGCCTTCCCATGCACCGAAACTCACGTATATCTACACCTCCGGATGTTGGGTGCATGGTGACAATCGCTCGGAAATTGTTACTGACACGACACCGATCACCATCCCAGTGGAACTAGTCGCCTGGAGGCCGGAACAAGAACAAACTGTTATAACACATACTACACTCAATGGGATTGTTGTGCGTCCTGTCATGCTTTATGGCAAGGGTGGATCAATCTTCGCGTCTGTATTCAAGCAAGCTAAAGAAGAGGGCAAAGTAACCTGGCCTGGAACACCTGGAGGAAAGCTCTCGGTAATCCACGCAGACGATCTAGCAGATCTGTATGTACGTTTAACGGAAAAAGCATCTATCGTGGGTGGAAAGATTTTTGATGTTAGCAATGATGTATTGGAGGATATGGATGCATTCTTGAAAAAATTATCTCAAATTGCAGGGCTCGAGGGCAAATACGAGTACAGGAATCCGACAAACAGTGAGTCTGCTACTTTGAAAGCCCATCAATGCCTCTGAATTCCTTCTTTTCGACCCAGTATTCGAGGTTGCCATGGGCACCACCGTGCTAGCAAGACCGTATCTTGGTCGAGCACTGCTGGGGTGGCATCCTAAAAAAATAGGTTTGACAGATGGCTTAGAGACCTACTACGCTTCATATCTGGCTAGTGTGGCCGAATCCAAGAGCAATTGACCACATGCAATGTATCTATCATCATATGTACCATTTGGTGTTCGCTATTCCGAAATAAGATGCCTTCGTTTACTTATGTTCTTCTCAATCTATTTTATCCCCGGCATCGTATAGACCTGTGTTTGTGGTTGTGACTATTTCTCTCCTCGGCGAAGGTCGCCAAAATCCTAGTCTCTGTGCAATGCCGGCGTAAACATTGGAAGCAACACTAATCCCTGCCTGTGCAAACAGAATAGCAGGAGCCAACATTGGAACCAACAGTAAGGCAAAGTCCTGCATATATCCAGGATATGAGACCTTTCCGAAGCTCGCAAGTTCGCGACAGAAAATATATGAGTACTTGCCTCGGGATGATAAAAGTCTTCCTGAAATGAGATATAGTGTAGACCATTGATTTCTTTGAGAGTTATTCGAACTAACAACCTAAAGGGAGAGTCGGTTCCGGGACAACTCCTTCATGCATGTTTTTCAACTGGCACTCACCTGGACCATGCAGGTTTGAATGGAGACAACCGGATATGAAACTTTTGGGACATATCCAAGAGCAATGTGTGATTCTCTTTGTCGTAAACTATCAACAAGGCGATAAATCATGTTGTATGACTAGCACCAAAATCATCACTGACCTACGTTATGCATTCTCCCTATGACCTTCGGGCTTAGAACACGATACCACCTACACAATTCACTCTCATCATCAGACTGCATGCAGCAGCAGCGAAAGATATCCGGAGAACTCACTGATAGATTCCTAATAGAGAGTCCCGCGAATTTTGACCGGGGGGAACATAACACAGAGGATGCTTGAATCCTACATCTCGGGCGACATATTTCAGAAAGGCAGCCTTTTGTATGTCGGGAGTCTCCGCAGTAGTAAGAGTTAAAGCAACGGAGGTTATTTCTTGCTCAGGATTCTGCATCGTACGAGGCCAAGTGGGAGCGATTAACTTGTGTATGTACTTAGTTAACGCTGTCGGCCGTACTTGTACTGACGTCATAAGTGATAATGCGCGCCCATTTGGCGCTGGTTCAAGGGACCCGGCTTACAAAGAAACAAGATGCCGGAGCTCGGTCATGCCATTGTCAGGAGAAGAGATCACTATTAAACCATTATTGCGGGATTTCGAACTTCGCGCCCAGTATTTTACCACCCAAATACCACTAAAACCAAATTAAACCACTGTTTTCATGTCCGACTCGAACGATAAAACCTCTTCATAAAGCAACTCCTTGAGCCGCTGTCGAGAGAGTTGTTCCTTACTCACTAAATCATTGTCAGTCAGTCAAAGTGGAATAGCGAACTGTGGAGATTACTGACCATCGAACTCGAAATAGTTGGGATCCAACGGGGGTGCAAGAGGCTCATCCTCAACATCATGGTACGCACCAACGTAGGGATGTGCAAGAGCTTCCTCTGCAGTCATTCGTTTCTCTGGATCGAATGTCTGTATTTTCGTATTCAGTGCTGACAAAAAAAGAAGATTATTTCCGCGCTCACTAATGTTTTTTGTAAAAAGTCGATAGCGTCCGCCGATGCAAGAGGAAACAAGGTCTTGAAATTCTGTCTTTTACGGAGAGGCATCGAGCGCAGGTATTCTCTTGATCTTCGGGCATTGATGGCATGGAATTCTTCCAGCGTTGGAGTACCTTGATCAACGCATTCAGTAAAAAGTTACTGTTTGTGACGTTGTGTAAAAGATACCTATGACATGAAGCACTAATTCAAGTTGATGTCTGTAGTCTCTTCCAGGAAACAACGGCCGTCCACATATCAACTCTCCAAGTATACATCCTACAGCCCACATATCAATTGCCTGTGGATTGTTACTCGGTATCTGAAACCACTGCGCAGTAGTTCAGATAACTCACCTTTGTGTACATATTATACGACAACATATTTTCTGGTGCACGATACCATCTCGTCGCCACATATTCCGTCATTACTCTGTCACCGGTAGCCGCCCCATATGTCGTTGGATGAACACTTCGAGCAAGTCCAAAATCGCAAACTTTCAGGTCGCAATTTGCATTGACAAGCAGATTCGCAGGCTTAAGGTCCCGATGGACCAGATCCGCACTATGGATTGTCTTCAAGGCACGAAGAGTCTGATAGATAAAATACTGGGGGGGCTTGATTGAGGGAGAGTTCCTGCAGAAGACAAAAATCTGTTTCACCTGCGCGTGGTCGTCGGAAAGTTGCTGTGTACGGATAACTTTGTGCAGATCCGTTTGCATGAGTTCTTGAATGACTAAACTCCAAAAAGGAAACGGATCAAAGGTGTAGTAGAAGTTGTTGTTGCGGGATAGCCTTGAATTTGCGAAACGTTGAAGTAAGCAAAACTACATACAGTACAGCTCCTTGAATGAGTCTAGCGACTCAGGTTTGATCATGTCAAGAATTGAAATAATCTGGTAGAGTTGTGTTAGAAAGGTAACGCGATATTCTTTTATTTCAGAACGCACATTTCCATTTACACACGACTCTGAAAAGTACTTCAACAACTTCACCTCTCGTAACGTGCGCAAACAGAATATCGTATGCTCGAAGGGAAGTACTTTCTTGATGGCGACACGTCGTCGACTAGGTTTGTGCAGTGCAGCGACAACCTGGCCATACGCGCCTTCACCTAGGGGATATAATAACTCGTAGTCTTCACCTATCGTAAAGTCAAAAAATCGAACAAAGAATCACGAATGCAACTGAGTGTAAAACTCACCGACATCAAATACAGGCAGTGGTTTCTTGACTGTTTTGCGAGTTGGTACTGCTTGCTGCATGCCGGCGGTTCAATTGCAGTTTTCAAGAAAGAATGTCTGTTTATTGGAGAACGAAGGAATGTGAAATTGAGTGTCGCGAAGGAAGATCGTATGTAGACGGTCTTCCAACCCTTCACCAATTAGAGAACAATCGCGAGAGCAGAGTCCACAGGCCACCGCGAGAGAGTGTGTGTGGAGTGGAAGAATGAAAGTCAGCGAAAGACCTAGGTAATATTAAATATGCACCCGCTATTACTGATAGTGATACGTGGTAACGTTTTGTAACGCTGTGGAACTTGTGTGCATATTTGATCCGTCGGACGAAGAGGAGCTCGACGACGAGTTGCTTCACGATGAGCGTCCCGATGCGACGCCGGAAACGAAGGAGCAGGTACCGTGTGCAACAGCCTCAAATATCCAACACGCTGAAACAGAACAATGCGGTGTCAGCTTCCAGTTGAGACCTCTTTACTCCTCTTTACTCTTGCTTAAGGTAGTATTTGGCCAAAATACCGCAACATGACGGATATTTTGCAACACGAAGACCACTCGTACATAACGTCGAGCTGATGGTAACAAGGGTCCCACAAGGTCCCACAGCGACCTTGCGCTGCAAATCCAGGAGGTCCGGTGCTATCCGATGTGGCGTAATCAGACCTGCATGATTCTGATTGTTGGATTTCTAAAAAAAAAAATCTCTCCCTATCCGGGTCCCTCCCTGTCCCTCCCTATCTTTGAAGAAAGAAGCACACTTTCACAGTGATGCACATGAACTTGTGACTTATTTACTGCGTGCTTCGAGTAGGTGTGCCTCCGGGCTTAGAAGATACGCGATGCACATATAGATATGATAGCCAACTCAAGGGAGCTGTAAAGTTCGCTTGGGATAAAGTACATGGGTACGATACAAACGTGAAACACACAGTAACTCCCGTACTTCACGCTAGATTACTCTTTCTTAGCCCGTTTAGCTTGGAACGACTCCAAACCCTTCAGCCGTTCAGTCAGTGTAGGATGAGAATGGTGATAGGCTGAATATCTATGGAAAAAGAAGTGAGTTAGTGTAAAACCAACAGAGGCGACAAAAACAAGTTACTTACAACCAGTCCACCCAGACCGTTGACAAGTTTTTCACATGAAGCGTGATTAATGCCCGACCAAGTCGGTCGCCCATATCCTTCATGCTTTCTTCCTTCAATTGATCCTGAAGCTCGCAAGCGAAACGGTCCGCTTCCCATTCAAAGTGTCGACTGACGGCGTTCATCCCAATGCTAATGAAAGCTTCCAGGGGAGTGAGTATCATCTGATAGAAGAAACAATCAGAAACATGATGGCAAAGCTGGATGTGAAACTGACCTGGAATAACAAAAAGGCAACGATAGTAGGTGGTTTCGCGGCGACATGCTTAGGGAAATCGAATGACCGAAGTAAGGGAGGTGCATGAAGAAAAGCGGGAAAGAGAGCAAGGATCGTGAAAATATGGAATTGGGAGATGGCCATCATCTTTGTCGGATGCAAATAGTACCAGTGACCAAGTTCGTGAGCTGAAAGTCAATCAATGCGTAATCAAGACATTATTATAATTCTACGCACCCAGAACAGCTTCAACTTCCTCGGGCTTGCTTTGTTGCATAAGCGTATCGAAAATGACGATGTGTTTACTCTATAAGTCAGCTCAGATGAGTACATCAGGACATTAAGGTGATGTGCCTACATACCCAAGGTAATCCGAAGAAGTAGGCGTTACTGTGCGAGCTGCGTTTGGAACCGTCAATCTCATACAAATGTTTGAGAGGGAAGTGTAATTTTCCCGCCAGAGATTCGACACGACTGCGAAGCTCTCCATCCGACAAGGGTGTAAGTTTGTTGAAGAGGGGTTGGATGACGGTAGGATATAGTATGACCATGAGAAGCTGGAAGGAGATCATGAAACCCATTAACCAGGGGACAAAACGGTCGCCAGCCCATTGGAATATGTATAAGAAGGCAGCCAAGAAAGGTGCTCCCAGCGCGAAAGCGATGAGCCAGCTTTTCACTAGGTCACCGACAAAAAGAGCCGGTGTCGTTTTGTTAAACCCGTGTTTTTCTTCAAGCACGAAGGTTGAATACACGGACAACGGAAGGGTCGGTAAAGATGAAAGCAGATACATCGTGAATGAGAATATGATTGACTGCAGAATCTGATCGTCTCTCATGATCAGATACTGAACACCAAGATTGGACGGCAATGTCGCTCACTTCATAGTCCGTTCCGTAACCGAGCTTTCCCAAGATGGTCCCAGCAGCTCCCCAGCACCAAGCATAAAATCCGTACTGCAGCATTGCAGAGTCGACACATTGGCTGAATAACTTCGAAAAAAGCGCAAACTGAGCTTTGTCTTTGCCATATATCTGGGATTTTGCAAAGTCCTCTTTGCTGATATGAGGTGCAAGCGCCTCAGGTGGGGATGTTTTAGAGTACAGAGGATACTGGCGCAGCCTATATTGTAGCAGTTTGGTAAATAATTTCTCAAGTTGAAAAACCCAAGTAGACGTACAACAAATACGATTCGAAAATCGTCACGCTCCATGAAAATACTTGAACATAGAATTTCCAATTAATAGGATCTACAGAAACAAAAGCCAGGTGACGCTGAACATCAGCAAGCCCAGAATGAAGAAAATCCATTCTGCAACTAACGAGGAGGGAGGAAAAGAGTTTCAGACTTTCAGTCGACACGTTACAGCACGTTACCTCTCAGTGTATTCCACGTGGGCCTAAGTATGCCTAACACGTGAGTTTCTTGGCGGGTGCCTGCGGGTGCTCTTTTCCAAGTCTTGGAATTCTGACTCCTTATCGTCGATGGCAAAGCTCCTCCCTTTTCCTACACACTATTGTACGACTTCCACCTCCACAAACTTTCTTTTTCCTCCATTTCGTACAGGAACATAAAAAATCTCGCAAGTAAATGCACCGACGGGCCTAAGGAGGCTTAAGGGGCGACAAAGTTGACCCCGCTATCCTCTGGTCAGTCCCTCTGGTGACCAAATAGCACACATCCACCGAATAATGAATCTCTCCATACTACATCGAAGAGCAAGATGTAGACTTGCAATTCCCTGTCTGATGTCTCGAATCATCGTCAGGGCTCCTTTTTGAGAGCTTCGCTTATCAATTAGCTATTTTTAATAATACAACTATCTATGCAGTGCATCTGTAACATATATAAAACGTACTGCTCTTGTCATGGATCCCGAGTCTAGCTGTTCTCAACCCCCCTCTCTCAGTGCTGGACACATAAAGAGAAGCTGTATTCAACGTACCTCAACCTGTGCCTTCATCATGCCTCAAATTTCCGCTGTTGTGTTTGCTGCTATTGCTCTTCTTGCGATCATGATCGCCATTGATGCTACCCCAATGTACGTGTTCCCCCCTTTTACTTCAATCTGGGAGTGCTCATGATCAAGACGCAGCGATCGCCTTACTGCGAGGCATGGCAACCTCGTATATCACCAACCAGTCATTCGCGAGTCTGTTGGTTCTGAGCCAGGCCATCGTACGTTGCGTAATTTTAGCGCTAACTTGACTGCTATCAACATGGTTTGTCCTACCAGCTCGCACCAAAGAAGAACAGACTACAGAGATGATAAATGCTGCCACCGGAGCTACAGTTGCACTTACTGGTGCATTAGCTTCCACTGGTGCTCTTCCCAAGTTGGAAGGCGCCGCGCATCAAGGTGTTGAAAAGGTGAACACGGCAATCCACCATGTACAAGACAAAGTTCACAATGCGACGACGGAAATGAAAGTCGGAGAAGAGAAAGTAAAACAGCACTTTCCCTTCCATCACCACCCTCAGAATTACGATGAACGTAAGCCTATACCTTCTTTCAAACGTATACTGTGTTCAGTCCCCTTTTCAAGCATCTCAGGCTAGACGTAGCATATACACTTACGCCCCCGACGTAGTATCAAGACGCAGATCGCCCTACGACGACTAGATACGATCTAGACAGGTGGGATGCGTTTTTGAGTGGGCGGGTCCGCTGGTCACACATTCTTCTTTGCGAAAGGGTTTCGGAGACCATGAGCCGGCGCAGGAATATACTCGACGCCGTAGAAGTTATGGGATAAAGCTGTTGCGTTCATTACAATGGCGCTTGGCCCTCAGAGGTTTTTGGCGCTTTCTTTCGCTTGCTGTTTGTATTCTATCCAGTAAATAGGTATGTAAACACGATTACCATCTCATGCTTCACTTGATGTACTAGAAAGGGCAGCAACCTGCCCCAACCTACCTTCATCTTCTTATCTGATCCCAATGCCTTAGCGGTAGCGTCAACTTTGCCAAGCCCGGTTGGGCATCGTCTATTTGATGCGGCATCCTTGTCAACAATGATGCAGCGACTGTTCCGACGGAGCGTGTAAAGAGGTATAAAAGCACACTGTTCTGAAAACTTTGATCTCTGAGCTTAGCTGGTCTAAGTCCTTTTCGCTCTGCTGGACACGATATTTAGCCGTCCCACTTTACTCGATTCTCTCATTTTCAAGTTGACAAAATAATGCCCAAGCTTCCTGCGGCTGTGCTTGTCGCGTTCTTCGTGATAGCCGTCCACGCCTCTCCAATGTAAGTGGCTTTGTTTCCCTTACACCAAATCGTATGAGTAGTGTTGACAATGACCTGCAGTGATTACAGGCGCATTTTGGCGAGGCAGGACGAACTCGTACATCATTACCCTGTTGCTCGCCAGTACATGCAAAGTAGTTATGGGGGCTACGATCCTACAGGTGGTGGTGGTGGCTATGGCGGTGGTTATGGTTCCTCAAGCATGGGTGGTTACGGTGTTCCGGGCAATGGTGGTTTTGATCCAAATACTGATCCTAACGCCTCAAGTATGTTTAGTGCTCGTTCTGACCCCCCAATTTCGTTTCTGTTTACAAGCCGCTGTTCAATCCTTAGTCGGTCCGAAAGCAGCGTTGATTTCAGCAAGTACACAGACCGCAGTAGCTACTGTGGGTGCACTGGTTGCCACAGGTGCCCTTCCTGTTGTGATAACAGGTACAAAAAAGGCGGTGAACAAGACCGTACAAACAGTTAACTCAACCTATCATCATACGAAAGAGAAAATGCACAACGTGACGACGCATATTCTTCATCCTTTCCGTGACAACCAGGAAGAGAAGAAGAAGACGGATAAGGACGATCATACTAAGGGAAAGAAGGATGAAGGTAGAATCGTTCACTCTTCTGTTCATATCCATGGTGCTAAAGTCTGTCTATCGAAGTATCCCGACGTGACCTGATCGATGTGATGGCGAGATCATTCAAACACTCTCCCAGAACATTCTATCTTCAAAGCAGTTCGTCTGTTGACGTGGACGAACAGGATAGCGATTCTGGAAAAACTCGACCTCATTACGAAAGGGGAGATGTTTTTTCGAGTGACTCCAAAATTGATTCTGCTTCATCTTCACAGAGACACCACTGGGAGATCACAGACAGCGATTGGGAATTGGGTGTTTCGCACGATGACTCTAGAGTAAACTATTCGGAATAGCTCGTCAACATTCTGCGGCATACATATCTGTTTCGCTAGTTTGACATAGTTCCTCAGTTGCTGGAGTAGGTACTAGTGGGTGCTACATATATACATGAATGAAAATTGTTTTAGCCAGACACGTACGTTATATATAGATACAAAATCCCGAAGAGACCTTCAAGAGAACAAAAATCCACTGTTGTCGTTAAGCTGCTCCTGCTTGCGCGATCTCGCAAGCTTTCAAGCTGGCGACTGCTGATAAACTTATCAAGGGTGTGACGAGATATGAAAGCTAATTTCACAATTAAACCCATGTCAGCTTGTCTGTTTAGCGAGGTTTGGGTTTGAAAAAAACACATACTGCCAGAAACTTGGCTACGACCATTTTCTCCTGTTCATCTGCTTTACTCACATCTGCTAGCGCTGTTAAACGTAAAGCAGTCGGTCCGATAGGCATCATCATCATGGAAAACCAAAGGATTGGGTCGTCTGAGAGCAGGTGTGTCTTGGCCGCGAGGCCATATATAATTGGTATACTGATACTGTGGAAGTAGGTGGGTAAATTAAATGTACAAGCTTTTCAGAGCTCGACTTACGCAGGTATTATCAGAAATCTAGCCAGAAGTACACAAACAGTAGGGGTAATGGGTATGGATCCAGAGTCTTGCCCTTGCTGCATCTTCTCATAGGTAGAATGAAGCTAGTATGTAGTGTGAGTCTTACTAGACCACAGGTTGCACTTTATAACGAGGTTGCTTACTTTAACTCCAACGATAATGACTTGTATGCTCGCAAACAGGTTACCGACATTGCTCAAACTCACAGTTAACCATGCGAAAAATACCCCGTCTTTATCAAAGAAGTGATGGTGCAAAGGATTTATCAAGCCGACGAAAACACCTGGAAAGCCACGAAATCTCAGTCGTTATTTGGGAGATCAATGAAGTACAACATACCTAGGCAAGCGCCCAAGAAAGGCGCATTACAAAATTGATAGAGAAAATAACGGATTGAATGAACCCAGGAGGATTTGGGTTTTCTCTTCACGATCAGAGGTGTACTTTCTCCACCATCCTCTGCAACATCTTCGCGTTCGGAAGACTCGACATAGACAAGGTCGGTATGTTCTCGTTCTATGATCGGCTCATCATTATCTCTGTCCGTGTTGACCTTCAAGAGAGTTGGTCCAAGGCTGAACGTCAGGGTGTTGGAGATAGCTGCGTTTATAAGAAAATAACTTTCGGCACGATGGATGGCGTCACTCAAATCTCCGCCAGATATGGATGTTAAAGCTCCCGACGCTGAAAATGACTGCAGGAGAAGGAGGGGAAGGGATGTTGCGTTATTGAAAGTGATTGCTGGAGTTACCCATCCGGGTAACCTGAAGATTTTGGTCGCAGTAGTCCCAAGGACAATTGAGATGATGTTATATCCGAATGACCAGACTTCGGACAATAATTAGATCTCTGGATTTCGGAGATAAGATGAGTTGCAAGACACATACTAATTATAGGTGCAAATTTTAGAATAGTGTCTGTGCTGATGCCAGACCCAACATTGACGAATAACAGACAGGGCATGAACAACTTGACAGCTAATTTCGAGAGATGAACCGCAGATTTATTGTTCACGAGCCCAAGATATCCAGCGAGAGTGCCATAGAAAACTGTAAGCAAAACGCTCGCGGCGGCTTCGAGTGAGCCGACAAAGGCTGTTAAAATGGAGGACATGGAGGTGCGATAAATCAAGGGTGACGGTCGTTCATTATATGTTTGATTTATGTCGAGCCACTGATGTCATTGGGGCGCAGCAAAAGTTTGGCAATGGCTCAACAGAAGTTTGACAACGCGTGCACGATAAATGGAACTGTAAGTACAGTTTCTCAATCAACTGTTCTCATATCCATGTATATCTATAGGGTACAGTATAGTATTAGCATAGTCAATGGTATCAAGTATGAAAGATTATGGAATCATATGGGTCGTGTGTCAAGGCATGTATCAGAAATATTGCAAGCCTCTAGGAAAAGGTTCGTTCTACTTGATCTGATTTCAACATGAACAGGCCCCACTATGGTCTGTTTGCTCTTCTGAAAGACCTACGACTTGAACGCCTCCCGGAACGCCTCCTCGACCTCCGTCAGTTCTCTGAGCCTGTGAACGTATAATATACAAGGTCAGCATGAATACATTTCGTGCGGAAACGGAATCCGGACCTTGGATTGACCCGTTCCGTTAGTCCATAATGCCGGTGTGTCTATTATCTTCTCAACTACTTCCTGAAAAGTCTCCTTGACATTTACTGACATCTTTGCTGAAGCTTCGATGAACAGCGAGTTCATACGTTCAGCGAAAGCGGATGCTTCAGCTGTTGGTACTTGACGGGAAAATTCCTGTTCAGTAGATGATGTGAGCACAGTTCATACTAATTAAGTGCATAAGGATGAAGCCGAAGCCGGACGTGCCTTGTCTACCTTGTTCCCCACAAGAATCTTTACGACAGAATCTGAAACATAGGTTTCCAGCTCACTGTACCACCGTGGAAGTGCATCGAAGGATTCCCGAGAAGATACATCGTAAACTAGACAATCGAATGGTATCGTTGTGGTAATCGAAACGAAAGGGAAGTTGTGCCCACCGAGAATGATCCCTTGGGCACCGCGGTAATAAGAGGAGGTTATTGTGCGAAATCTCTCTTGGCCAGCTGTATCCTGAGCCCCCAGAGAGACAGTGCGTCAATGTAACGAAAACACCAGTCCATGACAAGACGTACCCATATACTGAGCTTGACCTTCTTCCCATTCACGTCCATCTTATGAACCTATCCAGTTGCCCACCAGTCAGTCTACTGTCTGAAGTACTCTTCCTCCTTCTTGAAACGCAAGAAACATCACCCACCCACCCTAAAGTCCACACCAATTGTCGCGCTGCTTTCATCTTCAGGTAACCATTGCTCGTCGGAAAACCTCAGTAATAAACTACTTTTTCCTACTGATGAGTTGCCTATGAGAAGCAGTTTGACGTTGATTGTAGATTGCGATCCAGTTGGTGCCATTGTATGGTCAAAGAGAAATACGTGAATGAGTGATGGTGGAAACGTTGCAAGGAGCGATGCGATGTCATCTATTATCAGTGGTTGCACGTGAATTATCCACTCTCACAGCTCACAGGTAAGTACTTAGTATTAGCTCAAATAAATTGTAAGTGGGTAGATGGCAGAAATACACGCGACTGCACTAAGGATACAGCAAGATGAAAGATATGCTATGGTATCGAATTGTCCAAAATGATGTGCGCAACTTGCGTAAAACGAAATGTACTAGCTACTGGTGAAATCAAATTCATCAAACATCGCAGAGCCAGTGTACTGTTCTCCACCGCTGATCCCTCCGACTAGACTTCCAGACCAACGGTAGTAAACCCCGTCGAAACTGAGCAAAGTATGATCAGTGGAGAACTGAGCTTGGAGAACGCCCTCGTCTCCGAGGTCGATCCCGATGTCAAATCCAGATGTTGATGCAGTAACATTGACACCGGAGCATTGAGTACCAATAATGGCCCCGTTCATAGAGACGTAACCGCTAGCATACGGTGTCCCGTCTTGTGAAGTACCGTCGAACCAGACGAGGGAGTAGGGGCCGAGTCGCCCGTGGCCCCAGTGCCAGGTTCCTACTGCATCAGTGAAGGGTATGTCTCCCCAATTCTACGTGGCAGTTATCTATGAATAGAGCAAGGAAATTCGAATAGCAAGTATGCTGACCATATCATGATACCCAGATCCAGTGAACGATACATTCTGACCATTAATCTCGAGTTGAATGGTGGCCTGAGAGTCAGGGATAGCATTAGCCCAGCCGATATTGGGCATAAGCTGCATAGTTTCGCCAGCTTGAGCGGCGGAACAAGGGTAGTGCGCAGGAGCAATCTTTGGATGAGTTCTTTCATTAGTCGGTCGAAGTGACGTGAAGAACAACACTCACAGATTGCATAGAAATCGTGCCTGTAACCCCCATAACATCAGCTGAGTCGATGACGACTTCATAAGAAGACATATCCGAGCTTCCGTTGAAGCTAAGTCCAGTGCCCTCCCAAACGCCAGAAGCCCCGTCACCATCAGTTGTAACTTGGGCATCGGTGGCAAAAGCACCATTCAAGTAAAACACGTCCGAATCCGGAGTCTGGATGCTGAGCAGCACCTCCAAAGTCATAGTCGGACTGCCCGTGAACGGGAATGCGGTATCGGGCGCGACAAAGAAGGTAGCAACGACAGAATAAGAACCGTCATCCGAGATGGCGTCAAAGTAATACCATTCATACGTGGTCGAATTCACGTTAGAGATTTTGAGTGAATCGAAAGATGAAGCAGAAGAAGTGTACAGAACGTCACTGGCGCCTACACCGACCGTAGGAGGAAATGTGACTGTGGCTGCGTGAATGAGGGTAGGTAAAACGAACGACCATAGGAAGAACATTGCGGAAAACTGCTTAGTGGAAAGAGTGGGTAATGGGGAGCACATAGACAGTATTGACCGTCTTTTTGACCTTTCCCCGTAAAAGACCTTGTTCTGCTCGCGGAAAGCGTTTTGACATCTTGGCTGTTCAGAGAACAATGAAGTAATTTTCGGCAGGCGCCTAGTTATTCAAATCAAGCGCTTATCAAGGGGTCGAGGACTCGAGGCACTCTCGAGGTGCCCTCCCATCAGCCTCCCAGACTGGGCATCCCGCAGCATCCATACGGGTCCCAGCTCAAACTGAACAAGGACTACTCATTCCGGAAGCTAGGAACGGTCCGGGAATGTTCCTGACAGAGGTACCCTCTTCTCAATACCTTGAATACAAGGACTATCAAGGTTCCTGAGGCCTGTCAGAGGCAAAAGAGAGCAAGAGCTCCTGTTTGGGGATCACTAAGAAAGGAAGAAAGTAGTCGACCTGTTGTCGACTACAGCATGATGGAACTTGATTACATCCGCCTTGGGCATAACTCCGTGTGAGGAAGTTTGCAAATTGTAGAATCAAATCCTGATCATCATCGAGTGACAGTGAGTAACCCTCTCCTCAGCTGGGGCAGGTTCCAAGCCAAATGACCCTCTGATTTTCGAAATCTTCTGTTGATGTTGATGATTTTTCGGTGTGCAGTGTGCGTCAGCCCAAAATTTACGCTAATCCACGCCAGACGGAAATCTAAAGACTTCATATCTTCCCTCCTCTTTACTTGTCACGATTTTGGCTGTCTAGAATTATGGTTCATTAGCACCTCAGCCTGAGCTGGTGCGATGCAGAATCACGACACGCATGTAGTTTGAGTGAATTTGCTATCCGTTCTGGATCGTCTCAGGTCTCTTTGGAAGAAGAAGTTCAGTTTTCCTTCCCGCCTCATAGAAAAAGCGCGACAGATGTGATCATGACTCTCTTGAACCCTCAAGTTGAAAGTGTCAAAAGGTATACATTCTGTCTTTGGGAGACTGCCATGTTCCAGCAGTCTAGTTTTAGCACTCCATAGAGGCATCAGTACGGCAAAGTGATGATTGAGTTAAAGATGATAATTGGCAGCTTCTGATTGGTCAAGCTTTCAAGCCCTAACTGGGGTGGTCCTCAATTATCAGTACGTCACTAACACAGGCTTATAAACCTCATCGTCCTCTCCGAAGGCCAAAGGCTTTCAGCCAATGTACACTTTCTCATTTCTGTTCATGGAAACCTCGGATAAAGTAGCCCAGCATGTTAGTGCAATGGGCATCATATTTGCCATATCTTTACTGGGTATGTTTTCTCCATGGAATGTTTCAACACTGAGATTGATCTCGCCCTTAGCTGTCGCTTTCCCAGCGTTATCCAAGAAGATTCGTTTCTTATCAATACCAAAAATCCTTTTCTTTATTGGAAAACACTTTGGGACAGGTAAGATAGTTTTGTAACTGGGCGAAAACACATTTCTTGAAGCTATTTGCAGGGGTCATTCTGTCTACGGCATTCTGTCACTTGCTACAAGACTCCTTTGAAGCATTGACATCGAGTATCGTCAAGTCTCGTTATCCTGGCGTCGGAGAACAAACCGGCTTTATAATGTTCGCCTTAATTTTGGTGTAACTCACATAGTTTTGATTTATTTACTTCCATTCAGATTGGCCTCGTTAATAACCATCTTCCTTGTTGAATGTACGTGCTCACACTTAAGAAAAAAATCCGTAATTCTAAATGTGATTGCTACCGATATCTCGACAGATGTCTCAACCTCTTATGTCGATCATTTACATGAAGAGAGCGAAACATCTGCATCCCAGGAGCACCCGCAAAGAGAACCTACGAGCTCATCGCAAGTCCAAACAGCTCACAAATTTCATCCGGTCAATGAGAGTACCCATCTTCTCTCGGCCTCAGTTGGCTCGACTTTCTCGAGCTCAGCTCTTTCAACCTCAGTTCGCTCTCACCACTCTCTCGAAGCATCTTTCATACGATCTCCACCGAGGATGCATCACTATCTCTCTTCGATCGTAACCAACTCTCCTCGTTATTCAAGAGGCAATGACTGCTTTTATATCATAAACGATCTCAACTATCATTTAAACAACGGAGAATATCACCTTGTAGGTGGGAAAGGCTCGTGCGTATGCGTATGTGTGTGTCCGGCTGGAAAGGGTACCGAAACAATAACACAAGGAGCCAGGTCAAGGCTTGTGGTGCAAAGTCCTGAAGATGTCCAACACGATATCGCTAGTAATTATGTGCCCCATGATGATGATGATGATGATGTAGAATCTCAGAGACCATTACTCAGTAGAAAAAGACAGGTTGTTGGAATATTGGTCAGTTGGATTTGAATCTCGGACGCACAGTGAACTTATACGTTTATCCCACAGGTTCTGCAACTCGGGATAATGATCCACTCTTTAGTAATTGGGCTAACATTATCGATAACATCAGGGGCTGAATTTAGTAAGTTACCTCTAACCTTCTATCATACCATTGTTCGCTCATTCTTAATCTAAGCGACCCTCGTCACCGCCATCATTTTCCATCAGCTATTTGAGGGGCTCAGTCTCGGGATTCGAATAGCAGCAATTCCTCCTGACGAAGGCGATACCTCTCCACGGCCATCAAGATCGTCTTCGCCTTCAGCCTCTTTAGCTCGCAAGTCGCATCATTCAGTACTACAACCTGTCTTAACTATTCTTTTCGCCCTCACGACGCCTCTGGGTATTGCAATGGGTATGCTAGTTTTTTCCTCACAAAGAGGCAAAAGTATGTCCTTGTTCTCTTTCCCGTTCTGTTCAACGTGCTTATGCGCTTCTGCCTTTACTCCCTTCTAGCATCTGAAGCTCGCATGCTTCTTACCCAAGGCTTAATGTCCGCCATCTCGGCAGGAATGTTGATATATGCCGCAACGGTCGAGATGATGGCGGGCGATTTTGTGTTTGGAAATCTGGGAGGGCATGGGACTGGGACCGCCGGTCACGGTCATTCGCATGGTAGCGAATTCATCAATGGTGACGATGAAGACGATTCATCGGATGCCGAAGAGGAAGGAATATCTCCTCGACGGAGGGTTTTGGCTGTAGGCAGTTTGCTCGCTGGTGTGTTGGCTATGGGCTTGATCGGGTTAGGCGAGTAAATGTGGTGTTCGGTCACCTGCCCTTATAAGCTGGACTACATATCTTGATTCTTCTTGCTTTCTGATACACTGGATAGACGATGTATGTTGTGATATATATAGTTTGTATATCTTGTCTTGTACTGTATATTAATTATCCATGCGTTAATAACATGTTGCTTGCCACAATTCTGCAAAGGACATTGGCATTGCTGTGATAGTTGCAACGATTCATGTTTTGATGACTGAAGCAGACGATGAAAATGCGATACCAACATCTATCAAACACAGCACATACAATTACAAGTCCATGAATGATATATATAAAATAGATGCTACAGATATTGAAGAAAAAGGGTTTCCACAGACGGTTGTAGAACAACAAGAAAGAGACTTGAAGACGCTGACGGTAATTCATTACTGCCTCACGAGCCTTTTTCTAGTGGGGTTTTTTGTATTAACACTGCCTGCATTACGCTTAACCTTCTTGCTCGCGGACTCTCCAGATCCAGAGCTAGCATTGTCCTCCGACGTGACATCTTCATCCTCAGTCTCTCGCGGCCGTTTTCGTAACAAAGGCATTACGACAGCGGATTCAAGAGAAGGGACTGAGACCCTTGGGAAAGTAGCTGAATGGGCAATCCGAACGCTTCGTCGAGGACTTGGACTCACGATCTCAGTTATCGTTGGAACATGCGAAATACCAGCCTCCGCATTCTTGATAGCCGTGTGAGTGGTCTTGACTTGAACCTTTTCCTGTTGCAATGTCGAAGATTCCACAGAAGGCAATCCTTCGAGGGTGGAGGATGCGATAGCAGTCGCAGAAAGAGTCGGAGCAGGATTCGTGGTCATCACAGAGGCAGCTAGGGCGGAAGCAGAAGATTTGACCGGAATAGCACAGACAGGAGCAGCAGAGGCAGACACAACAGACGCAGTCCGCGGATGTTGCCACTGTTTAGTTACTGGATTCCAAGTTGGTAGAGCTGTCTGTCCTTCATAGGCTCCGTATCCCTTTTTCCAATTCATTCGCACGAAGTCGTTGGAGCCATAGAACGCGGGAAGGCGCGCGATCTCATTTAGTTGTCGAACTCGACCTCTAGTAGCAGAAGGCGGGTTTGCATGAGAAAGATGAGGGCTGGGACTAGACGCAGGAGTGTTATGCTGATCACTCACAGCTTGGGAGTTGGCTGTATGAGATGGTTTCGGAGTAATCGATGGACGAACAGTGGAAGGAGAAGAAGCAGCAGAGCCTGTTATACATGTGGGAATGGAGGTCATGCTAAACGCAGAAGAGATATCGACAGAGTTGGGAGGCCGGACGCCCGATTTCACTTCCAATCCGGATGAGGCAGTTGAACAGGATGGACCGACATCTGTATCGGATTTGATTGCGGCAATGGTAACGGAGACAAGAGCAACGTTGTCGATATATGAGGAAGACACATTTGGAGCATCGGAATCAATCACAGTAGCAATGTCAGCGGTAGAGGATTGAGTGAGGGTGTGTTCACTTGAAGAAGACGGAGCCGGAGCTGTATGTGAAGACAGAATTGAAGGGCTTAGGGCTACTGTATTTTGAGTGCTACCAATTATTGCGCCACGATAAGAAGAACTGGCACCAGCAGGCACCGCCAAACGGGAGCATTGAACATCGTCGACAGGTGTACTTGTATGTGCTGTTATTCCGTAAGCATTTCTCAAAGGCAATCGACCTGGAATATGTAACACAGTGAATATGTTTTCAAGCATCGATAATGCACTACTCACTAGCGCTAGGAAAAAGGACTATAGTTTCTTTCGATTCGGGTTGTTCATCCCTACAACTGCTCGTGATCTCTCGAAGCCGAGATGGAACAGTGTTGGACGACTGGACAGAACCCTCCTGGGTCCAGCGAAGTTGTACGGTCTCCTCCGATCCTTCCTGCAGTGTGTTTCGAGAAATCGCCTTGCCAGAAGAATGATAGCTAATGGTTGGCATGTAGCTGCTACTGAACGGAGGAGTCGCTACTTGATTTTTAGGTTTGGAATCCGTGGTTGCAACCGGTGCACCAGTGGAGGGGAGATTATCTGCAACATCGACTTGGGCAACTTGTCCGACGGGACCTCGCGTGGAAATGGTCATGATCATCTCTGGTGGGGGAACAGGAGCGTCGGGATTGATTGGCTCAGTCACGAAAAAAGAGCTGGGCCGGAACGTTAATGGGAAAATTTGTCAAATTGGAAGAACTGACTGTTATTTACCTTGCGATTTGATCTGAAGCGCCCTCTTTTGAATCAGTTTGTAATTGAAAGATTGTACCGACAGGATCCCGCTCCACACAGTCTACTCCAGGTTCAGTAGAATCGACAAAACCGCTGTTGCTCGTGCTGTCCTGAATACTACCAGTTTCTTCAACAGTCGGGTGAGGACCTATGTATCTAAGAACAGCATGAGTGGATAAATCATCAAATCAAATTTTTAAATGATATATAGGCACTGACTCCTTGGAATGAACTTCGTCGCGCGGGGATGCGACAGCACTGCTGCCAGCATCTCTACGACCACTAATCCAGGTAGTCATCGAGCTAGTAAGGCGGCGGGTCTGTCTCCTGATATATCTCAGAGTTGCGCTATCGTCCGATTTGGGCATGTGGATCGAAATTGCAAGGTGATTGTGAACGTGATCGCGTATGGGGAGGCCCTTTCTTAGCTGGGATGTACGCTACCCTAGTATTTATCCTCCGTATGACGACAGCTTGGACCAAACTTTGACCATGGTGAAGGTCGGAGGCGCGTTGATAGAATTGTTTTGATGGTACAAGCGTTATGCCGAGGTTAAAGTCTAAGGGGCGATGCTTCTTTTTAAACTGAGCGCAAGTTCATCGTAGGTAATTGTCATCTTGAAGCTCTTCGTTGTATATGTTGAGGAAGACCGGAGGAACGTCTGTCGCATCAATACATAATACACTGTGGGGATGAACCAATGTCTTCGCGGTGAAAATCTAGAGAAAATGCAAGGATTTTTACCAAAATTCATCAAAAATCCTGGGCACGAATTTTAAAACTTTTCGTGTGGCGATTATTGTGAAGCTATCGTGAATTTGGCGGGGGGCCGTGCTTATTTTAAATTATCTTTTCATAATTTTACCATAACCTCAGCTCAATTCCTTCAAAATATCTGCTGCCATATTTTTGTACATAACCTCGAGATAAAACCCACATTTTCGCCTCGAGGAAATCGGCTCATCCCCGCAGTGAATAATATGTCAGACAATTGACAATTTTAACCAGTCACAAATGCTTGCATCACGTGAATTCCTAAACGTGAGTGTCACAGAATAGAACCTTTCTTTTCACCATCATCATCAAATCGCGTCAACCGCGTTCTTGGTCGCCTGCCTTTCACACTAAGAACAGCCTACTACCATAATGTCACAGGAACCAGCAGACGTCAAGCCTAAGCTCAATCTCCAAATTCAGTATGAGGGAAATCGTGTGTTCAAACCCTATTCAAATTCCAAGTTGTTGTTAATTGATAGTTGTCGCACAGAGGTGACCGTGAAGGTCAAAGCAGACATGCAATTCAAGAAAATATTCAAAGCGGCGGCGGTGCGACAATATAATTATTATTCTCTACTGTCCGCCCCTGACGCTTCAATCCTTAGATCAAGTTCAATAAGGAAGAAGGTGAAAGCTTTCCTATCTCGCTCTAAAGCTCCACTCCATACTCAGAAGCTCACCAATATTAGGAACGTTGAAGTTTACTTATGATGGAAACCGAATACAAGAAGATGACAGTCCGGCTGGTGTGCGTATCAATCCATTTTCATGTTCTCCGATGTTCAGTTTAGGCCAACAGCTCGGTATGGAAGATGGCGATCTCATAGATGCTTTTCTAGAACAGGTATGTGCTCAAATCGCTGACTTGAAAATACCTGGAAGATTGAGTTCCTCTTCCAAAATTTAGCTCGGGGGATGCAGATGTATAACGCCTCATTCCGAGACCAGATGATATCCATTCCTTTGTTTTCTTCCTTCACTGTATCATTATATCAAAATGTTTGTTTAACCATGCTATAGTACCCATATCATAACTATTTTCAATCTAAGGCGATGTTCGTATTCATTTCAGTGTTCGCGCCACGCACGTGGTGCCGCCTGCAACGCACGACTTTCGAACTTAAGAACACCTTTCACTCTCAAGTTCAACATGCATGTGGACTCAAATGGTCTCCCATTTTAAACAGAAATACTACGGTTGGTTAAGTTATGCATTCGCCAGGTAGTTTACATGGCCGTAATTGCTTGCGTTCGCTGATCCACTCATAGTGAAGTGTTCGTGATTGTATCCTTGACTCTATTCTTGCCCATTTGTTTGGAGCAATTTGCAAGAGATAATGGATTCTTATATCCTGACAAGACCGAAAGATGCTCCTCGGAGATCTCAAAGCTGGATGATGATTCGCCTTCTGGGCGTTGTGTCGTTAGAGTTGGCTGGTTATGGATCGACAGTGCTAGCTTCAGGTGTGTAGTATGTGCATCTTTGACAGTGTCTGATTTTGATACATTTCCAGCTTATACGTCTTTTCGGCGTCAGTGCTTTTACAAGCTCTAACCGTCATTTCCGTCGGAGGAATTGCAGACCATCGTGCGTTTGTCTCTTTTGCGCATTGAGCAATCATACTGATGTATCATACAGCACCGCATCGAAAGATCCTACTTTTAACTTGCGCTTGGGCAGGTGCTCTTGCCGCCACTTTTTTTCTCCCACTATCTTCTAGTTCCCCTCTATGGTTTCTCTCTGCTCTACTGGCCGTAATAGCCAATGTCGGTTTCGGGACTTCTGTGGTCGCAATGAATGCCTACCTGCCTTCTCTTGCAAGAGAATCTCCGGAAGTCCTTAAAGTCTACGCAAATCTGAGAAATGCTGAGGAGTCTGCTCTTGTACTTGAAAACGAAGCGGAACCCGATGACAACAATGAAGCGGTTGCTCAACCACTGGTTCGTAATACTACGACAGATGAGGTGCAGGAACTCAAATCCCACTATGAAAACGAGCTATCCAGGACAACCTCACGCATATCTTCCTTTGGAATAGCTTTAGGCTACGGTGCTGGTATCTTCTTGTTATTTGTTGCCCTCATTCCAGTCACATTGATGAAAGGCTCAACATTCTCTCTTCGTCTCGCGATCAGTCTCAGTGGGATTTGGTGGGCTGTGTTTTCCATACCAGCTCTGTTGTGGCTTCCTAGTGGAGGAAACAGTTCCTCTGTCGATGATGATGACGCAATCTGGGTAGACACGGCAAACGTAACGGCCGGAAAATGGAGTTTATGGAAAGAGATACTGGCCGCTTGGAAACGATTGGGGGGGATGCTTCGGTGGAGCGAAATTAAGAAGTTGCGGAACACCTACAAGTTTCTCGCTTCTTGGTTCCTACTCTCAGATGGTAAATACGACACTTCATCTACGTCCTTCAACTTATCTTTTTCAGCGTTCACGACAATTACTGGTACTGCTATCCTTTTCGCAAAGACTGTCCTCAATATGCAACCATCGTCTCTCATCTTGATCGGAATCATCGTTCCTTCATCGGGTATCTTAGGATCGTTATTCTGGCCACGACTGCAACGTCGGTACCAATGGTCAAATCAGCGGGTGCTCCTAATCCTCTTGGTATTGGCCTCTCTGGTACCTGCCTATGGATGTCTCGGGTTTATCAGTGTTTTTCAAGGCCGGTTCGGAGGGCTTACAACCCAAGGAGAAATGTTTGGCTTAGCCGTATATTTCGGTACGTCGCTTGACTGATATAAGCAATTCGTTTTTACGAATTGACTTCGCCTAGGCTTCGTGCTTGGAGCATTCAATGGCTACGCCAGGGCTTTTTACGCGGAATTTTTACCTCCAGGAGAAGAGGCGAGATGGTATGCATTATCTTCGATTGCCCCGTGTTCTCCACTGAGAATTTGCTCTGCCTAAAACCATAGGTACGGCCTATACTCAATCACTGACAAGGTATTGAACGATATCTATATTCTTATCTGTGTACTAACTATAATTCCCATTTCGTAGTCGAGCTCGTTCTTTGGTCCTTTCATCGTTGGTTTAATCTCAGATCTTACGGGAAACATCCGTTACTCTTTCTTTTTTCTCGTCGTCATGTTATGGGCGGCGATACCAGTTTTGAAGAGCGTTAATGTAGAGCGGGGGAGGAGAGATGCGCAAAGTTACAAGTACTCTTCGATTAGTTCGTAACGGTAAAGTTCCCTAGGCGACAGTGCGATATTCACGTACACACTCCACGTACAGTGCCTCATAACAATAATCCACGTGGCCCGGGCACGGATCGGAATATACCTTTCAATACGCGTCTAGATGACCGGTCTCATGTCAGCCTCAGCTCATCCGAGTTCCACTAGCAGTTCATGGATCTGGACTCATGATTCTTGGAGATTTTACTAACGTGCGCAAGGATTAGAGCAGCTTCGAATATCCCCCTCATAGTCCCATATCAATACCATATTATGTGGTCGTGCTGTGGGTCCAGCTTTGCCTCACGATATGTCACTTGTATGCTTTGAAGCCTCGAGGTCCGCCATCGCATGTTTTTTTCTGACAATCTCGTCAATTTATGGTCCACGGAGATAGATCTTGGCTGATTTCTTTATGTCTACAATCTGCAGCCTAAAATTCCACGTTTTGTTCAACACATTCGAAACAAATCAGAAACAAATCCTCAAACAAATTTGTACTTCTCCATGCGCATCTACCTGCAGGCACTGCGTCAGAATACATCTCACTAGTTTGCTCAAGGGTCGCTGTTCTGGGCCCATGCTTGAATCCATTATTTGGGGGAGTAATGACCTTTTAAGTGACCTTCGTTCCGTTTTTACTGCTGGATAATCTGGCGCGTGTTGATTGCGAAATCTTGTCTTGATCTTACTGCTCCTACTTTACTTTATTCAGGGATCCAGGCTCCTCATCCATGGCCAGGGAAACCAACCTCCGTGTTAAGTGGGCTACCTAGGGATAAATAGGCCACTCTTCTTTCGACCCACGGTGGCTTTTTCACTCAGTCTTTTGACTCTCCCACTTTGCGACCTGTTCGATGGAATCAGCTCTTGTGCTCGCTTTAATATTGCTGGTTGTTTTGTATTTCTATACGAAACGACCTAGCAGTCACTACGCCCCCCTCCCTCCTGGTCCCAAAAAATTGCCCCTCATAGGAAATCTGCTCGACATGCCGACGACTTTCGAATGGGAGACATATGACAGGTGGTGCAAAGAGCTCGGTGAGTTGCTTTCACACTGTCTCTTTCGATGGACTGAATACTGCGGCGAAGGGTCGGACATCATTCACCTCGAGGTGGCAGGAACGTCTATAGTTGTCATGAACTCGGCTGAAGTCGCGGAAGAGCTGCTTGATCAGCATTCAGCTATTCACTCAGATAGGTATGACATGGGTCAACTTGACGCGCATCTAATTGTGTCTCAATCCTCGCACGCTCTACAGACCCCGCCTGGTCATGGTGAACGAGTTGATGGGATGGAACTTTTCCTTTGGTTTGATGGCCTATGGTAAGTCTTTTCTCGATGTTATCCTGTGTTTTTTCGAAGTTTCTACGATTGAATTTAGGTGACGAATGGTAAATACTCTGAATAAGGCAACCAATGTGTTTTAACGTTTCATTCGTCAGGCGCGCGCAACGGAAATTATTTCAACAGGAATTCCATCCCCAAGCCGCGGAACGCTTTCAACCTCTCGAGGTACGCGTCACTCATCAGTTTCTCAATCGCCTACTAGAGGACCCCAAAAATTATGTACATCACATCCGACAGTGAGCGTCATGAATTTTTTTACACCCCGGAGTACTTAAGATCGAGACGATGACCATTTCTACTTTTTGCTATAGCTTGGCAGCCTCAACTATCCTTGGAATTGCCTACGGAATTGATGTCCAAGAAGACAATGACCCCTACGTCGACGCTGCTGAACGTGCTCTGGTGTCTCTCGGCTTAGGTATCGCCCCGGGCGTTTTTCTTGTTGAGTCTATTCCTGCTCTCAAATATATACCTGAATGGTTTCCTGGTTAGTGCATAATGGCTATACGTTATAAAATGGTCACGTTTACATGAAAATACACTAGGAGCTGGCTTTAAACGCAAAGCACGGGAGTGGGCTCGGTATTCCACTATTATGCGTGAACTTCCTTACGCTGCGGCTAAGAAACAGATAGTAAGTTGTTTTAGCTCAGTGCATCAAAGTTCCGAGCAACTAAATTCTTTTAGCTGCAAGGGACTGCTCGACCATCTTTCACATCTTACAGTCTGGAGAAGCTGGCCGAGGGCGAGGAGGATGTCGCCGAGCAGGAGCAGAGAGTGCAATCTACAGCAGCGACCATGTACACAGGTAAATGCAATGCAGTTCGTATAGATGAAGGCATTACTAACGAATGCTCTAGGCGCAACTGACTCAGTTCGTCGCCGCTTTAGGTCATTTAACGTTCACGCTTATATCTTTACTCTATCTCCAGACAGTTTCAGTTCTGTCAACGTTCATCCTTGCAATGCTTGCCAACCCCGAGGCTCTAAAGCGCGCTCAAGAAGAAATTGACTCTGTGGTCCAATCTGGAGAGTTTCCTCGGTTTTCTGATCAAGAACGTCTCCCCTATGTCACTGCGATTGTGAAGGAGACAATGAGATGGAAAAATGTTACTCCCTTGGGTATGCTTTGGTTGAGACCCCAGTTCTCACTCATCAGTAACGTCATCTACTAGGCATACCCCATGCATCTACGTCCGAGGACCTGTACAGAGGTTACAGGATACCCGCAGGCTCAATAATGGTCCCTAATATATGGTGAGTCCATCAGTAAGCATATTACCTGACTACGCTTCATCGCTAATTGTGCTTTTTCAGGGCAATTCTTCACGACGAGGTCAGGTCTCGCTCAACATGTAATACTTCATTGGATTGAGACAACTAATGTGGCATCTTACCTTAGAATACGTACCCTGAACCGCACACCTTCAAACCAGAACGATTTATTGGCGAAGATGGGAAAATCAATCCGGCCGTGAAGGATCCTGATACTGCGCTGTTTGGATTTGGACGCCGGTGAGTTTGTGCCCAGTTATAATAGAGCTTTCCGACCTCATAAAATACACATCATAGTATATGTCCAGGACGTTTCATGGCGTTTTCGTCTATTTGGATAGCGGTTGCCTCTATGCTTGCTGTCTTCGACATCTCAAAACCTGTTGATGAAGATGGTAATGTTATCGAACCAACTTTTGAGTATATTCCGTCAATGGCCTGGTGAGATCGTCCACTCATTTGTGCGAACCTCGTTGTTCAAAGATCTGCAATCATAGTGTCCCGGCTCCTTTTGAATGTGCTCTCAAGCCTAGAAGTGCACAAGCTGAGGAAATGATTCGTTCAATGGCTTCGGAGCACTCATGACTGGGATGTGAATTCTTGACAAGCGGGAACTTGCAAGAAACGATGTTCATGAATTGTACAAGATTGTTGTAATCACATTGCACGGCTCCCACTTGTTGTACTTACAACCCATGAATGTCATCTTACGGTAGTTATCGAAGTCCTATATACTTTTAACGCAATGGAATTCTTAAACAGAGGGTATATAGCGATTGTGTGATTGAGCTTATTCGTACTCCTTAACAACAGCCATGCAGTAATCCCACATCTTCTTTTGCTCAGTCTCATCTTTGGTCAAAGGATGGGGCTCTCCAAGACGCGCCCATGGCCGAAGATACTGTGTCCGTTGATGAGCAAATTTACCAAGCACATAGGATTATGATTTATGGACATGCCTTTCCATTATATTGCGAAGCTTCTGGAGCCGTCGCTGCAAAGAGCTGGGTAACAGCACCCATGGAAGTCGGTTTGAGGACTAGCCATTCCTATATTTCAAGAAAGAGTGATCAAACCGTACAGAGGACACCAATCTGCCGCACGCACCATAATTGTCACTAGAAGAGAAGGAAGACGTCGATACAAGTCTGACTGAATATTTCCGGGATCCAGATGTATACAAATCACATTGGAGTCCTGGTCTTCGGCGAGAATTTTGCCCATATAGATTCCCAACATCACGGTAATAAATTTACTTTGAGTGTATGACTTTTGCACTCCGAGCTTTGTGCGGGAGGGCGTGTCCTTAAGGTTGTCATAATTGACGGGGAGGTCGTTGAAATAATATTGCCCGGAGGAAGCAACCCAGACGATTCGGGTGTCCGTGAGGGAATTGGACGTAGTCTTGAGCAGAGGAAGTAACTTTTGTATGAAGAGGAAATGACCAAGGACATTAACACCGAATGTAAGATCATGACCTTGAGCCGTAAGCTGTTCAATGGGAGGGGCCATGACACCAGCGTTGCAGATGAGCATATGAAGCGTGGGGGACAGGCTGAAGCAGAAAAGCACGATAAGAGGGGATCTATCTTTGAACCCAAAATACTTCCTACCGCTTGAATTTCTCGGCCGACTCTTTCACAGCTTTCAAGTCACTCAAATCAAGCTCAAGAAACAAAGCCTCTTTCCCAGTTTCTTCCTTCAGCTCCGCAATTGCTTGTTCAGCTTTGGACTGAGAACGGGCAGCAAGCCAAACGGTACAACCCTTGATTAGTAGTTGTTTGCATGTCTCCTTCCCGATTCCAACGTTCCCACCTATGATAGGGGCTTAATCAGTCACGACGAACAAGAGATGAAAGAAATACTGACCAGTGACTATTGCCACTTTACCTGTCAAGTCAGGCATGTCGTTGAACGACCACTTGGATGCGGGAGGGAAAAACTGCCTGAAGAGCGTCCAAAAACTTGCTGCGACCATTGGGATGAACAATTACTATCGACGGGCTAGAACCTCCACACATTTATACCATTGTCATTACTGTCAATTTCTATGTAATGGCCCCGATTTGGGTCCGCCATAGTCCGCTGATATAATGAGAGCTTCGTGTCACTCGTCGTGGAATTCATTCGCCTCCAGGGTTATTTGACAATCTTCTCAAGAGGTTCAATATGTAGGTCTGAGAATCGCGCGCGTTTGTGAGCTCGAATCAGTTCACCGTTATCATTCGGATAACACTCTTTGCTACCTTGTGATAACGAAGCGGTTGAGTATTATTACTTATGTGAGTGTTCAAGAGTAGACACGTCAGAAGATGAGTAGTCGAAATAAAGCAAGCAGTACCCAGTATTCATTCGTATTCTTGAATAGACCCCATGCAATAATCCCACATCTTTTGCTGCTCAGCTTCATCTTTGGTCATGGAATGTGGCTCGCCAAGACGTGCCCAAGGTCGCAAATACTATTCAATCACAGTCGAAGGCTCTCAGGTTCGAGGTTCGAGCTGGCAGCAAGTTGACGCACCTTGCCATTGTACTGCGCAGCTGCAGGGTCTGTTGCAGCATATAGCTGAGACAGAACACCTTTTGAGACGGGGTAGAGTATTACCGAATTCTTTAAGGTTGCGGAGAGGTCAGCATTTTTTTTCAATGCATGAAAGACTTGGCCTCACCATGATTGATCTCAATAGGCTAGGGCTATGATAACGTTGCAAATCTGTCTTGATGTTACTAGGATCTAGCACTATGCAGATAACATTCGAACTCTGATCCGTCGCGAGAACTTTGGCCAGATGATATCCTAGCATCACAGTAATGAACTTGCTTTGGCAGTACAGTTGCTGCGTACCAAGTCTCTTGCGGGAAGGCGTATCGGTAAGGATATCATAGTTTACAGGTGGACTACGAAAACTATATTGCACGGAGGATGAGACCCAGACGATTCGAGTTTCTGACACAGAGCTCGAGGTGGTCTTGAGAGAGGGAAGAAGGTGTTGGATAAGAAGGAAGTGTCCAAGGGCATTGACGCCAAACTGGAGGTCGTAACCTTGAGAAGTAAGTTGTTCGATAGGAGGGACCATAACTCCAGCGTTACAGATCAAGATGTGAAGAGCAGTGGATTGGCTGTCAAATTCCGGGTAAGATACATTTTAAGAAAGACGATTAGATATAACACTTCTTGAAATTTTCCGCAGACTCTTTTATCGCTCTCAAGTCATTCGGGTCAAGCGCCAAAAACAACGCTTCTGGTCCAGTTTCCTGTTTCAATTCCGCAATTGCCTCTTCCGCAATTGCCTCTTCCGCTTTGGCCTTGGAACGAGCCGCTAACCAAACGGTGCAACCTTTGAGCAACAGATGTTTACAAGTCGCCTTTCCGATTCCAACATTTCCGCCTATGGTGTACAATGTGAGCCTATGCCATGAGATACAAATCGATGTTACTAACCAGTGACTATCGCAACTTTTCCAGTTAGATCAGGGATATTATCGACTGACCACCTGGGTTTGGGTGGAAATAATTGCGATAAAATGGTCCCAACACTTGCCATCTCAGCAGGTTGGATATTCTCGAGCGCCCAAGCTTCTCTTTTTTATTTGATTGACCATTCAACATTGCATTATTGCCAGCTAGGCGCGTCATCTTGTGCGACGAATTCACTGTTCGAGGAAAGAATTGTATCACTGAGTACTGAGCAGTCTTACTTATGATCAAGTGCGTTGATCTCCGTGTCGTAATAGTGTCGGCACGCCCGGCTGATGCTCTTTCCAACTTCCAAGTACCCGGTATATTCTCTCCTTATGCATTCCGTCTGCTGGCAAAAAGAACTGCGGAACTGCGGAGTCTCAGAACCTTTCATCGTTCTCATATTTCATAGTAGACATGAGAGACCACGAGGAATCAAATCTTTGAGAAGTACGTATGTACATACATAGGGTATTGGCGATATGAAGGAAATGTTCATTCAGATGTAAGTTTGGAGTTCTCGCAGTCGTGATTGCAACTCTCTCTACATAACTCGACACAAGCCTTGACACGTTGGAATGGAAGACGATGATTCGGAAAGTGTATATACTGTCTCAGAAAAAGAACGGATTCCATCGCCTTTCACGCCCTACTTTCGAGGTTTACTCGATGGCATCTCTCAATCCCTCTAATCCGATTCAACTATTCTTCAGCTTATATCCAGAGTTCACCTATGATCCTTCTGGTCAAACCATGGCTCAGTTCTGGGAGCTGAGCAACTTGTACGGCTGGGACCGAGATAGTGACGAGAGAGCGGATGCTCTTGCAAAAATGCGAGATGCCATTGCGCAACAGTTCAATGCGTTCTACGGAAGCGATGCAGATTCCTTGGATGGATGGTATAACTTGTTCCAAGCATTGCAAGTTCAGGACATTCCAGATACGGTCAAAGGTTGCAAAGATGTACGATTTTTTTTTGCAAACCTTCGATAACGTCTCGATGAACCTTGCAACATAGCTTATTAGGACAATCCATGTCAATATCTGCGACCTCGTCGACTATTCTCTCGGCGAAGAAGACGACCCACCAGAGTTGCATGTTTCACAGGAGGCTCTTGCTGAATACAGTCGCCGTGAAGGAAAAATCTACCCGCGCAAGGATGCTTATGCAGAAGGACTGCTAGGGTTCCTTCTGCGAGAGATAACGGGAACCTATCAAGGTAGACGGGGCAAAGGTGGCCAAAGGCAAGGAGGAAGATCGAATCGCCGAGGCCGTATTTGAATGGTCAATCTAATATCCAGTGATGGTTCTTGTCGTACGTATGTACGTTGAGCAGGATATGTATATTCTCCGGTCGCGCCTATCATTGGTATCACCCGGTCAATTTGTTTACCCATAAGGTCTTTTAGCAGAAAGAACTGATTTTACTATCAAAATATTGTCAAAATACCCCATTTATGTACAGTCAATGGGAGAGGCACTGACCACATGACCTTTAAACACGATTTAAAGGATCGACGGTGTCAACAACCATCCATTCTTTCTACTTGACACAGTGTACATGTGTTAAAGTATGTCCCTCTAATGTTTTGACCAGTGATCAATGCTTTGGCCAACTTTGGCCTGTCATGACGAGTCATGACTGAGTCAAAGATACTTTGACGCCACAAAACTCGAAGTCAAAGCGAGCTGATCAAAGCGATGATGTCAATATACATAACGCAGTGCTTACAGGCTGTGGCCTCCAGGCGAAAACGAGTATCACATCTCTACTACTATCGCCACAAATCCAGCACCCGCTTCTCTTTCTTCTACCACCTAAGCTTTTATTTCAAGTGAACAATAAGAACCCCGACGTTGTGCCATGTCTTTGCAACCGGAGTTTACCGCCACCTTCAGTATTGTGCCCTATTGTCAGGCGGTAGGACTAAAGAGGTCTGACAACGCAGACACAGATGACACTGACGACCGGTAAGTATCCTTGTACTATGCACGCGGGATGAAAGACGAACTAAAAATCCTTATAGGCTTTCAAGGGCCAGGAGTGAAACACTCGCCAGTGATTTCTCCATTGACGATGATGGCGTATCTGATTCTGTCTTTCGTTCCACTTCGCCACCACTACCACCGGCAAATTTTTCCTTCGTCGCTTCGTCAACGTACATACCTCCCAGCACATCTGAGCTGCTGAATCGTGTGAGGGAAGCCAAAAGAAGTGGAAAATCCATGGACGAGGTCATCCACGAGCTACAAAACGAGTTTTATCCTTTACTTCCTCCACCGGGATACGTTATACCTTCACCTAGCCTATATCGCGCCACAGTGGCGAAACTCGAACGCCTAGAGCGGTGCGGCGGTCTTTTGAACTCGCTGAAAAGGGAACTTGAGGATGAAGAGAGTGAGGATAGTTCAGGAACTGAGGATGACTTGAACGCCGAACTGGAATATGTTGATGTCGTTGCTCCAGTTCCTTTTACGAAGAAGAATGTGGTATCATGGTCATGGCGGTCAAGCTTGTGGGACTACCTAGAACTATCTGTGTCAATATCTGCAGGGAAGCGGAGAAAGAGACAGCCAGAATTCGATGGCGATGAAGAAGACGATTGGGCTCAAAGGAGCGTAGATGGAATCAAGGGAAGAAGGCTGATATCCGGTGTTCGGAGCAGGAAGAGAAGAAGAGTAATATGATATAGCCATATCAATTAATATCAATGGAGGAGTTCTCTAGAGTTGAATGCATACATATACAGTACCGGGTGATCCTATGTATATGCCAGATAATCATATAGTCAATCGCCTACAAGTCGGTTGCAAAAGATTGAGGTCTGAATCTCTGCCGGGCCTTCCAAATGGACCACCGCTCCATGCAATAGGCCATACCGGCATTGAACATACGCTCTAAAAAGCCCTCGTCAGAGTTATGCGGTGACGGTGAGGAGGATTGAACACGCACATCCAGATCACAAACTTCTTCGCATCTTAGCCACGAAGACCACTCCAACCATTTCATTAATGAATTTATCCTGCTATTCCACGCAGATATGTACGTCGGATAACTGACTGAGTCCGTCAAATCTGTGCTCTCGGCGAAAAGTATTCCAAAGTCATTGCAGATCCGCTCGAGTATAGTCTCCATACTTGTCTTCAAAATGTGTTCTGAATTCGTCATGAGGATCTGAAGCTCCGGTTCGGTGAGAAATTCCGTGGCGGAATATGTGCATCGTTCAAGTGCGGTGGTATTCGGGGTTATAGTACCGCGAACAATCATAGGAGAGGAGCGGACATTGAATACAATTTCATGCCCCGAAGCATTAAGTGCTTCACCATAGGCGATGAAAGGATCAAGAGGCGAGTAGGACAATTGCTGCACAGTCGTGACGATGTGGGTCAAGTTTGAGGTACTATTGACAGCTTCCAGTAAATTCTGAATTTGTGCGATGCGATCCGCCCAAAATGTCACGATATCCATCGCTGCGGCTTGCCAGTCAAAGCTAGTCCCAGGTAAATCAGCACGAATGACTGAGTCTAACTCATCCAGGAAAGTACCAACGTCGTCGTCTGAAACGTGTTCCCATAAGAAATGCTCTTGCATGAGTTTCCCGGACCGGCTGGGGACCAAGCTACGATAACGAGGATGGTAAAAGGAGACCATTTGGTGGTAGGAAAGCGACAGATGAGGTTGGACGGTCGAGTGATATCGCGAAGCTGCACGCAACCATTCTAGATTTCCAGTTCGAGCAAGGGGTGCCATGTCAAAACCCCATGGTCCATGACCACCGCCAGGTCTCCGTCCCCTACCAGGCCCACGGCCAGGACCTCGTGGGGGTTGCAAAGGCAGCTCATCCACGGGGAGCTTGTTCAGATCGACATTAGAGGGAAATGGGAAGGAACGTCGAGCTTCCGGCGTTCCTGGAGGCGTAATGTTCAAGCTACTGACGAGTTTCAGCGAAGAAGATTCAAAATCACACCAGATGATCTCGCTAAAGGAATGATCAGGGGAAGTCGAGGCAGGGATATGAAAAGTAGCACAGACAATCCAGCATTCATGCGAACTATCCCTTCAATATCCCTTTGCTTGCCCCACTGACAGAGTCCTTTTGCACGTCCATAATCATCCCACAAGCTGACTTCGTTATTTCTCGACCCATTCGTCTTCCCTTTACCAGTGAGTACGCTGTACTGAGTATCAAGCCATCCTTCTCCCCAGGCTGCTGACATTCCATTGAAGTAAAGTACCTTTACAAGTTTCGTTGTCCTGTAGGTGTACATGTATGTCGGTCCCGGTATCTTGGTAGCCATGACTGCGTAGCTCATTTCAGGATCGAAGGCTAACCATTCTGGAGATGGCGGAGGAATTTGTGCATCCTTTCGAGCATGATAGAGTAAGGTATATGGCTCGATTACACCAGGAATAATTGTATGCCCATTCGGATGAAAGGTGTTCGGCCAGTGAATCAAGAGAGAGTAAAGGTCATTGAAAAGGTATGGTGCGGTAGAATTATTCAGATCCGGACGGGCTAAGACTAAAGAGACAAAAAGCATAAATTGAAAGGAGCATTTGCGGATGAGATGAAAGACGTCCATACCTCCATTCAAATGTAGGACTTGAAAGATAAGGTGCGTTGCTGCTGCGCAATAACAATTTTGCCACGGTACAAAGCAGACTTTTGCGTCAACGTTCAACGAGGTTCAACGTCAAGTTTCAACTCAACCGTGAGTCCGTGACATCGACTAGACAAGTGTGCATCAGGCTATAGAGTTTTTTTTTTTTTTTTTTTTGAATTCTTCATTAACCGCAAGTAAGTAAGGCTAAGTACTAAGGCGCGGGGAGCTGCGGCGACCAGCTAGTGGTGGTGAGCCTGGCTTATCGCCCAGCTCCATTCTCCGGTTCTGGACAGGGGGAGACACATGCTGAAATTCGAGAGATCCCAAAAACCGTTGGGGTTTGTTTGGCATTGCCTTCTAGTGCCGCACAGCCGAAACATGCCGTAGCATGCTAGTTATCTGATCTATCGTGTCCTCACCAGGTTCTCACTACATCCGATTTCAATACGGCCTTGATGCATGTATAGCATAGATATGCAATGATGCTTCGTGGCTTCCATCTCCCCTTACTCTTATTGCTCTGTATCTCCAGATACAAAGCTCGGAGATCAAGACATTTCGTCCAAAGTTCATTTACATATTTGAAATGGAAAACCTGCAATTTACTGCAATAACTGTGGCACTCTGATGATGATCTCAACATTTGAGAGTATCAGACATTCTGCACAAATTCGCCATAGCGAATCAAGCACACATAATAGGATCCGGCATGTTTCGGCTAAGCGGCTGTACGGCACTAGAAGGCAATGCCAAACAAACCCCAACGGTTTTTGGGATCTCTCGAATTTCAGCATGTGTCTCCCCCTGGTTCTGGATGATGTGTGGAAGGTCTGTAGAGGATGGTATAGTTGGGGGTCGTGTGATTTAGGTAGTACGTATTGTATCAAAAGTTTGTTTAACGTGTTCGGTAATGCATACGCATACCTTAAAGAAAAGTGTAAACGATGTGAAGGAAATAAAGGGCCTCACACACTCTGCCCATGGCTAGGAGAAAGACCACTAGGGAAAACCAAGCCCCCGTTGCAGGCGTAACCGCGCTGTGGCCTTTATGGCTCTTGCTGGGCTTGGGCAGCCACCAAGTTACTTCTCCTGTAACTTGGGGCCAAAACCCACGCTCTCGAGTTGCGAGCTCGATGCACCGGTGGTCCTGGGTTTTGTGTGCTGGCAGGTGAAATGTAAATACATGGGTATGTGGGGGAGTTGTGAGTAGGGGGTTATGTTGTCTCTGGCCCTGGATCATCAGAATCCACGGTTTCTTCCCGCCAGTCGGCCTCGGGAGTTATGCCTTCACCCGCTAGGTTGTGGTACGTGATTTCAAGCTCGTCCCATATGCCTAGTGGTGTATAATTTGGTTCTGTTGGTGCTGGCCGGTGAGTGCCTGACTTTGTGAAAGCTCCGCTCTCGCTGATGAATTCAGTGAGTGCTTCGATGCCTTCCTTGGTACCAAGTATATCTGTTAGGCAGATGTCATCAGATATCCTCTTGAGGATGTAACGGTATTCTTCGTATTTGGGGCATGCTCTCAAGATGTGTTCTCGAGTCTGTAGCTCTACGCCACATGGGCAGTCAGGCTATAGAGTATCCTCTGTGGAAAACATTCTGTCGATTCCTCCGGCGAGCGCATATGTCGGCCTACCATAGCGCATTAGGATCTGGTGGTCGAGCTTATGCTTTGACCTGGAATTGTCCTTTGCCAACATCATGAAGAATGATACGGGACAGTCACCGTGAGTGGTGGCAGGACCTACATTACCCTCGCGGAGTGATTTAGAATCGTTCAGTTTTCCTTTTCCATTTAGAACAATTTCCGAAAATCAAGTCAATACATACCGAGACGTGGGACGGAGAAGTTACGGGGCGGGTGGGTATTCAAATAATCAAGGTAAAGTTGGGTAGAGCATGCAGAATGCTGCTTCTGCTTCTGTTCGCACTTCTGTATATGATGGCTCGTGCATAACTCGGAAGCTTGTGAATACGGGGCAGGTGCTTGATTTCATTCACAGTGCCGGAGTAACCGACGGAATTATTATACTGCCAATAAACAGCACGTATATGCTCACGTATCATTCCACACAAGGTTCCACAATCTGGCTGCCATTAGTAATTATTACGACGGTCATTAGCCAAATTCAAAACACCATCCCTCATTTTAGCGCATATCGCAATCTGGAGCGGCTACTACGGGACATTGCGTTTAGCTATATAAATCCTCATTTCGGATTTTGGGACATTCTTCCCTATTCCCTCCAAATCATGGACCGCATTTTAGCACCGGAAATAGTCGAGCAGATAATCGACCAACTACAAGATGACAGAAAGTCTCTTCTCGCGACCAGTTTGAGCTTCAAAGGGATGCTTCTACGGAGCAGGTTCCACTTATTCGACTCGATAGAGGTCACAGTCTTCGCTGATCCTTCTGGTTGGAGTCAAGGCCGAGAGTCATCGGACTCACGAAGCCTGTCTGCACTCCTGAGGATCCTTGACTCCCCTTACAGCAGCATGGGGTTAGCAGTCCAGCGCCTAATCGTCAGTTTCGGATTCCACTTTCCCCAAACTTTGCCCAATGACCTTTCACGCATCCGGAAAAACCTCCGCAATGTCCGAACGCTGCATTGGCGAGACGATACGTGGTGTGACGTTCCGAATGCATTCAAAACCCTTCTCTTTGATTTAAACATCGAAACATTCATAATATCCGGCATATGGTTCCAGAAAGCCTCGGAGCTAGTCGAAATGATTACCATGTGGCCCTCTACACTGCAGTCGGTCGTAATGGGCTCCATTGTTTGCTCCGGAGACGATACGACAAATATCGATGATACATACAATGCTTTGGCTAGACGCAACAAAATTCACTTCCAAACTCTACATTCAGCCTCGACATGGGCTGCGCATAACCTCTTCGACTCAATGATGAATTCGAGCATGATTACCATAGATCGGTTCATCCTAGGAATGCGCTTTCCCGACGAGGAAGAGGTTCAATGGGTAAATGGGATGTTGTCCAGATATGGATCGAGTTTCAACGAAATACAGCACCTGATACCGGTCCCCATTGTCATAGGTTTGTTTCATACCTTTCTATGGTCTACGTGAAGAGCCCATGTTGTTTTTCCCGCTAGAGCTACGAAATCGAGACCTTCCGGTGTTCGACCTCCGGGACTGCACCAATCTACGCGTCCTAAACATACAAAGTATATACCTCGGATGCTCAATGAGCAACATCCAGGAGCTTCTCCCTCTAGCGACCAGTGCTGTCCAGAACATTATCTCCTCAATACCAAATCCCGCCTTATTAGAAGAAATCAGAATCAGATTCGAGATTGATCTATCTGAATTCGAGGCAATGGCCGATATGGCTAACACCTCATCAACTGCACTTCCTCTTGATTCCGATGACGCTGACAGTGTGCCATTTATGGACCAATTTGCACGATTCCATTGGGCAGAGTTCTCCAAGTTCTTGCTGGGTATACCTTTTGTTGAGACACTCCCTGCAATCGGTGTTACATCCGACCCAAAGTCTACCTCCAAGCACGATTATTCTCTCTCTTATATCGGGTCTGAATCCATCCCTCTTGCCACTCGGAATCATTCTTCGCACTCACCAAGATCTAAACGACTTCATATCGAGCTTGGCGCGTATCCATTCGAAAACAAGCTTTTTGAGGATATCTTTGTGAAGAATTACGACGAGTACGTCAAATATATGTATGAAAATGGGTTGAATCTTGTGGAGAAGGGAGGGAACGAGCTGGTTTTTAGTCAGGTTCAGTATTCAAATTCTTACGAAGTAGATAGACTAAGATAAATTGAAGTGTCTCGGACATTGGTATGTACTATATAGCTTTGTGTGTATTTTAAAAAGAGGTAATAATTGAAGAATCTGCAGACGATGTTGTAGCATCAGTGGTCTAACGGTTATGATCCGGTCTTCCCATTTCAAATATGGCCGGGAAAGGGGTTCGACTCCCCTCTGATGCATTTTACATTTTTGGTCGTACCATCATCCATCTCATTGTTTGCGTTCAAAGAATAACTTGGAGATTCGTTGAAGACTTGACAGACAGACAGACAGACAGACGGACTTTTCTATGACCACCTCATTTATCATACTTTCCCTCAGCGCGTATGTCAGGATGTGACTCGATCCACTGTTCTCTTGTGACCTTCGTTTAGTATCTTTTTCGTCTGATCATGACCCAGGAAGCTATACGACTGAGTTATCAGCAGAAGACGCCAATACTGTTCCCGCAGGCCACAACAAATCACTCAAAATCACCAGTGTTTGCTCCAATTCTATGCTTAGACTTTGACAGAACTAGACCATCAATATAGACTCCATAATAGAGGCGTTGGATTTCGATGGCTCGTATAAAATCCTGGCTGTCAGGATTTGTTGCCTTTCAGTACATCCTCTCCATAAAATTAAGCGGACTTCGATTTCTTATAGCGAGAGCGAGCGGCTGCCTCATGATTATACCCTCTTTTTGAGCATATGAGATGTAGGCGATTGGTAGCGGCGCTAAGAATTCGACAAATCGAATTTCGGTATGACATTGAATGTGAATGTAAATATTGTCATTGCATGAGTATTGTTACAGCCATCGAAATGCAAGCCAGTGCCACATATGGTGACAATCGTTCTCCTGGAGTCAATTCCTAGTATTAAAGGCTGCATATTGATGGCGTTTTGTAAAGTACGCACCTATTCTAGCACCCATAAAGAAAAGACCCAGAAACCTATTCGCATGGTAATTAGCAACATATAAAAGCGAGCACGGGAACGACGCACCCTTCTTTATTTCTATCAACCAAACGCGGTGCTACGGCACGTACATACGTGCATGTACAAATTACCAGGAGAATGACCAGAAGCAGAGATTGAAAATTGAAGAGAGCAGACTAGACACAGTACAGAGTGAGCATAGAGGCAGATATCAGAGATATGCCTTGAAGGAATTACCATCTTCTCAATTCAAAGCCTCCTTGAGATTGTCGTGGACGTTAATGAGGAGCATACGTGCACGTTGATCTTCCAAATTCGGACAGCTCGGATTACCGTGCCGGCTTGAGCGCTTAATTGAGCAACTTGGACCGCGACACGACCAGGACAATACGCGATTCTTTTGACCCCATCTCCCGCAATTCCACTTCAGAAATGTGACTGGTCATTGACCTCCATTGAACTATGGAAGAAATTACGCATGCACAACTTTCTTACGATGCTCAGCATCAGCCACAGTATATTGTACACCACATCCAATATGGCACCCCTTCGAATTTTACCCAAACAGTGAACAAAGCTTTATTACAAGAAGGTGCGAATTTAGTGAAACAAGTCAGAACCGAGGAGATCTGGCATAATGTAGAAATAAAGGCCGGGTACCATACACCCGCATTAATCATCTGTGTGTACCGTCGCGACTTTCTCTTCTTCACACTCACTCACTCGACGCGTATTCAGCTTCCCGAATTGTCACTCTTTCCCAACCTCCGCCTCAAGCTACTATATATCAGGCCGCTCCTGCAGTCACGAAGACACTTAGAGACTGGCTTGAACCACCAACGGACGAGGAAATTTACGCTTTGGACGACTTAGAAGAATTCGAATCTACTGATCTCAGTGGCTTGCTTTGCATTACCTATGATAACGGGTCGCAATTTCAAGGAAAGAAACGGTGTCTTCCATTGGATTCGGAGCACTCGGAAGATTTCGACCAAGACAAGCCCAGTAGGAAAATTCTTCGCCTCGATAGTGACTCTCTGCTCCGTGTTATACCGCAGGTGTGTTACTTAACTTGATTAGCATTGTATAGTCCATGGCGAGCTGATGCGACTTAACCCTAGCCGCATATACAACTCTCCAATTCCTTCATACCTCCTAGATTTGACGCTATACAAGCCTACGACAGAACACAAACAATCTTCTTACCTCCTTATACAGGCCCCCTTCCGTCTACAAACGATGATTTCAGCCGCAGAGCCTGGATCATCCCTGCTCGAGGCTATTTGCCTTCTGCTTGGAGTGAATCGGGCGCAAGCTCAGCTGTCGTTCTTGATCCGGAAGAGCCTGGCTCTTCTTTGGAAATGACAACCACAGGCTCGACAATAAAATGGTCTCATTTCGCCTTGAAGGAGTTTTGGAAATATTTGAATACACTCAGAGATTTAAAAAAACTTGGGTCGCTCGGAATATCTTTCCAACCTGCTCAAAGTGCTTCATTGCGACTCAGGAGGGAGAAGGAAAATTTATCATCATTGGGCTCGCCCGATGCACATCAATTGCAGGGGCTCCATGTAGCCGAGTCGTTGTCGCAGTCTCTCCAATCAAGTACACCTTCTGGGGCCAGCTCGTCGCTGCGCGATTGCGACTACTTCAAAGTGTATCACGACGCGAAAATTTCGATGCATCTCAGACGTGCCCTGGATTTGTTTACCTTCCGCTTGGGTGCTAACGAGGAACAATCCGTCCACCTGGAGCAGTTCGAGAAAGCCGAGTTCTTCGAACAATCTAGGGAGTCTGGAGTGACCTCATCACCGAGCTCAGTACATTCAAAAGAGACAGAGAACCCGGAAGGCGAAGGTAGACCCAAAAGGAAGAAACCCAAGTACTGCTTACTCAGGGGAGCAAGGTTGGTTTTGGTGGATGAGAGGTCGAGAGGGGTGTTGATTGCTTGAGAATTTGACAATCTGGACTACATACAATCTGATTTTTTGGTATCTCAAATCCGTGGCGTGCCCTGAGGGACCATGACAGTGATTTAATAGCATATCGTCGTTGCACAGAAGGAGAAAAAATGAACTGATACTTTGAAATTGGTACATAATGTATCAAATGAAAGAGAATGTATGAAACGGTAAACCGAAAGACGTACGTACACTGCACACAAGAGACTACCAACGAGCCCCGTATTCATTCAGAAAGGTCATTCAGCATTTAGCACAACAGTGTCCGTCATTTGTTTATCAACAGCATCTTAATCACCACCACTCATCTCTGACCGATCCGTTTCACAAAGGCACCTCAGTGGTCGCGGGACTTTCTGGTACGAAAGATCGATAGGGAGTTAGCAACGCAGTACAACTACTACATGACGTGGCGAAAGGCTCACCTATATTCGCCCTCGGCAGCGACGCTGAGCTCTTCGATCTCACCCTGGACACCGGACAAGGCTTCCGCAGCAGTACTGAAGAAAACGAGCTGGCGAATAAAATATTTAACAGATGTCGTCTCGGTCATTTCACCAAAACGTCTTACCTGGGCTTTGACGAGCTCGTTCAAATTCTTGAGAGGTTCAGGCTGAAAAAAAAAAGGTGAGACCAACATAGAACGAAGGCAAATAAAATACCCTACATTTTCCAAAACGGTCTTCATTAAGGTTATCGCTACCTCAGTCTTCTGAACAAGGTCATCCTCGGCGTTCTCGACTTCCAGACGAGCTTGCTCTTGACGGGCGGGAGATGCGGTCTTGAGGCTATTCAAAAAAGATAAGTTGCCGTTCTTAGTGACTTGATGGGCAAGTTCAGACGCACCCTTGCTTAGCCGCATCCAACTCCAACCTACTCGTCCGGACTGCCTGCCTGGCCTTCATAGCAACATTGATGCTGGTGCTCAACGTCGTCTGCCAAGGGTGAAGATACCCCTCCTGGACGGCGTTATCATGATGAATACGGGCGTTGGAAATAGTTTCATTTGCCTGAGCATACATAGCAAGCGCTTTACCGAGTTTACTGGAGTCTCCAGCCGGAGTTGAAATGAGCAGTTGTGAGGCCGTGTGAGAGGCGCGAGTGAGAGCATGAGGAAGGGTTTTGTGCGGAGTCTCAAGGGGAGGGCGAGTAGGAGCGGCACCGGGAGAAAGAGGAGTGCCTTTCAGGTTAGTGGCAGCAAAGTGCTGGAAACCAGTGCCGATGGTATTGGAGAGCTCGGAAATAGATTCCTGGATTTGTACAGGGTAATCGTAGGCCTCGGTTTCATATACCTGGAATTACACGAATTACATAAAGAACTACAGCTTTGGTTTGCTGTCATACCTTTGTGATTCTGTACCAATTTATCAGACTAGGTTCACACAAGGATTATCTGTACGTACTTCAACATTGCAAGGTGTGCATTTCTGAGAGCATCTACTCGAGCTTCAAGATCCTTATACTCTGCGATGACATGTCAATTAATAAAATCATTTGATTGACAAACTCGACACGAACCTTGAGGCAGCTCAGTAATTTCATCCTGAGAAACCTGGCCAAGTCTTTCCTTAGTAGCCTGAACGCTTGACTGAAAGCCCTTCGTGAATTTATTCGCGCTTTGACCGAGGTTCAGATTAGCGAAACCGCTTTGTAGAGTTTTCCAGCCTTCCATATTCCTTCTTTGAGTAAAGTGACCGGGTAAGGTAGAGATTTAGAGAGAGTAATGTAAACGATCCGAACGAAATTGGACGAAGGAGGAATCTGCTGTTGTAGTGGTAGCAAAGAAACGTTGCAAGCGGTTCGAGACCGCCGGAGAATTGCCGGCACTGCCCCCGTGACGGAGGCGCGCACGATGAATTGAAATTCCTATCAAGCTGCGTACAGATCTGCAGGTCTAATTCTGAATCATGCAAGAATAAACGTAGTACATTGACAATATAGTACAGTACAGGTAATAAAATGACCAGGATTCCGATGAAAATCAACAGACATAACAGAACATAACAGCCCGGCTCAAAGTCTTTCACTGGAGTTCACTAGGGGGACATCATCTTCGCGAATGGATTGTTGGATTTAAATCTGGGCTGCGTGGAAGCAGGCTGCACAGGCTGTAGTTCCGAATAGTAGTAAGATCGTTCTCTAGGCTGATTCTGCTGCTGTCCCTCATGATACATTTCTTCACCAGGACCACTGTAGTTGTTCCGCTCGGGATGATAGTCCTGGTAGTATTGGGTATCAGGTCCCTGCTGGGGGTCATAGTAGTACTCAGGCTCTTCTTCTCGATTGTCGTAGGGGCCGTGCTCATCCCCCTCGATTATCCGTGCATCAACGTGTGTAGGTGCACCGTGCGTAGGTGCACTAGAGGGTCGATGTAGAGGGTTTTCCCCAAAGTATGCCGACCCAGGGATAGTAGGGATGCTGCGTTGACTCGGCTGAAAGTTTGGAGGGACAGAAGATCTACCTCCTCGACCAAGACCACTGCCGGGAGCGGGAGTTTGGTCATCTGAGAAGAATATGATCATGAATCAAGAGGGTTGTGAAAGGTAGACTCACAGCGATATTGTGTCCTGGCTGTGGCCTGGGTCCAATGACTAGACCCATGTATCCGATTATCATCTAAGACAACAATCAGTTCCTAAAAGGTTCGACTAACGGTAGCACGTACTATAGCCAGCATTGTAGTTGTTCGTCCTGTTATTCGAATTTGAACGATTGTCACCGTATCTATTACCAAAGTTGCTTCGATTCGAATGATCGTTAACGATATCTTGGTTGATATCTCCATTGCTGTGGTTGAAAGATCCACCGTTGATACTGAAGCGATGAGCGCCAGCAAAGAAAGCTCCAGAGATGACCGTTTGCGCCGATTCTGAATGAGGTGCTGAGTGGACTTTGGGGATGTCTGGTGGAGGGGCGGAGTTCGAAGCGTCGTGCCACTGTTGGCCGTCCTCGTGAACTTGATTCTGAACTGGGTCCATTGGTGAATTAGTGAACGAGCGAAGGCAAAGGGATGAGCCCTTTTATACTCAATTAGTTCCGTGACATCCGGCATGAATTGAAGGACCACGGTCTTATCTGATCTGTACATGCAGAAGATGTGAGGGACTCAGTGAACCTCTTGAGGTGCTGCTTCAAGAGATGCATGAAGATGTAAATCCATCTCGCGCGACATCAGGAATGAAATCAATTCAAAATTCCATGAATCCTATGGTTTCAATTTTTATTCCTCACTATACTACTGTCTACCTGCCAAAGCAGCGAGCAACGTATCATAGTCAATTTTAGCAGCTGCATGAATCATTAGTCAAAATACAGCATTTATAGAAAAATATACGTACATTTGAGCACCATTTGTGTAAACACCCTCGCCAAGTTAGGCTCCTCCGTTCCTAAAAGGCGCAGATTCTCAGTGCTAAGTTTCCATAATACGGCTGGCCGTTCAGCGACTGCGGTGGCATTTCGTGGAAGATCAGACAGGGCCGACAGTTCACCAGCTAGGGTACCTGGTACCATTGATTCTTCGATATTTTGCGCATACTCTGCAAATTCATATGTTGCGCGCAATATCCCGGATTCAATGAGATATAATCCATCGGAGGAATCATCCTGGCGCCAGAGGACAAAGCCTTCGGGTACCGACATCCTTTGAAGATATGGGACGAGGGCCAAAAATTGATTGAAGTCGAATTCTTCAAACGAAGAGAAGGCGCGAACAAGGGTAAGGAATGGCTCGGAAGTTGCAGTATCCTCAAGCATGGGCGGAGAGCGTAGCTCTGTGGATTACTTTGAATCAGAACAGGGAAGCGCGGAAACAAATTTGAAGTACCATTGGCAATTGTTCGAGAGCCGACTTCAGATAACATAGTGTGTCGCGGAGAGCTTATGGAGGTTTGAGAGGATTGATATGAAGAGATTACATCGACATCTTGACGACCAGGAAGGGCTTGCATCATGTTCAGCTGCAGAAGCTCCGCAATAGAATGAAACCTACCGAAGGGAATGCCCATTTCCTGTTTTTGTGACCTGTAATATGCCTTGAGGTATACATTCTCCGTCCCTTCTCACAAAAATGAGGCAGGATCCGACAAACGTTCATGGGACACTTACATTCCATGGCATCGTTCAAAGTTAAAAACAATTCCACCCCCTCTGTTCCCATAATGCCAACGCTCTTTAACGCCTTTCCAACTGCTGAATCAACCTTGAACCCACAAAAGACCAGAGTGACATATTTAGCAGCAAGGAGACGCTGAACGCGTACGAAAGCCTCAGCTGACGACATATCCACACCGGCAACCAAAGTAAGATCCACCACGAGGAAGCGAACAGGATTCCTTTGCCACGACGGCGCATCAAGAATGCCACGAATAGCTTCTTCGACATACGTTATTGTGCCAAAGAACAGAAAGCCTAAAGCATTCGTATCGTCGGCATTCGAGAAGGAAAAGAGAGCCTGGATCACGAACCTTGGAGCCTGAGAATGGTAGTTTGCCTTGAAACTTCTTTCAGATACGCACGTTGCGCATTAGGACGCCGGACGGTAGACATCATGGTATTTCCTGTATGGAATGCCCGAATGCTGCGCCTTTGAGAATTCTGAACAACGAAGAAGAAGCCTGAATACAAGGTCGTCAAAAACGAACATCTGATGTATTGAGTGTAACCTACAGCTGACGACGATGCCGAAGAGTACACCCTTCGGGAAGGTGGATCAAATTTATGCTCCAACGTTTCGCACATAACTACTCACAATCACGAAGTCCCAGACCGTCATTGCTATTATAATGCTCACTATCGTGATGTATTCCGTTCTATAACTGATTAACAAATGCCGACAGAATCTTGCAAGCTCCACATACCTGCTGACACGATGCCTTGTATCCCATAACGCTTCTTTGACCAGGTCAATACCCAAGACAAATATGAGTGCACCAACCACCGAGACAGCTACAAAAAGAACGGATTAGACGGACGGAAAGAGCTGAGAAGATCCTTACGGATGAAGGCAATCGGACCTGTCCCAACGAGTAGTAGGACGGTTGTGGCAACAGCAAGGAGGAATCCGGCCACCCGAGTATCCCCTCCAACACGATAGAATCTATAAACCATGTTAAATTGAGTGAAAGTAAACAGTAGAAGGAGACAGACAATAATGTGTTCACGTATACAAGATAATTGGGTCTGGAGATCATGAGCCTCAATCGATCATGCAAACTGCAACCAGAGCTACATACACAGTTCCAAAGACACCTGCCAAGATATTGGAGTATCCATGGGCCACGAGCTCCTTGTTCGTGTCGACATCCTCGTTCAAGGAGACAGCTACACAATGATTAATTAAAGTTTCCACTGCGCGGGATGGCAGCTTACCCAAAGCAGGTACATTCAAAGGAGGATGTAATATGTTGAAGAATAGGCTATGTGAGAACTCAGATAAGAGCAGTAACTTATGCAACATTGGAATTGGTACGAACAGAGCAAATTGAGTGGGCAGAGTCGACCATAGAGGTTCCAAATGAATGAGGTTCCGATCTGGGTCCCATTTTAGCTGCAGCGTTTAGTAAATAAGTACATAGATCGGCTCACCAAAATAAGTGTAGAACCTCCACCATTTTTCAGGCTGTCCTTTGACACCGCCAGGAATATCAAACAACCAACCATTTTCGCGTAATTCATCTAGATTCACCTGTGCGGCAGCAACGATAATGTAAAAGAGAATGGGAATGACGACGAAATCTAGACAGCAGAAGATCATTTTTGGAATTGAAGACAGCAAGGGGAGCGCTCACAAACAGGAAAGATGAGCTGGTGGCTCCATTTACTTGTGATGACTCTCAATGAAATAGCTAATCCTAAGGGAATAGTCCAAAGGGCAAGAGTTTGAGGTTCTAGGAACATGAATTTGAGAGTTCGAAGATCAATGACAAAGTTGTCGTCGGGTATCCTCATTGACACTGTCAGTCTGAGTTGAGTTAGTTTGGGTGATGGCCACTCGGATTTCACATACCCAGTTTCAATGAGGAATGCGCCGACACCGCCTATACAGCCCACCAGGATATGGCGGGGGAAGAATCCAATGAGAGTTCCAAGTTTAAGAGCACCAAGCAGGAAAAATGATAGACCTATGTAGAGCAAAACATACGTTCAGCAAACGGAAACCGAACGGGGAACAATTTCCTGAAGTCATTCGAACCCCAATTTCAGAATGGCGATGATCGTAAAACCCGTGGGAGCACAGGCTCGGGCTCAATAAATCAAAGGCTCACCGGTCAAGACGCTACTCAAAGCATAAGCAACAATCGTGGTAGCGATAACTTCTGCAGGTTTGTCTTCCCCAATGTTTTGAGCAATACTCGCCGCCAGTATATGGTAAAACGGCTGTTAGATTCGATCAGGTTCAACGATCAACTACATAAAACCTGGAAAGGAACAGAGTACTCACCACAACCTCAATCATCATACTGCCGTTTGCACCCGCAAAACCACTTCCTCCAAATGTGAAGCAAAGTTGTGCAAGTACGCACGAAACGAAGAACATGGATACACCCATCGGTCCCAAATTAGTGAACGGAGCAGAAGTGGGAAATATGATCATCCCATAAGATACACCATCTAAGATGTTAAGAAGGCTTCCCAGTAGGACAGCGGGGATAGCTCGGAGTGAAACGATAGCTGTGTCATGCAACGCTTGGCGGATTCGAGCTGGTTCCGGGACAGTGACAGACTTGAGACTTCTTGAAAAGATGACTCCATAGTATGAAGAGGACGAATGGGATGCAGGAGAGGGACCCAGCAGAGGTGTGCTTTCATTCTCGGGTGTAGAATAAGGTCCACCGTTGATCCCATTTTGATCATAGGAATGTCGATGATTTGTCACTACGATTGCATTATCGAGCGCAGGATCCCATCGTATTTTCGATTTCCGTGGAGAAACTGTCCGACGCACGTCTGCGGAAGTCATTGACTTCGGTCTTGGCGGATGAGATATAAGAGTTGACGCTTTGGGATATGGTGATCCAACTCGTGTCGAAGTTGGCGTAGGTGAGCCTGAGCCGGAAACGGAACCTGTTCCTGATGAATCTTCGGGGGTAGAATCCTGCTCAGATGGATGCGAAACCGTAACCGTACGCGTGGAAGAATGAGAAGATTCACGGGATGGCTTCGGAGGAGCTAGCGAGCGAGATGATTTGACCGGTGAGGAAGGCGATGAATGCAAGAGTAACGACAGGCCAGATTTGAACTGGCTAGAGTGATCGTCAGAAACATCAAGGGCAGGCTCTAGCATCGAGGATTGCGGTCCATCAAAGCCTTGATGCCTGCTTCCACTTGAACGGCCCCTCTCATCATTTAATGAAGGCTCGAGACTCGTTTTATATTCGGAAAGTGTATGATTTCCGTCAAATCCACTGAGTTCTGCAGAACGAAGGTTACCTCCGACAACAAGGCTTCTCGGCTCTGTCCGAATAGTTGAATCGAATACACCCAAGTTATCTAGAAGGAATGTTGAGGGTGTCCAGTCAGAGCGTGTCTGTGATCCATTGCTGGATCTGTATGTAGAAGGAAATGATGTTGATGTCACGCCGCTGGAGACCATTAATCCAGACAGCTCCACTGTACTCTCACGAATGGTACGCTGAGAATGAGGTACAACGCGAGGTTTTGTTCCACGTTGATGGGCGTGGCCGACTCCGCCGTCAGACACCGAGCTTGTATCAGCTGGAATCGTTTGCGCAGTAGGAGAAAAGGTCGATCTGTTCGAGTCTGACGATGAGGAAGAATTTGCAGTAAACTGCGGATGATCATTATGTGCTACAGACAAGATGTTATGGTTGACGCCGTAACTGAGAGGCATTGGTTGAAGAAGTCTGAAAAGAAAATGGACGGTCAGTGAAAAGATGTTTCAAATCGGAGGGTGACGCGATACAAGGACTTTAAGTCGAAGTATGTAGCGTTAAAAAGAGTCTTCTAGGATGAACAGTCAAATAGACAACAAATCGCGTGAGGTCGAAGTAAAATGGTCAAAAGACCCAACGGATCAGTGGGTCCATTATTACGGTGGTCAATGGAACGAAACGAAAAGGTCATAAGGCTCCCCGTAGATGAACAACAACGTACACTGGAGAAAGTACAGCCTTCAATAAAAGTTGGAGGACCCTGATGGAAATTCCGAGTTCATCTGACCATCAATGATTTTTTCCACCGTTCTTTCCACCATTCGGAATTCCACTACACAACTAGGAGACATGATACCAACGTGCAAGAAAACACTAAGTAGTAAGGTTGCTGGTCGGCAACGATATGTACGTGGACGAAAAGTATTGGGGATCAGACGAACGTTTGAAAACTTACCCTGCGCGACGTAAATTAGGACTTGAGGGCGTTCCAACCGGATTCGATAGCCGCCTTCTCGTCTGCATTTGGGAAAGAACCGGAAAGGCGTTGATGGGCGTGGTATAAGAAGGACTGAAAGGGTCCTCAGGAGCAGTTGCTCGTCGAAAAAGCTCTGTTTCTTGTTCTGGCTGTTTTCCTTTACGATTTCCGGGATTAGAGCGGTCACTTTGACGAAGGAATGCGGTAATTCCGCGAGTATCCGAAGCTGGCGATTGTGAATCGCTAGTGCTACCGCCTGCATCTTCAATGGTGTCGAGATTATTGCGCAAGTTCGCATGATGATCCAGGCCGGGCTGAGTGAGATTTGCCTCTGGTTCTGGCTCTTCAAAAATAGAGAATGACTCCCCCGTCATCGGGCAAGTGGCTCTCGTCTATACAGGACCGACTAGAAGAAAGGCTGAGACAGGAGATAAGGAACAGTAACGGATTGCGGAAGATCATGTTGAAATTTTTACTGGAACAGGATGTGCGTCACAGACGAGTCACAATTTTCAACTTTCATGCGGAACGGGCCGCTGTTCGATCTTGGAGATTTGTATGTACTGTACTTACTACAAATAAGTACTTGACCCATGGTATGTACCATATTTAACAACGTGGATGCAAATGGAGACAGAGCGACAAGGTTAACGGGGGAACGAGAGATCAGAATAATAAATAGGGTTCCATCGTTTACTGGTAGATGAAATTGTATCTGTACGTCGGTTAGTATGGAATAAACGCAGTCCACGTAAGCGTTAACTCACCTTGACAGTAGATGTGGAATCGCACTCAGCTGCGGTCCATAACGGGCAGCGTTGTCGTACAGCTCGAAAAGCGGAATCGCCAGAAGCTTCATGTTCTTCGGTACGGCAAGTACCTCTGTAATCTCCATGATGGGTGCAATCACATAGATAAAAGAGAGGTAACGCACTCTTTTCAGGCATTTGCACCAAAAACAGTTTCTTGCACTCCTTCGGTTTCGTTATATGTGCAGGCACAAATGGATACATAAACGTCTCGAAGTTGGGTCGCCACCACTGGGCGAGACAGTCTCCGATTTCCCAATCATTATCGACGCCATGGACAGGTTGCGAAAATTGACCTGTAGACTACATCGATGCTGGGACATCGATTCAGAGCGAAGGAGATGCTTACGACTTTCAGGCGGGGGAGCGAGCCGGTCATCCAGGCGGCGCTTTAGACCGTCAATTTCATCTTCGCCAGGTTTGAGATAGTCTCCAGGGCTGCACAAAAGCGGAACAAAAGGTCAGTTATATGTCTGTAATTGCATTGAGCGTAGAGGGAATTCATGTTGGAGATCGGCGGTCACTGAGTTTGAACAGATGTGCACTGTAAAGGCACCGAATCGCAAAACAAAAAGAAGGGTACAGAAATTATAGGTTCCGAAGCTGATACTGATAGAACCCAGAGTTCCGACTAGGAGTGGAATAAGTTCTGAGCGCGGCAAGACCGGTGTATGTTAATAGAGGATCAGTTTTTCGAGGCTCTTGTGAAGGCCTTGAATGCAAAATCAAATATGATATTGAGAAGTGGTACAATGTATGTACATCCCTGGACCAAAGACAGCAGAGCAGATGATCCACATATAGTCCATGAAAAGTCCAGGGGAGGAGTTATAATGAACCAAACGAAGGGAAAGAAGTAAAGTAATGACCCAGAATACGAGCACTCACAGTTTGAAAAAGGCATTGGCGATTTGCAACATCAATATATGCGGATGACCGTGATCATGTACTACCAGAATCCCTTCAACCGTCCTCCTCATTCCAAAATCTTCATAATTGTTCTGTAAGCGTTGTAGGCGCGCCGAGACTGATGGATCTTCTTCTGGTTGAGCTTCCTTGGTGCTGGTATTTGGGAAATCATGGAGTTTGGTTTTTGGGGCGAGGAATAGTCCAAAGGATCAACATGGTCCATTGAAATCAAAATTTGCATGACTAGCCGAACACGACAACACACCTGAAGGTGAAGTTGGAAAGGGGATACCTGACGGAAGCGCGTTTCGTAAGCAGGATATAAGCCTATAGGAGCGCATAAAACTCACAAGGCAATAGTGTTCGACATGATCTACCAGTCCTCAAAAGTTGGGTATATACGCGTGATGAAAAGCTAAGAAATCGAAACACAAATTGAAAGAGAACACTGAACAGACGCTGCTCACTTAACCTTAACCCCAATGTGGCAGTGCAAAGTTTTTCGTTGTCCTTCACAATTACATCGTTCAACCTCTGATTTTCTCTTCAAAGTGGGCAAATATGGCGGAATACGACCTCTCGAAAACGATCATACCCTATCTGGACCGGCATTTATCATTTCCTCTGCTTGCCCACCTAGTTGAAACCGGCGTATTCCCAGCAGATGAAGTCCAGGTCGCTCAGTATGAGCTTGCCAAGGGAACAAATATGTTCGACTATGCTGCTTCGCTATTTGAGCAGATCTATCCCAATCAGGAGGTCCCAAAAGGTGCATGCTTTGGATTCCTCCTTTTTAACGAGTGGAGATACTGATGATTTTCTTTCCAATCTTTGGTATAGAATTCGAACAGAAACGTGTAAATGCTGTCTCTACTCACGAGAGATTGCAACAAGAAGCACAGGCAGTCCTCGACGTGATTGAAAATCCAGATGTTGCTCAGGCTCTCAGACAAGATAAAAACCAAAATCTGCAGTATTTGAAGGATAATTACAAAGTGCGTCAAGCAAGTTCACTTACTCTACTCCTCTAACGACATATCCAGCTCACCCTAGACCAAATAACCGCTTTATATAACTTTGGTAAATTCCAATACTCCTACGGAAACTACAGCGGTGCCGCCGATTACTTGTACCACTTTCGTGTCCTTTCTACCGATCCCGACCTCACCATCTCTGCACACTGGGGTAAACTTGCCTCAGATATACTTACCGGAAAATGGGATATCGCGCTAGAAGAACTGAACTCGCTTCGTGAAGCCATAGATTCGCGCTCACCAGCACCGTTCGCGTCTGTCAGCTCAAACACGAATAACACCCCAGCCGTCGACCCGGCATTAAGTCAGCTTCATTCCCGAACATGGCTAGTTCACTGGTCCCTTTTTGTCTATTTCAACCACCCGCAGGGTCGAGCATTACTGCTCGAGACGTTTTTATCACCCACCTATCTGAATACGATCCAAACGTCCTGCCCATGGATCCTCCGCTACGTCGCAGCAGCGGCAATTATTTCTAGCCCCACCCCGACTTCTAAATCAACATCAGCACCTCAGTCCTCGAGGGTAAAGAATGCTGTCCGAGAAGTCGTAAAAGTGATTCAAATGGAGAATTACCAGTACACGGACCCTGTCACGTCATTTCTTATGCAGCTTCACGTCGAATTTGACTTTGAGGCGGCCCAGAAGGAGCTCCAACAAGCAGAGAAGGTTGTTTCGGATGACTTTTTCTTGGGTGATTTCCATGATGAATTCTTGGAGAGCGCGAGGTGTTTAGTGAGTGAGGCCTATTGTAGGATCCACCAGCGGATAGATATTGGGTGCGTTTTGACGCTTTCTCTTTTTCCTTTTCTTGATATATCCGTCGTTATAGTGACCTATCTAACCGTCTCAACCTTCCTCGCGACGAGGGTGAAAAGTGGATTGTAAATCTCATACGCGAGACTCGTATGGGCCAGGATGCTAAAATTGATCTGGAAAAGGTATATTATGAAGCCTTTGAATTTTCTCATCCTCCCTCACCCTAATCCGTCTAGAACCTTATTCAAATCTTACGACCCCCTCAACCAGTGTATCAGTCCGTCATCGAGAAAACTCGGGGACTTGCTATCAGAACGCAAACATTGGGAGCCGCGATCGCCAGAACTGGTGTTGCTCAGGCTGCATCTACTGCTTCAGCTCCTCAGTCCATTACTCAGCCTGTTGCTGTTAATTGAGAGTCCAATATGTACATGCCTGTATTATCTCTTCCTGCACTTCTTTCCTATTCATCCCTAGGGACCACTTTTGCTGTAGTTCCCTAGCTAGTGATACATACATGCAAACTGTCCGGCAAATTAAACAAGTGCAACCTGCTCTATCCTTCTATTCAGTCTATAAAGGGTTGGATCTTGAGCACCCCACTGCTTTCGATCTAAAAAGACGGGGCGGAAACGTTTTCGGACAGTGGGCAAATTGTCAGCACTATCCAGAGATTTTTCTGGATCCAAGGTGCCGCTTTTAGAAGGCGATACAGTTGTCGAGTTGAGGCGATCAGAACGGCGCATGGGGAAAGGTGGTGTTGCGGGTATGTGAGGAATTCCTCCACTGGAGGTGGCTCGATGAGTCGTTTTGGATGGTGTTTGTGGCAGCGACATTTCCACGTCCGAATCTTGTGTAATGGCTTTATCTTGGGCGTGATCTCTTGTTAGAAGTTTCTGAAATGCGGGCTTCAAGGGTGATTTTCTGGGTGATATAGAAGGTGGGAACATGCCCGTGGGAGGACCGAAAGCCTGAAATAGCGTATTTGGCTGCTTGTGCGAAGTGGTTACTTTTGTATCATCCTCAGTAGAGAGCTTCTGCTTCTTGGGAGAATCCTTGCTAGGGGCTTCTCTCGTCATTCGCTTTCCAGGAGAAATGCGCGTAGAGCTTCGCCTGATAACAGCATCATTTGGACGTCTACTCTCTTCCATTATCAATGTTCGAATTTTGGTGCCATAAACGTCCATGACTTTGGAGATGCTTCGCGTATTGTCTGAATAAGGTCCGCTGTCTTTTACGAAAGACAGCAGATCCAATTGACCGGGCTACGATGGAGAGACAGATCACTACTTGGATACCAAATCATGCCAGCAATGACGCACCTCCAAGATCCCACATACCCAGAAGAATATACCGTACTTAAGTTTGGGGCTATCTCGAGCGATATTGTTACCCTTTCCAAGGTCGAAAAATGCAAACTCAGCCCGCTGACACCAGCCAACAAAGCGGTCACCGTAAGTTTGTGAAAGCGCGTATCTTGCAACGAGGGAATCGTAAGAGACTCTGGAGGTAGACACGGATCGTGTTTGTCTTCGTTGAGTGGGAGTAATTGGCTGATTTGACGCGTCGTGAGCGAGAGCTGCCCTGACTTCGGCGAGGCATTTTCTAAATGCTGTTGGGTTTAAACAGGAGTTGCCTTGAGCACTTGCAGGATCAACAACTGTGTTCTTCAGCCTGTAATATCATTAGAATAGCAGAAATCCAAATGCGCAGATAGAGGCGTACTGTTCCGATGCAATTAGAGCACAAGCAGCTGGCCTTCCTAATGGATCTTTGAGTTGAAATCCAGAGCCCGGAGCAGTCTTAACAGTGGATGTATAAAGTAGCTCTCTTGCTCTCTCGAGCGTTTCGACACTCGAGCCGCAAAGCTGTTTCAACAGATGGTCGTGTTGAGACATGTTTGAGAGGAGGGCGCTTAAGAGCGGTTTTCCGTTATCCGTTATCATTTATGTAAGCGCTCTTCGCAGAACTTTCGTTGCACTGCTCCAAAACTCAAGCACTCCAGATCTCAGACTGACTTGCAGTTAATAAAGAGTTTTGAAAAGCATATCATCAATACGCTAAACATTACATGTGAATAACAAGGCTGTATTGTAAAGTTTGTTCCGTCCTGTTAGGGGTATATCGACCTTTTTTGTAATTTCATCTCAAAAGCCCGCAGCTACCCAATAACTGACCCATTTTTGTACGAGGGTAGCATCCAAGGGTTTGAGCGCCTTCATACTCTTACTCAGTCTCTCGAGCTTTTCCGTGCTCAGCTGAGTGAGACCAGCGCTTTCCATCGTACTTTGGTTGGACTGTCTGAGTGCATCATCTACAGCGGCTTGTTGCGAAAGGAACTCGAGTAACTTCACAGCGGGCTAAAGGATTGGACAGATGTGAGGGAGGATAGATATTATTTCCAAGGAAAGATGCTTACAATGTTCTGAGTATCTGCTTCCGTTGGATTCTTTGCATACTTTTCAACTGCGGCAACCCAATCATGATAGGGTACTAGCGGAAGCGCATCGGGAGAAAGATGCTTTTGTTCAATGAGGGAAACCTGGACGTTTTGAATTACTGAAGTCCAGGGGACAGACTTCGGGTGCACAACATTTACGGCCATGGGCGCTGGCTCAGAAGTAAATCCGACATCGAGAAGAGCATTACACACGGCGTCCATTGGGACCCATGAAACAACCTATTCAATTCAGGAATAAACACCCTTTCACTTCCTGGACTGTAACCGAACTCACTCCAAAAGCATCGGGAAGCACGCCCAAAGTAAGACTTGATTTCACGATAATTGGAACCCAGTCTGTTATTGCCCACGCTCCGTTCGGTGCGCCACCAGTTACTTGACCAATCCTGAACGAAGTTGCTTGAAGACCACTCTTTGCAAGTATCTAGAAATCACGAAGTCAGTTCAAGGCAGAGTACTTTCCACTAACCAACCCACTAACCCGTTCCGTGACATATTTGCTCTCTCCGTAGCCACCTCCGACAGCATACTTTGCATCCATCACAACCTCTTCAGGATATGGGCCCAGCGATTGGGCATCCCACGACTGAGTTGAACCAATCGACGACGTGAACAAGAATTTAATTGAAGAGGAATGGCGGCTGGAGCGACCAAGGTCCATTAAAATTCGAGAGCCTTTCACATGCGACTCGAAAGAGGCGAGTGAAAGATTGAAGTCGAGTCTCCAAGCATTGTGAATAATCATAGTCAAGTTTTGACGGAGCTATGAGGTGTGATGTTAATACAGGAGTCAAAGATCCACCATTCATCGTAAATGCTTACTTCTTTCAGTATATTTCCTGGTAAATCGAGGTCATCGTGCGAAGTCTCTCCAGCCAGGAAGACCAGCTTAGGTGATGACAACAGAGATATATCGAGAGCCTTATCTTCGAACCGTGCGCGATGCCTTTCATACATCGACGCTCTAGTGGATGGTCTATTCAGAGCATAAACACGGACTACGGAGTCTTTCGAAAGCAAAGACTCTAATAACTGGGCTCCAAGATTTCCGGTAGATCCTGTAAGTAGAACATATTGCTGAGTTGGGTTTATTGAAGTGGCGGACTGTGGAAGTGGCACATCCAGGCCTTGCGAGTATTTGGAGATCATTTCCTCCATTAGTGCTTCATGGGTCTTTTCGCTCTTGGTTTGGTCATTAGGATTGGCGACGATATTGAGTATGGCATCTGTAAGCTGAGAAATTGTCGGATAACTGTAGACAATGTTCTGAGTGATTGTAGCCACAAGTGATGCAAATCCAGATTTTCGGAGAGCGCTAACGAAACGAAGGCGGAGTATAGTGGAAGAGAGACTATAAGCTGATTCAGTGTATTTCCGAGCAGTAATGTTTCAGTAACTCACCTATCTAATCCTTGCTCGAATAAATCCCCGGTGACGGAAAGAGCTTCCACCGAAAGAATATCGGAAATTTGGTTAATAAGCCAAGTCTCTACATCAGATGCATTCCAGCTTTTTGGTGGCTCGATAGAGTCGCCTCCAGAGTTTGATTCAACGGTATCGTATCTGCAGAGCGGCTCAGTATCAAATACAACGCTGCGGCATTTGACCTACAACTCGTTGATCTCGGTCTCGTATAATGCCAGCGCCGCTTTTTTTGCGACTGTGCCTTTTCCTACACGAGGCAGAGGTTTTTCGGGATTGACGATGAGAATCATCTCTTTAAAAATTCGACTGAAAGAAGGAGCAATCTTGTTCGCCTCTTCTATCGCCGGCCTGTTCGAATTGTTAGTTGAAGATATAGAATATATGTATGACACTAAGCGTCTCACCAGACGAGATTCCTAAACTTCGATACCTCAGCATCGTTTTTGGCGTCGATCCAGTAGCCCGGCAAAGGCTCCAATATGATTCCTGGTTGATCACGCTGTCTGCCGAACATGACCGCTCCATTGATTCTGAGATTGCGTAGAGATTGGGTCGTGCAATATGTTAATGAAAGAAACACAGAGGCAGATGTAAACGTATATACTTACAAAGGATTCGCAGAGACAATGGACTCAATTGGTTCCGGAACTGTTTTTTCGCCATTTGAATGGATTATAACATCGTCAATACGCCCAACAATCTTCCAAAGGTTCGGAATAGTGGGATGAGGTTCAAACAAGTCCGAAGTGGCATAGCCACGAGTGTCTGTAAGGTTCTCCACAGCGAGATGGTGCGTTTTGCACGTCTAATCGGAAGGGTAGTATTGTAAATGTGTATTATCGTAAGTCGTGAAGCTGGGAAGACATACCAAAAATTGAGCCTCGAAAGTGCCATCCCCTTGAGCTACCCATCGAATATTAGTTCTATCTCTGAATTCGAAATACTGCCATGTTTCGGCATTATCAACGCGCAATTCGGATACCACACCAAATTCGGTGCCCCCTGGAAAGAGGGATACATAAGAACATCTACAAGCGAAAGCAGCGTTAGGTACGTACCATACCCAGCGCTTACGGGTACTCCCCTGGCAATAAGCGACTCAGCGACACTTGGGGCGATAGGTCCTCCACCGAAACTCTTTATGTCGGTGAGTAAACTTAGCGATGGAATGTTCAAAAACCTACCAGGTTACGCATCGTTCGGAAGAATGCCACAGCATCGTCTGACTGGGCCCAACTGTTGAAAAAGGTTGGTGGAATGATCATGCATATGGGTTTGATGATTTTTGCTGCTTCCAGAACAGTTTCTGCCGTGCCAACAACTGGTACTGCGTCGGCCTGCGTCACAGTCGGTGCAAAAACTCCGGTCGTTATAAGCCCGTACAAGGGGAATAATATGTGAGTACAAAAGCCCATCATATGGAATGTAGGAAGAGCTAGACCCCCGTTTATTATTGAGTTGCCAAAGACCTCGCGCATCTTGCGAATGTACACTGTACAACACTTAATTGACAATTCTGTGAAATTGACGATTACTCACGTAGAGAAGCATCGTCTTTGATTATTTGATGAGTAAACAGTATGGGTTTGGGGAATCCAGTTGAGCCCGAAGAGTGTAGGTATATGCCTTTGTCTGAATCCTTGGGAGAAAATGCCGAACTAATAGGAGTGAAAGGATCATCCGCCGTTTCTTGTCCGAGGCGAGGATATGCAACCTTCAACGTAGGTACCTCTTCGATGCTAAGCTCATAGGTCGGATCAACCGTACGGAGTTCGGCTTGCAGGCCATCCATCACACCTCGCAGAGTGGTTTTTGTCATAAGGATTCGGTGCGTGGATGTCTGTCGAAGGAGATGGAGAAGTGCAGCAGACGAGTTTCGGGGTGATATAGGAAACGGCTGAACAGAGGTCATATAAACATTGGGAGATTTTGGAAGATTGTAGACAAAGAATCTCACCACTAGGCCGGCCTTCATTATACCAGCGATTAAAGCAGCGTATACGATAACGTCTATGTTGGCGACGATCGCTACAACGCCACCAGGCGCGGAGCTTCCCCGAACGATATTCCCGACGCGATGAGCGGCGCGAACGAATTCCAGCGTTTTGATTTCCGTGACGGAAGAATCAGCATTTGGATACACGTAAAGCGGGAAGTCGGGATTATGGTTGAGGTTGAAGTCGAGTAAATCAGGCAGGTTTAACTGCGACTCGTCACCAAGAGCTGGAAATAAAGGTGCTGTTCTGATACCGGAAGGCATTGGCTGAGATGGGCGATAAAGCTGAGTCTCTACTGATGAACGGTGTGGGATGTTTTATGGTAATGTTTAGAAAAGCGCAAGGGCAGAGAGGCTTTTATCTGCTCTGATATCCCTAGATTGTGTCTACAATCAAAGGCCCTTAACAGACGGACACTGCACATGATGAGAATGAGATTAATATCGTACACAAAGATGAAATTGTCCGTGCGCATGCCCGGATCGAATTCACGGGCCTCGGTCATAACTTAGGTCATCAAAGATTGTCTCCTATCACATCAAAGATTGCCTCCTATCAGTTATCAATGATTGATTATACCAGGATACGACGCAAAATTCCTCCTCCAAGTACACACGATTTTGCTGGCTGCTACTTGGATATTGAGTCCACTCACCTTCCGTACGACAGATCAGGTTGTAATTTATTGTAGCCTTAGGCTTCCTCGCACTGAGAGCCGAGAGCTCACGTACAAACGCCTAAGTCGGAACTTTTTTTGGCTTGTCAAAGTGGTTATGACATGTCCTGGAGAGACCGAAAGCTATCGGAAGCATGTAATCCGGACGTGACTTCACCGTCTATACTCAGAGAGAAGCAGCAGCCTCCGACAGCGGGTATGCAAGGTCATGAATTCGCTTATGGCAAAAAAAACGAAAGACATGTAGCCGCCGTAAATCTAGTCCCCAAGTCCAACAAAATACCGTGTTGTCATCTTCGGCGTCATTTACCAATTCAGAAAAACTTCCTCCTCCTCCTGGCTCTAGCAAAGAACCTGATTTGTCTCTGCCTACTCTTCATACTGTCTGCAACTCTTTCTCAGACTCCTTTGCGTCGAACATCAGCAGATGGAGGGTCAGCATTTTGTGGCATCTTTTGGCAAAAATGAGGAGGAGAAACAGGAAAGGAAAATTATTCTTCTGACGTCTGATGAAGAGGAAGAGGAGGAGGAGGAGGAGGAGGGGGAGGGAGAAATAATACCCGAGGCAAATGTGGGTTTTTTCAACGAGCTCTTAATTCTGGAGAAGGGAGATCGCAAAAGCGGATGCGCTTCTACAATACGAGCGCCATAAACGCTTACACGCAGAACTGATGTTTTCGAGGGATGGCAGAGACTGGAAGGGAAACTCAACGTTCTCCGTATATTCTTACTATATCATCTAATTCTTTTCAACATTTCAGGTGACCTTTCTAACGTATCACCTACATTATGACACACCGAGGTATCATCGAGTAAGGACTTCCGCCCCATCATTTGTGATCAGTACCATGTGTTCTGCCTGAGCACTCCGCGCACAATTCTAGGGAGTGGTATGAGCAACAACCAAAGGGCATTTAAAGACGACAAGACCTTACCTCCGTGCTAGCTGTCCATCCATCAGGGAATATCCAACTGGTGGGATGGTTTCCTTGGATGATAGCAGGCTGTGAAAATATCTTGAGCTAATGAGTACTAAGACAGAATGGAGTTCGGGTAACCTCGATTGTGAAGCAATGCCCGGGTAACATAACACCTGGCTCATCGTTCACTTATGAAATGGGAATGAGCATACAAACCGACGAAGGCAAAAGGGCTTACAATGGTGCAAAACCCAAGGTTGTCTATGGAAAGCTGAGCCGATACCATGTCCACTAAAAGCCGGAGACACACAAAAGTTCATTCCGTGGTATTGAGGTTCAATGATAGTGTGTATTGCTCGGGCAATGTTCTTGAACGGTTGTCCGGGCCCACATGCTGCGATTCCAGCTTCGAGAGCGTTATTTGTTATGCCACATAGAAGACGCCCAGGGAGATCCTTTGGAAGGGATTATCATCAGCTGGGCCTTGGCAGAAAAAGGGAGTAGTGCACGTACAACATCCCCAACCAGCCAAGTCTGGGAAGTGTCACCGTGGTAGCCATTCAGAAAGACGGTAATATCTATGTTGATGATATCACCATCTTCAAGTGGTCGACTGAACACAGGTGATTGTTGGGAGGACGATCACAAGAACAGTAGACGACATACTCATCAGGGATACCATGGGTGATGATATTATTGACACTGCAGCCCGTTCGTCAACAAGTATACGGTTTGTGATTCAGAGTCACTTCACCTCGTACAACAAGATTTCGGAAAGCCGTTATACATTAAGGGTGACGGATAAGCCCCTCGAGAGATAATGAAGTCATGAACAGCAGCGTCGATCGCGTTCGTCGTTGTTCCGACCTTCCTAGTTTCCCATTGAGCTAGAAAAAGTGAAGATAAAGTATGATGCAGGCACACCTTGGCCAAGCTCCCAGCATATTCGCGTACACTTTTTGCTAGAGACGCGACACTTCTCAATTTTCGTTCCGCTTCGCCTCCAAGTGGGAACTTTCCGTCTACATCTTCTGCATCATCTTGTGCAGCCTCGCGGCCGGAGGAGTCACGTATCGCGTATGCGGGTCGGTTAATATGGTTGGGAACCATTCTGGGCTTGATGTGAGAGACTCCGAAAATGAAAGGTTCCTCGGGTAGAATGACACTGTAAAGTCCGAAGTTGTCTACTCCTGGAAAGAGTGCTGCATCTTCAAAGAAAGACGGAGAACTGGAGAATAGTCGGAGAAGTCGCCGCGAGTTTCGAAGATGAAAGCTGGTCTTTTTCAAAGACAGTGGAAGAAAGAACATTGTGAATCCGGTCCGGCGCGACAGCTGTTCCTCGCATCCACGACCTCCTCGACCTCTCCTTGCAATATCTCACAAGTAATCCGAAAGGCCCCCAGAACAATTCATGCTTGCCAAGCAATATCTCACAAGCTGTGTTTGGCCAGCTATGTACATAATATCGGTGTATTCGGGTAAAACTCTTGCTGGGGCTGGACTTGCCGTTTGCGACTGTCTTCGACCTCTCTTATTCTCAATCTCAACTCAGCGCTTCAAATTCAGATACTCCACCTTCAACGATCCCGTACTGCCCTATGACACGTTATAAATGCAAAACTGTTTCCTCCTCAAGTTTTCAATCCATTTGCGGCAGCCTTTGTATTATTGGAATTGCCTTTATCGGATCTGGATGTGGGTATCGTCGACCTTGTTTATTTGGCAACCGTTGATCTCGCCTTATAACCGTTTGAGCCACTACAGTTAACCAAAGTTCTCACCTTGCTATGAATTTGCGACCTTGTGTCCAAATCCGGTTCAAGGTTCTTTCAAGCATTGGAAATATAATAAAGAGGAATTTTGGGATGATACCTTAGCTCGCTTTTCTGAATCCCAGTGAGTGATAACTTTTTTCCGGCTATTCTTCAGGACTAACTGGATTCCTAAAGAAATTCCTGCCCAATTGTCCACTCGGAATGTCATTGCAGCACTCCATTAGACCTTGCTCGTTTCCCTCGAATGAAATTTCAACGGTAGGCCCTAATCCTAACGCACCAATCCAAATCTGAGACTGAAATCTTCCCCTCCTTAGGCAGAGGACGGTAGGACCTCGCTGTCCATATTACCCATCAATAATATCGACGATGGCATTCGTTACCTTCAACGGACTCTTCTAGGATTCGATGCCGACAATCCTCAAATATCCTTTTCGAATCCCGGTTTCTTACCATGGCAAGAGCAAGTGCACTCTGTACAGATGGCAAACGAAAACACGAGCAATATTCTGGTCGTTCCGGGCTTCGAATCTCTCTATATAACGGCAAAGGATATATGCTATGTGAATTACTTGCCCGCGGAGCTTCTGCGAGAGATATTTTCGTACCTCTTACCTGGCCGAGATTGGAAGCTTGAGGCAAGACCTCCCCCGCAACTAGCTCTCGTTGAAGTTTGCAGTTACTGGCGAGACATTGCACTTTCTTATCCAACGCTCTGGTCAACGTTCATGATCGTCCACCCCATAGAGCGGCATATACCGATGACTAAACTGTGGTTGGAACGATCAGGTCAACACCCAATAACAGTGTACATTGACCATCAGGGATCAGAATTCGAGGAAACCTTTGCTGCGACGGACGCTGTGATTGACCTTCTCCGACCTCATGTCCATCGCTGGAAAGCCGCCACGTTCATTTTCGCATCCGGTATCCATTCATCATTGTTAGCGCTTCCTCGCGATGAGTACCCTTTACTGGAAACATTATGTTTCGATGTAACTGGTGTTTACTGTTGGAGTCCGGATGCTATAGCACGAGTTGAAGAAAAGTTTTTTCCTTCCTCTTCCCCTAGGTTGCGGAAAGTTACGTGGGAGACACATGGCTTGTCGCTGAATAGTCCGCCATTGGTTCCATCCACCATCACGTATCTTTCGGGGGATTTTCTAATGGATCACTCCTTTTTCGAATCGCTTTCGAAATTGAAAAACTTGGAAACACTCCGGTTGCATGGAAGTGCACGCAATGGTATTGTTTTTCCTCCTCTTCCTACCCCTTTGGTTCTGCATTGTCTACAAACTTTCGAGTTCCGGTCGGACATCCACACGCCATTCTTGCTGGATTCAATTGTTACACCAAGTCTCAAAATTCTAGTGATAGCGAGGCCAATCGACGAGAAAACTCAGAAGTCATTGTGTTCTTTCATTCAGCGAAGTCGCTGTCGTCTCAGCGCATTCTCGCTTCTCAATGCCTCAGGGGACGACCTGGAGAACCAATTCTTGAAAGAATTCCTTGTCTCCCCTTATATGGAGTTCCTCTCCGAACTCAACATCCTTAGCAGCAATACAGATGCAGTTTTCACTATCTTGGTAGGGGGGGATAGCAACAAACCTGTTCTTCCTTCTCTAAATCGATTATGGATTTCGACATCTTGGTGTTCGGGCGATCTTTTGCTGCGCATGCTAGAATACCGGGCACATAACTTCCATCCTCCTACCAGTGCTTTGATGTCAGAACCATTGTTCTGCTCAGCTTACCCTCGTCCATATGATTACCTATTCATTCCTGTATCGGGGATATCACTTTGCATTCAGGTTACCCAATTTACAACCCGCCTCGAGGAAGTTTTGAGATGGTTCAAATCTAATGACCGGGCCCATTGGAGTATGTCCACTGCACCGGCGTATTGGGAATCAGATACTGAGAATTGCTAGAGCCACAATACCATTTATGTAGTCATTGTCTCTAACACCTCTAATGTACCTTTACTCGAAAGTCTGTTTCTGCATCCAACAAGAAAGTCTCTGCCGATTCTGTTCGATAGCTTCAAAGTGCGAATCCCTGTCCAATTGATAGCCAGTTCTTCGACGCGGAAGGACTGCTCCCTGGAACATAAAAGCACTAGTTCTGTGACTGTTTGAAGGTCAACGACAGTGGCAGAAAGGAAACCCGACATGTCCACTCTGCAGTCAATTAAGTGCAAGGTTCTGAGTTGGGAAGCCTTTGCCAATCCTAGTGGACGCATCATAGAATCCGGTGCTCCGAAACCTTCCCCCGGCCTGCGGATGATCAAAGTTCTAAGTACCGGACAGACCTGCAGAATCCTTCTGTATTCTTCGGCAAATATCATAACTGTGTCCAATGAAATACCAGTCAAGTGATCCCATAGGAAGTCCTGAGTTCGATTGCGAAAGGGTGCAAGGATTGGACCCTTATTTAACGAATCAGTCCCAAATTTAACTCTCTTTAAGTGAGGCACAATAATGGGAATGTCGACTTGAGTTAAGTCAACGCATGCAATGTAGTCGTCAAAATGTTGTTTCCCCCCTGCGTCTGGAAAACCTATGGGTATATCCTCCACGCTTCGTTCTGGAGCTAAAGTGCGTTTGATGAAATTCTGCAAGTCAGCGAATCTGGGGATGTCAATAAGCCAAGCATTTCCGTCTGCACCACCTTTGCGGAACTGTTGAGGGATGATATGAAGAGGAAGCCGGATCGAGGCATGTGTTAACGCGAACTCGTAAATGGAGATCACACGATGTTCCTTGTGGATGACTTTGAGCCGAGCGTCCCACTGACGGTTATCGTCTGGGAATCGCAAAAATGTGTCTGTATTCCAGCTAATATTGACAGGATTTATGGCAAATTCCACAAAAACTTGGCCCGATCTGTTGATCAATCCCAGAGTTTGGTCCAGCTGTTTTTCGAAATCGAAATGATATTTGGGAAATCTGACATGTGGACGGCTCGATGAGAACTCAACGTCGATTGACCAGCCCTCGACTGGGAGTCTGATTTTGACCTGCTGAGGGAGTATGGATTTTTTGATCCTGTATGGAGGAGCTTCAGCAGTTTGAAGCACCCTCACTGAGGAAGCCCCGTGGCGGACATTGGAAGGTGGGGAAGGTGAGATGGCGTAGAAAATGGTGCAAACATAACAAAAGAGGAGATAGAGCAATATAAACTTGAATCCCAAGGGCAGCACGACCAATACTCCAGCACCTTGGATATATCGAGCTCTATGACGCAGAGGGCCATCGCCTGCATAGAGGTACATGACAATGATGACCATACTGACCACAGATACAATCTGGGAGACAGGATGTTTGTCCAGAATTCGATGAACGAATGGGGTGTCGAAGAGTAACATGATGGTTTTTTCTCGGAATATGAGCACCAACTCGAGAAAGCTTACTTGCGGAGGGGAATTTGTGATGTGTTCTGTTCTGATACTCATAGATTGGAGCGGTTATAAGTCTTTTAAACTTTCGAAATTAGTACCAGGCTCCAGGTCAGTAAGACAATGATATAGCACATACGGAAAATGACATTTCCGCAATCATTCACCAGAAAAATGATTGTTGCGAAGGAAAGACTTAAGCTTTTTGTTTTCCAGCCAACAACGACTGGATAGTATGTCGATCCATGCAAATCCTCAATTGTAATTGTCATGATTTAGTCGCGATATTGTTATCCCAAATACAAAAGCCTTATTCTTAATTGTGAAAATCATCGTCAATGGTCAATTTCCCTGGAGTCGCTGAAGATATATTTCATAAACTATGTTTATTATCAGTACGCGGATGGACTGCTCACTGGAACATAAAAGTACTAGTTCTGTGATTGTTTGAAGGCTTTTGAAGGTCAACGACGGCGGCAGATTGAAGGAAACTCGGTGGCATGTCCAATATACGTCTTAGAGCCAATTCCGATGGGGAAAATATCCGAAGCTTGGGTGCCTAATTGAAAGAATGCAATAAGCAAGAGGCGGTGTTCGTGAGTTTCTTCGTAAGTTTTTCTATGGAGGATTGATGACGAAGTTGGGGGAATTCCCGTTGGCGGTTGAAATTGAAGCGTCCTGTAAAGCGAACAAAGGATTATTCAAAGGTGGAGATGGTGACCCGCTGACGGTCCGGGTCGTTTGCACAATGCAAGACCGGTATCCGCTCTAGAAGTAGCACCTACCTGTCAGACCTAACTGAGCCAGAAGCACCTGTAGCATGCGAAGGAAATGAACTCGATATGAATCCTGGCCCCAAAGCAATAGGAGCTCGCGATGAACTGGCGCCCGAGGCTGCAGCCCCAGCCAGTGTATCCGAGTCGACTTCAGACGGTGAACGGGCAGAGATGATGTTGGAACTTAGGTGGCAAACTAAGAATTGAGAACGAGGATGAAGAATGGGAGGCGGGTAACAGTAGAGCTTCAGTGGAGGTAGAGGTACCTAGATCGGTAGTCGAAGGTAGGAAGAATTAGATGTTGCACCGAGATGAGTGATTCCTTTCTCAACCTGTCAGCAAGGGTCCGTGAAAATGTGTGTATAACTGGATAAAAAGACTCAGAACTGGCACAAGTCATAGGCTGGCTGTCTGGCAGTGTTCCATTTGTAGTACTCTATCGGTAGTACAGACCTCTTGACATATTGGATAACCACTTATCCTGCTCGAAATATGGCCCACAAACAAAAGGAATTAATAAATCCCAATACTTGTGGTCTGATCCAATGACCTCCTCATTCTCTAACTGCCTCTTCATTGCAACATACTCAAACCAAGGTGGATAATACCCTGACCATGCCCAGTCAATGATCCATAGTCTCCCATCCTCACCAACAATGATATTCCGAGGGTTTATATCCTGGTGCGTAAAAACCAATGCCTCAGAATCATCAAACCGCTGTTTCCTCGACGGGTGGTCCTCGGGAAGATCAATATTGTCATATGCCATCTTCGCTCGTTGATTGAAGAAAGCTGTCAGTTCTGCATACGAAGCGAAAGGTCCTCGATGGGACTGAACCTGCCCAAAAATCGGTGATTCACATATGCGGGGACCATCAGCGCCGATAGGACCTGGTGGGGTAGAAGGAGACGCCTTCAATCGTCTTAGTTGGCGCACATAGCGGCGAAGTGTAAATGCAACACTGATTTTCTGCCATATCGAATAGCTGGACCAGGCGTTAGCAAGAGTTGGACCCTTGATATAGTCCTGGACGATGAGGTAGTCCCATTTGCGCTTTACGACGCGGCGGACTCGTGGGACAGGGATCATTGTGTTTGCAAACACTAGGTTCAGGGCATTGGCTTCTGAGGCATCCGACATATCTTCATCCATGTCTTGTGATGCTTTGGCCACTGTGCTAGGTGTAAGCTTCAGGAGTCCATGGTCTGAATTAAGTCTCGGCGCCTTCATTCGGAGCTCCAAGATCTCCTCATCACTCAGATCATCTACGTCAAATTGCTAAAAGATGCTTTCTGTAAGAAAGGGAAGAACCATGGTACCGGTAAATAGACCTCACTCACTTGTAGACTGAGACGGGGCTTGCTGTTCGAAACAACACAGGACAGAAGTGTGTCCAAGACATCGGTTGTGATGGATAGGAATGCGTAGACCAGGCATTTAATCCGCTCATTCATGATTTTACTGAAGGCAGCTGAAGACAGGTACTCCAAGGTAAAGAAGAGCCGTAGTAGCGTGTTGTTATTGTTAAGCGCCTATGCCCTGAGCGCTCATGCACATGGCTCATGTTGGAGAAGACTCCGTACATCTAGCTCTGATATTACTTATTATGGTATTTCTTCCTATCTATACTTCCGTTTGGCTACTTATCCTTTCACCTATCTATGTTCCGGCTTACCAAACCCGATCTAGTGATCGGGATATACATGCGATTGTAGGCCACTGCACCACCGTGCATGGCAAAAACTCGGCTCCTTCCTTGTGGGTTATTAAATATTAATTGAATATTATGGAATCAAAAAACAGGGGCGCCTTTCAGGCACCGACATTGATTTTCTGAGAAAAGCAGAATAAAAGTAAATTTACTTACATATGGAGTAACAGGGAGTAACCGAATGAGACGAGAAAAAGTAATCGTGACAGAGGGTGACAGTCCCGTGATATCCCGTGCCGGTCACATTTAAATGAATGTATTCCAACAGAATGTGACTGAGTACCATATATGGAGAAACTCCTTCCAAGTAAGCAAAGCGAAATAGCATGACGCGACCTACATAAGGACGAGTCTTCCGTAAACTACAGCCTCGTAATATTTTCGTTCCCTTACCTATTTCCTCAGTTGATCTTTCCTGCTCAACTGAGGTATGTTTACTTATCAATATTGCTTTTACTCGTACCTGTACTCATACGGACTTTAGCTTTATATTCTCCTACAGGTACTAATCTTAGTTGATCTTTCCTGCTCAACTGAGCTTTATATTCTCCTACAACTCACTCCATTTTCTGAGTCTCAGCTGACTCAAGAGTGGACCTACATAGACGGGAAGTTTTTGCATTTTGGCTGTCCAATCCGTAAAAGCACCGAGCGGAAACTAATTCATTGCCGAACCTTTAGGTAAGGCTCCTTACAAAAATGTATTGTATGATTCGTAGGGGGGATGCTAGGGGAAGTTGGACTTGTCCATTTCCCATGGGTCATGTGGTATTATGTATAATGAAGTCAGTGCAGATGCTCGGATCTTGACATTAGATCCGAAATGGAGTCACATTGACTAAATTGATTGTAAGTTACATTCAGTCAAATTGACTCATGTATTTCAATATAAATAAAGCTGTTGCGTTGTTTTCTTTCCCCCCATTCTTTCCCCCCACCTCATATGTCTAAGTCAAATCCTTTTACTGCTTCCTCAGCATATCAAGCAATGCCCTTCAATGGGATTGCATCACCCGTTGTCGGGATCAATGAACCTGTTAATGATAATGATAATACTCTAAATGCTTCTGTGTTGCCATCTATATCTTTGTCACATTCAGCTTCCTCTTCATACAATGCATCTAATTTTGCATGTCTTACTGTTGCTCAAAAACAGTTAGTTTTCCATGCCCTGATTCAGTCATCCTCAATTCTTTGTAATGATCTGCGCAAAATGGCATCTTTACACCTAAATTTGAGTACACGCAATACTTACAATCAACATAAAAATAAAAGTGATTTGCTGACTGACTATGCTCAACATCAATGTTCTAATTATTGTCTGATCTATCATGCCCAGGCAGAGATTGTCAAGTTTTTTAGTGTTCCTAGCATTTCTCAGTTTGAATTTTTGGAGTGTGCCAAGGCCCTTGGACTTCGAAACTATAATCAGAAATCTTCCAATAAACGTAAATCTGAGCACATCTCCTCTTCACACAAAAGGAAGAAAGTTGCTCATAGTCCAACTCCAGTTCTCAATAGTACAAATTCAGATCCTGTTATTGACAGTGAAATCTGGCCTGAAATTTTAACTTTGGATGAAAAATTGGCCATTTTGCAAGAATCATATGATGCTGGCTGTAATACCTCTATCAAAAAGGTTGAATGTTCATTTTGTGGAACTCTTGAGACTGTAGACAAAATTTGTTCCATTCTTTGCACAGATTTGGATATTTCTTTACTGAATACAGCTGTGCAGGAGCTTCGTTCAAAGACAAAACAAGCTAAAATCAAAGCTTTTCAACAGCACACAATTAGTAATGGCTGCTACCAGCTCTGTATACAATGTAAACGTGAAGTGAGATTCAAAACATCTACTGACAATACCTCAGTACGTGATAAATCACAGCGTACTTTTGTCCAATTGCCACTGCGTAGTTATGCAAATGGAACTTGGACTGGTGATCTTCCAGATGCATTAAATGGTCTAACATTTCTTGAAGAACAATGCATTGCACGGGCTCGAGCTACTAAATATATGTTCAAACTAGAGCTTGGCCCATCAGGACAGTATGCTTCTCGGGGAAATGTATGTATTTTTCCACAAGATCCAGGTCCTTTGGCAACCTGCCTCCCTCCTCCATTATCACAAATTCATGATGAAATTTGTGTTATTTTGGTAGGGTCTCCTGATGCAGAGATTACAATTGAAACTCTCATGCAAACACCTCTTCTTGTTCGAAGATCAAGAATTATTGAGGCTCTTGAATGGCTTCAGATGAATAATCCATTGTATTATGATCTCAATCTTGATACAATGTATAACAATGCAAGCCAATACCCAGAAAATGGCATTCCAATTCCTTTGAAGAGTGTTATCCGAATATCCTCCAATTCTGAAGGCTCCTCATATACTGCACAAGCAAACTTTGAACAATTTAATGAAAATGTTTCATCCTCTGGTATGCTGTCTTCAACAGTTGTAGATGCTGACCATATTGATTCTACTTATCAGATGCGCAAGCTTAGTGCACTACAACATCTCAAGAGGGGCAATAAACCTTTCATCAAATTTCCATCTGGATCTACTCCTTTATCCACATATAAGAATCCAAAACTTTATGCATATTTGTGGCCAACACTTTTTCCTTATGGTGTTGGAATGATGGAAAACAATGATATACACTCCAACAGTTCTGTTGGATTCCGGCATATAGATATGCGGGCTCATACTGCATATCTGTTGCAGAGCAAACCAAATTCTCGATTTCAAACACATTTATCATTTATTTTTGTCATAGGAAATATTTTGCAACGCCGCCAAACTTCTTTCAATGCAAAATTGGCTGTAAAGCGAACTTGGTTTCCACATGTCGAAATGTTACTTTGCAAGCTATCCAACAACACAATCACTGAGTTTTCAGAGAAGTTAAAGAAAAATCCATTTGTGCATCCAGAAACTGAGGGTGAGAAGGCTGCTAAGCAACTCATGAAATATATCAACTATATTGGTGAAAATATTCCAGGCTCAATGTCAGAAGTTCAGAACATGAGAGAGGAATTATTTTCAGTTGTTCATACCAATGGTCTTCCTCATGTATTTCTCACATTGAATCCAAGTGATACAAATAATCCAATAGCTCAAGTTATTGCAGGACGTGATATTGATTTAAACCAGATATTTCATAACCTGAAGCCCCATACTGAGAATCTTGAACGTTCAACTTGCATTGCACAAAATCCCATTGCTGCTGCCCAATTTTTTGATATCTCAGTTAAAAATTTATTGCATATTCTACTAGGAACAAAACGTCAGAACAGAAAGGGTGTATTTGGTGAAGTTGCAGTATACTATGGTGTAGTGGAAGCACAAGGCCGTGGTTCATTACACATTCATCTGCTTATCTGGCTAGAGCATGGCTTATCCCCCAATGAAATCAAGTGCAAGTGCAAGTCTGATCCAAAATGGGCTCAATATCTTACTGATTGGTATGATGATGTATTTTCTCAAAATATTCCTACACAGACTCAAAAATATATCCAAGCAAAGGGAATGTATAAACGACAACCAGTAATGAGCCGGCCAATGAATCCTCAGATTCCTGAATATTGGAATTCCTTTAACCAAGATCTCCGGAATATACTTGAAAATGCTGGTATGATACATGAGCATACTGATACTTGCTTTAAACATTTGCCTATTAAGCTGAGATCCTTGCGAGATAATAATAAAGATTGTCGTTTTCAACTTCCTCGGGATATTGTAGAAAAAACCCACTTTGATGAAGATGGATACCTTGTTCTCAAATGTAATAATGGTAATGTAAATGGTCATAATCCAATTATAACAGTTGCTGAACGTTGCAATACTGATGCAAAGCCAATTGGATCGGGATCAGTGGCAATGGCCATGTTTCAATATTTTGGAAACTATACTATCAAAAATACTATGGATACAGCCTTTGTTTTTTCTGCTCTATGTGCAGCTATCAAATTGCTCACTGAAAACCCCCCTATGGATATTGATGGGAACTTAGATACATATGAGCATAGCCGTCAATTTCTTATTAAAACTGTTAACAAACTCATTGGTAAACGTGAGCTCAGTGGTCAGCAAATTGCCAGTAAATTAATTGGGACACCAAGCTGTTATACAAATTGTAGGTATCCAATATTTTATCGGTCAGGAATGCTTCGAGAAATTGCATCTGATATTTTTGATATTGCAAATTGGAACAATGATAATGAGTCTGATATGACAATCAATGACTCTGGTAATGAAGACCTGCATACATCACAGCAAAATCTCCAACAAAGGGAATTTGATGATTCATTTGTGTTTCTCACTGAAAAGACTATGCAAAGTGGCAAATTTTCATTGAAGAATTATTCACACAATTCACTATTTAATGATATTTTTTTCCGACCTAAAATCCTTTCTAACATTTGTGCTTGGGATCTGATGTGTGGCTATTCAAAGGAGGAATTACCTGAATCAAAGAAACAAATCAAAACCTACCTACGATTTCAATCAGGACACCCACAGTACATAACTCATTGCTTCAAAAAAATGAATATAGGTGACGATCCACGGGTTCCAGTACTCAAAGGCTATCCAATTCCCCGGAGTGACAAGATTGAACATCATGAAAAATATATGATAGCTATGCTTGCACTATTTAAACCATGGTCTCACAATGAGCAAAGTCCATTAAAGACACCTGAGGAGACTTGGGATACTGCCTTCAATACTTGGAAGAATAC